GTATACTTTGGGGTCGGTACTAAAACACAGGGTGATTTCTTAAGACAACCTTTGAATGGAAATTTAAAAGATTCAATTTTTTCTGGTTTATTGTGTCTATCCCTAATTATATTGGAAAACAATACCTATACTATACTCCTTGAAGAGTCCGACGGTTTGCTTCTTTTTTTGAAATTTATTTGGCTGTACAAATACGGATTTAAAATAATTATAACGTAAAATAAATAAATGAAATTATATTTTTTTTTAGTTTTTTGTCAACGATTCGATTGAAAATCGATGTCGATTTGAAAAGTCGACTTACTTAATTTTATGTAAATTATATAGGTACTTACCCATTTTTTTAAATTGCTGCTGCAAGCAACCGCACCCAAACTGAGAAACAGAAAATTTGCGGTTTCACGCTGGCTTTCTGTGGCACCGTGGTATCACTTCGATCGAGTCCACCCAATTCTGCTCCATGACTCTCCCACATTTAGTCGATTGTAAAAGTAAAACATAAAACTTACGAAACATGGACTGCAGCCCCCGGGATCCTCTACTCCATTAATCATGATGCCACCCTCAATATCTCACGAACAAAATAACTAGACCTGCCGTAAATCAATGTGGTTCAGTCATGAATACTGAAATGGACTCGCCCAATCTATGTAGGATGTATTACGTACAACTTACAGCTTGCACAGCTAAGGTAAAACTAAGTTTAAGTGTGGGAGAGCCATGCTTCGGCACGAATGGGTTGGCTCGCCCGGAGTGATACCTGGCGTGAGACAACCAACGCACTCGTAAGTCTTTTGGTATTTCGAGTGTCCAAGGGCGGCGCTGATTGCTAACCATCAGATAATCCGACCTATTATATACAAAAAAAATACAATCGAATTGAGAACCTCCTCCTGTTTTTGAAGTCGGTTAAAAAAGGAAATAAATAAACATTGACTCAGTATTGAGACAGTAGCTATTGTTAACAACGTCTTATTCTAACTCACGTTGATTCAAGATTAACATTACAATTTTATCTACTTTCATAATCAAATACATATCTGCTTCCGAAGTGATTTATACACTGTATCGTTCTTTTGAAGCGCCCAAAAACATTCCACAACAGACATATTTGGGAACCAAAATGTTAACATGCCCCTAACACGACATTCCTTAAGCCAGCTACTTCACGAAGTTATTATGTTATAATGTAAACAATATGTTTTAATATTTTTTTGTGACGTTGTTCTAGAACAGAATGATTTGATCTAAAGCCATGAATAATGATATACCTATATAGAAAAAAAAAATATCACCTAATTAGCAGCAATATAACTTCTATTTCTTACCATTTATATCTTATAGTCAAATCTAATATGAGCTAAGTAGATAATTTGTTTTTAAATGCCAACTTCCAGACAAAAATAGCAATAAATTTTCTAACAAACACAATAATGGAAATAATTAAACCTTAATCGCACTGGCGACCAATCAAACAGCAGCATTCGGATACATCGTTTAATATCAGCAAATCAAGTGGTCAATCACTAATACAATTATGCGTCGAATTAATTTAAACTCTAATTATACAAACGGTTACAAATTGGTAATAAATTACTTTTATCAGTTGGTCACACTGAATTGTAACGACCATTCATTATTTATTTATATGAAATACGTAAACTGTGTTGGTTGAATGGTAGCACGCACGACCGCCGAGGAAGGGATGTGAGGAACAATTGGGTAGTTTCCTAGGTCAAAAATTAATTGATTCGACGTTTCAATACAATAATATATTAAAAAATAAGTATACTTTTATTCACCGATCTGTCGAAACACTACATTTAAGAGTTTTTTAGCTAATTTTAAAGAAATAAGTAAGCTATTTGACACAAAAATACTATAACGTCATAACTTTCTTTTTCATACAAATTTCATAGAAAAGTATCGTTTTGACATTTGGATAAAAGTAATGAATTTGACTAGTTGGAAACTACCGTATTCTGGTGATTAAGTTTCTTTATTGTAGCAGGGATCTGCATCTGGAGTTGCGGCCGATGCATGATGATTAATTCACCTTCTACAACATATACTAACGTAGATAATACATTAAAAATAAGAACTTCTGGCCCACCCAGAAGATTCAACGACAATAATAAATAAACTAATGATAACACAAATCCTGGTTAAACATGGTTAGAAAATCCCAATAGACTGTTGGGTAGTAGCCCACCATGCTGGTCGTAGTTGTTTTATGTGAAATGGCAGCAAACGAGCAAGCAGATCACACGATGGTGAGCAGTTGGCGCCACAGCAGTCACGCCATGGACACAGCAGTGCAACACCAGAAGAATCAGTCAGAAGTGTTTTGTCGGTATTTTAGGGATAAGGGTTTCGGACATTTTGGGAATTGGAGAAGGAGGTGCATCGCTCTTTGATCTCTAAACACCTATGACCAAGTAGGTAATGTTATTTTTGTATTTTAAAAGTAAAAAAGCGAACTTATAATTTAAAACAGCGAGCTAAAGTCTAGGGCCAACCCTAAGCAGAAGAAAATTATTGTAGCAAATGCGAATCGTGGAGGCGCTAACGTCGACTATTGTGTGGAATTAACGCCTAAATTGAAAGGGAAACGCCATTACGTTTAGTACTAATCGCATCTTTTGTGTGACGGGAAATTAGACCTTGTTTACTTATGCTGTTAGTCGGTGTCGAGTTACTTAACGAATTTATAAGGAAGATTTATTTTGTGCGTGTTAGGGTAAACAGTTGTAGGGTTGGCAATCTTGATGGAAATGGAGTGATGAGGAAATGACTACTAGGGGTTAAGTTTATTAAATCATTGGATAATTCAATCGGAAGAATTATAGTCATTTTTTTGCTATGTAAAAAAATGTAATAGGACCAGCTTTCCAGAACTGTGCCAGCTTATAAGCAACCTATTTACTTGGCCCTTCTGAAAACATTGACCCCACTGTCAATGTTTTCAGAAGGGCCAAGTAAAATAGTGGGTTAAAGAGTTGGTGTTATTATTGAACCGATGTGCACGATTGACACGGTGGCTGGGCAACCGGCTGCTGTACGAAGTGTCGTGAGATCGATTCCCGCACGGAACAATTCTTTGTGTGATCTACAAATTGTTGTTGAACTATTTAGTAATCTGTGGCCTGAGTGTGATATGTATGTGAAATGATATTTGTAAGGTAATCCGTCTGCTTGTTTGCCGACCATCAAGTTTTTTTGCTCGTTTACTAACATTAATATACCAGAAAAGTAACAATACGACAATATCCAATACCCATCTTTACAACGTAACCCTAAAAAGCTAACGAAAAGCATAATGATAATGAGGTCATGGCATTAAATAATTAATTAAGTGAGACAAGGACGAAAATTAAAACAACCGTCTAGGAATTTATTACGTGTGTATAATGTGTTAGAATTTATTTCTTACGGAAAAGTTCCGTATGGGGTTTATAGTAGTAAAATGGTACAGTTTATGGTTATATGCGGTTATGAGATTTTTGCTCAAAATCGGTAGACTACTTTACTGTATTACGGGTTTTTTTTTAGTTAAGTGTGGGAGAGCCATGCTTCGGCACGAATGGGTCGGCTCGACCGGAGTTATACCACGGCCTCACAGAAAACCGGCGTGAAATAGCCAAAGAGTTGTGTTTCGCCGTGTCAGTGAGGTTACCGGAGGCCCAATCCTTCCCCTACTTCAATCCGTCCCCGTTCCCAAAATCCCTAATCCCCAAAAGGTCGACAACGCACTCGTAACTTCTCCGTCGTTGCGGGTTTCCACGGGCGACGCTAATTACTTACCATCAGGTAATCCGATTGCTCGTTTGCCGAACAATCACATAAAAAAAAGATTTTGTTGATTTTTACTTGACGTTTCGGCAGGATTACACCTGCCAGCCGGGGTTCCGGGGCAAGCGCAAAGAGACACTGTGCCCTCGGTCTAGAGTAGGAGAAAGAACAGGGGGATTTAAGTCAGTAAGATTTTGACACTCCCTCCCGCCCGATCCTACGCCCGAGGATTGGAATAAGTGTAGTAAGGAATAAGGAAGTACAAAGAAGTGTATGAATATACTTATTAGAATTTAATAAACACACTGCAAGAGTATTTTTCCACACAACCAACCATTGTAAAAAATAACCCGCAAAAATTGACCATTCTCAGCCAGAACAAGCGAGGCTGGCGCAATCTGTTCAAATATTAAAGTAGCAATACTCCCCTCATTCCCCACTGAGCCTGCAGAATCCCTTTAATAACTAATTCCATTGGTTTTCAAACCGCGAAAATTTATTTAATCATCCCTTAATTTAGTCTTAATACAATATTCACGAACTTCACACCTTAAGTAAGATAATAAATTATCAAATTTTACGAGAGTTTGAAGTCTAAGTGGTGAAGGTAGCAGCACTTGTTTTAAAAAGAGAATTAATTTTATTAAAAGCCCTGTATTATTGCAGTATATGTATTCTTATGAGTGCTCTAGAATGGGTAGGCAGATTTTTGTCGTAGTCACCTTTTTTGAATGCCAAAACATTTTTTATTTGATATGGTGACAAAAAAGTAGATGGATTACCTAATGGTCAGCAATCAGCGCGAATGAACACCATTAATAATGAAGTCGTGTGTGTGTGTAAAAGTGTTTTTTGCGGCATTTTGGTGATTTAACGATTGGAGACTGATGGGGTAAGAGCAAGCATATAGCTTCTGGTAATCTTACTCGCATGGAGAAATGAAACGCTGTGGTTGTTTCACGTCGGTTATCCGAGAGGACGTGGTATCATTACAGTCTAGCCGGCCCATTAGTGCCATTGTCGCTGATAAAACAACTATTTTTTTTCAATAACCAACGATTCTATATTTTTTCCTATTCCAACTGTTATAAGTCGTAATCCAGTATTAATAAAGGCTCTAATTAAATTATCTGACGCAGTCAACAAGACAGACCTTCATCTCAACTTCCAGTTCAACTTCTAATAATTATTTATTTCTTTCTTTACAGGAAGACATGGTCTGCCTGTCATGTACAGCGACTGGCGAAAGAGTGTGTCTGGCGGCCGAGGGGTTCGGTAACCGACACTGTTTTCTGGAGAACATCGCCGATAAGAACATACCGCCTGACCTATCGCAGTGTGTTTTTGTCATCGAACAGGTATTTTTTTTTTCTATTTTTATTCGTATCTCCAACAGATACGTAATGAACGTTACATGCACAATAATAATGAAGATTATATCATAAAGGTACTGTCACGGTGTTCCTCAGGGATCAGTCCTTGGACCGCTTCCGTGGAACATCGAGACACTTCCCCTAACAAAAAAAGCATAAAAGTATTGTGCTTCTCCAGTTATAGGAGAGCACATCATAGGCAATAAATACATGAGAACATAAAAGCTTCAACCATGTAATTATACAAGCAAGAATATTAACTAAGAAATAAATTTTATAATAAAATACATTAAATGTTACTTAGTTTAGTAGGTATATAAGCAAATCAAGTAAAAGAAAAAAATATAATAGAGTTTGATCATTCAAAATCTTCTAAAACCAAGCTTTTTTCAAGCAATTGAGTCTTAGTTAAAAAAATTGTACTGTGATAAAACCAGATTCATCTAGTAACAATACAATGCTCCGTAAATGAACGTCTCTTGGGAGCGATTCTTAATTTAAAAAAAAATATGTTCAAATGTGGGGTAATAGAGTATCATTTTTTTCATACTTCATTGATGAAAACAGAAGGTTACATAATATCACTTAAGCAAACCTCGTCTGCACTTTTAGAATCGTAAGTCCCTGCCTAACCTATTGTGTTCAGGAGTCAAAATACATAAGTCACACGAATTGTAGTCCTTAAAAGTACATTTTTGTTGCTAAAGCATTTATCATTATTTCTTCTTAACTTCCAGGCCTTATCAGTAAGGGCTTTGCAAGAGTTGGTGACGGCTGCAGGATCAGAAACTGTAAGTATAACACACAATTTATTTAAATGTACATCGAGTATCTCATAATTATATGTACCTGTAAAATTAACATTTTGAAAACCTTTCCGAAGTATAATAATGCCACCCTATGAATAATTTTCAATTATTTACTTTTTTTTTTGACTAAACTACACTTTAAATTATGTTCTAATATGGTTTGGTTTCACCATTTTCCTTTTTTATGGATATTTTTTTATTTTTATCGAAAATTACCATTGGCACACGTGAATAAACTGAAAAAAGCTCGACTGGTTTCAAGTTAAAACGGGACTCGTAATCGTGAGCAGCAGTTGATTGTGCGACAATTTTATTAACGTAACTTGTTTTTTAGTGTGTTTTGTTTTTTTTAGTTTGGAAATGGTGGAATTAATTCCTTAAGTCCTATAAAGATTTCAAATGGCAAATCTTTTGTATGATTTTGTAAACTCCATATTATATCTATAATGTCGTGTTTAACAATATTTATTTATTGTTTTTTTGATATTTTTTGTCCTATTGTGAATAATTTCGTTTATGTATTGCGATCCTTTTGTTTAAATTTTTCCAGGGAAAAGAAAACTTAGTGAGTATATCTGCCTGTCGGTAAAATTGCATGCTGTATCATTTTACATTAAATTTTTTGGCTAATTGGTAAAGAAATCTGGCTATATTTGAATTTTTCTGACAAATTTTTTTCGCCTAATATTTTTTTGTTTATTTCGTCTTTTAACTATCGAAATTCATTATGTGGCCGCTAATAAAACTACTAATGTATTTGTTAGTTTTCGTTATTCATACCATCAATGCAATTTTCGTATTTTGATTTTTATGGGTAATTTAATTTGGGAGTGAAAAAAAAGATAACACCTATGAATTGATCTTCAATAGAAAAAGCTCTGTAAATAATTTAAAATTCCTTAAAATTATCTTCCATCCTTTTTTCCCCAAAGTAAATACCTAAACAAAAATTGATCTTGATAAATTGTTCAGCTTTACAATAATGACCTTGACTTGTAAATATATTGAACTTGTCCTTGAGAAATTTCTCGATTTTTTCTACATACACTAAGTGGTATATTATGTAGATATTTTTCTCACTATTCCTAACCCTACGCATGTCTCTTCTAAAAAGTAGTTTAGAATATTTTTGAGACCCATTAAATAACCTTAAATAATTCTTAGTAAGTAAGTGATAAGTTTTTATTTGAAACATTTACTGAAATGATTTTTCTCTTTGGCTTTTTATTCAAAATTAACCACAGCAAAAATTTAAAGATGTTTTTTTTTTTATTATAAAAAGCACATGGAAATAAATTTTGCCAGGGTGCAAAGATACCCGTTTTATTGGATATCTATACTGGTGAAAATGCTACGTCCGTTACCATTTTTGAAGACTTGTTTTAAATGCCTCATTAAGTCTGAAGTCAAGTCCTCATTAAGTCAACGATTTTGACATTTATGTCTATAATTGATGAGCAACTTTACCTAAGCTTAGACTTGATTTAATTTTATATTTTGTTTTGAAAAGAGAATAAGAAAATATAGTATTATTTACTCTTTACGCTTACTGTATGGCAGTAATCTACAAATTTATACGAGTGATCTGAGTCTAGTTATCAAGCTAATTATAGACCAACTCATCATCCAATTAATAGCTCTCGAGGTGTGAAATAATGTCGTCCAACATATCAGTGATATAATTAAAATGGCTGCCATAATTCTTGCCCCAATTATTCATGTAATGTCAAACTGATTGACATTCAGCAAAACTGTTTGACATTGATTTATTGATGTGTCAAATTGTCCTGTCATTATTTTAGGTCGACCGTTTTTCTGTTAAGGTCGAAATACAGGCTAGATTGATGATAAACAAACAATGTAATGATTTTTTATAGCTAGTTATTTGCTTTGGGTTTTATTGCTCAACCAATAAGCATTTTTTGCTTTTTTATTTAGCTAGTAATATATAATATTTTATAAATTATTTTAATAGTACAGTACACATAATAGTACATATAGATATAATAATTATTATAAATATGTATAATATTCTGACTACATTTTTTGATATTTTTATCTCTTTTAGTCTATTCAGGTTTTTTTCATTTTAAATATTAGAAGATCCTTGGTAGTAGTGAACCAATTAAAAAAATATCTTCTACCCCTTGTTTTTTTCTATTCCAGGGAAAAGGTACCGGGTCTGGTCATCGTACCCTGCTTTACGGCAATGCTATCCTGCTAAGACATCTCAACAGTGACATGGTAAGAATTGTTATAAGATAGGCCGCAAACTGGTCGCCTGGTGGTAAGCAAGTGGCGCCACCTATGGCCATCTACAAGGTTAACCCTCTAAGTGCATATCCGGTCCTTATAACTTAGATACCGTAGCTATTTTTTATGTTTGGATAAAAAAAAAGTATTTTTCCATTTCTCTTATTTAAACTGAACAGAATGAGTCCGGCGATCCCTCTCGCTTTACCCTGGACGAGAGAAATTATTTGATTTACACCTTTCACAAAAACACATACCATTTATAATCAAATTGCTACTTTAATTTCCAGTACCTGGCCTGTCTGTCGACATCCTCATCTCAGGACAAGCTGGCCTTTGACGTGGGTCTGCAGGAGCATTCTCAGGGTGAGGCCTGCTGGTGGACCCTACATCCTGCCAGCAAACAAAGGTATTTAATTTATTATGTTTTATTATATTGTATTGATCATTTTTCTATTTTTTTATATGCCTATCTGTAAATTGGGGAGCATTTTACAGATAGGAAAGAAGATTGTGCATTGTGCAAGAAGTGGTAATAAATGAATTCACTTGTTTTTTTTAATATGATTTAACCTGAATGATATGTTTGTAAATTTATAGAGAAAAAAGAACATTGTGTCAATTTTTTTTATTAATAAATGGAATTATTATATTGTTATAATATTATCATAGCTTTATTTACCATAATTAATATTACATAAAATCTCATATTTTCGAATAATATTAATTTGTCTTTATTACATAAAACTAACTCATATTTTGTCATTCCCCAGATCTGAGGGTGAGAAAGTCCGAGTCGGTGATGACTTGATTCTGGTATCAGTCGCAACTGAGAGATACTTGGTAAGTACGATTTTAAACCTTATGCTCGTTATTATAAATATGTACCTATATTTATAAGATTATTATTATATTATACTATTAGAAATTTATGAACATGATATGCTCTAAGAAAATACGGCATGGTACTTAACACAAAAAGAAAATATATTATAAATATTTTTTGATATAGTATTTTTCGCTCTTTAAAGATAATGTATATTAATTTTATATTTAATATGATAGTAGGATGTAATAAAAATAAATGTAAAAACAATATAGGATTTTTTATAAATATTGAGTAATTATTTAACCCAGGGCAAGGTCATATTGTCACCATCAGAATGCTCTCCCCGAGTCATCACAAAAGGATTGAGGTTTATTTTATCGGTGAGGCTATAGGCTAAATATAGCCTAAATATAAATGTATTATGTGTACATTTGTGATCATTTTTATGTTGCGTTTAAATGTAAAATCGCATTTCATTTTAATTTAAAATTTGTTTTTTAATTTATCAGTTACCCATTGTCAATTTGCATAGCACATTTTTATCACAAAATTTATTTTTTTTATTGTAAAAGCTATTTTTAGCTTTAAATAAAAAACTTAAATTATTACATGTCGGATTATTAATAATGTGAACTTTATATTGCATATTTTTTAAATGTTACATTTTATTTCGTCGACGCATTTAGGTAATTGTTTCATTTTTATTTTAAATGTTGTGAACGTATTTGTGAAATGTAAAACACATGTTGGGCACTTAGTTCTATGTATCACTTTGTTGTTTAGTTTACATTACAAACATATGAATCTAATTAATGTGAATGTAGGTATCATGCATTTATGTTTTGTTAATTCTGAATACTGAAATCGAGGTACTTATGAATACATAAAGTTTATTACTACTGCGGTTGACGTAGTGGCGCGACACGTTGCGCAGTATCCAGTTGCCCAAACTGGCTACTGCGCAACGTGTCGCGGGTCCGATTCCAGCGCGGAACAACACTTTGTGCGATCTACAAACTGCTGTTAATAATAACATATTTTTACAAAATGCCTTTTTTATGGCTTTGGTCGGCAAACAAGCAGACATAATTATTACCTGATGGTAAGCAATCGGTGCAGTCCTACTCGCGATACCGCAAAAGTTACTACAAATGCGATGCCGGTTTCTTGCATATCATTTAAGGATAGGCATGAGCGGTGGGGGAAAAGATTGAGTTCAGAACAATTAAAATTCTAAATTAACTAAAAATCGCGGGTTACTCACGTATATAAATTGAGAAAAGCTCTAATAGTTTCGAACCACAGAGGGGTTCTTCCTCATGAGCAGCGATGTCGCGCAGCCTACTGACCGCGTCAATTTATACACCGATGTTTAGTTAATTTAGTATGTCTCACGATGGTTATTATTAAAATTAAAATTCTATTAATTAAATCCCTTAACAAATTAAAATAATGCCAAGATAAAACGTACTATAGATATGTCCAATAATAACTCACAATAAATCTCAATTAATTCCCATTCAATTTATTTACCTAAAGTAATATTTACCTATCGTTCCATTTCACAGCACACAACAAAAGAAAACGAAGTATCGATAGTGAACGCGTCGTTCCACGTGACTCACTGGTCGGTCCAACCTTACGGTACCGGTATCTCCCGTATGAAGTATGTGGGTTATGTCTTCGGAGGAGATGTCTTGAGGTTCTTCCACGGAGGAGACGAGTGTCTCACCATACCTAGCACTTGGACTAAAGACGGAGGGCAGAAGTAAGTGAATGAATTGTTGATTTTTGTGTTTGATTTTTTGTGTCTGGCTGGGACCGAGTTGGTTTGGTGCAGAATCTGTCTGGCGAGTTCTGTTATTGGAAAATTTAAAAAGGGAAATGATTTTTAGAGTACTTGGGATAACGTCGGTACATAAAAAAATTTGCTTGGGAATAATTTACCTAAGTGATATATAGTTATTCATTCCCAAATAACTTTTGTTTCTAAAACAAATACCTATAACAATAACTGAAAGATACATTTACTAACCACCGTACTCAGAGTCATTTCTAGTTTATTTAACCGAACCCTTTACAATTTTTTTGTTTCGAAAAATTTGTCAATTTAAAACGGTAGAATATTTTGGCCCACTTTTTTCGTATTGTTTGGACAGTGTTGTTCTTTTTTGTGAATGACACTGACAGTTCACGTTACTTAGAAATTCAAAAAATAATTGAAGCTAAAAAAATGCTATTTTTTTTTTGTTAATTAAAAAACTCATTGGTATTATTATTACTCAGATTTTTTTATAATTATCACTAATTTATTTCAGTATTGTGGTCTACGAAGGAGGTTCAGTGATGTCGCAAGCTCGTTCACTATGGCGCTTGGAACTGGCTCGCACCAAGTGGGCGGGAGGGTTCATCAACTGGTACCATCCAATGAGGATCCGGCACATCACCACCGGCAGATACCTCGGTGTCAACGATCAAAATGAACTCTATTTAGTTAGCAGGTTGGTTGATTTCAATTTGTCAGCTTTGGTAAGATTGTTGTTGAGTATTTTTGGAATGATAAATTTCTGGGGAAAGGAAGTTGGAATTTCTGATAGAGTATGGACTATAGTCTGCTACTTCCACTCACTTCATCCAGTGGAGGAGAACCAATTAATGATTATTTTCGTCTCTACAAAAAAAAGAGAAAGAAAATTTAATTTGTATAATTAATTCACTTGTCTAATACTAAATGTGATCACTGTGTGATGACAGATAGAACATGCTGTTGAAATTGCAGCAATAATTTTAGTTATTATAGTATATTGGCTGCAATAAAAAAAATATCTAATCACATCAATGTCTTCTGAAAACAATAAAGATACTACTATTTTTAATAATTATACGACTTTCATCTTCAGAGAGGAAGCTACAACAGCATCCTGCGCCTTTTGCCTTCGCCAGGAGAAGGATGATCAGAAACAAGTGCTGGAAGACAAGGATCTGGAAGTTATTGGAGCTCCCATCATCAAGTATGGTGATTCCACTGTCATTGTGCAGCATTCAGAGACTGGACTGTGGCTTTCTTATAAGGTAACTTATTCTACCTATAATAAGTTCTATGCAAAGGGTATTCAGTAAACGTAACAGTCGTTGTAAACACAGTCGACGGCATCAAGTAATTCTTCTTGAACAGTATGAATATTGAACAAAACTGCTTAGACAAAAAACAACGCAGATAGAATCGGGAGAAGTCATTTGATGATTTTCCCCTGGCAAAAAAAGGGCAGGCTTCTAAGGCGATAGTTATAAAGTTCAAATTTAAGGATGTAGCCTCGCTATGTGTTTTCTAACGCTTATATTGAAGGGGAATGTTCTGAAAAATTGTTCGGTTTTATCCCTGTCGCATTATCTAACCCTCATCATCAGCCTGTTGTCGTCCACTGCTGGACATAGGCCTCCCCAATTGCACGCCACTGAGCTCGATGTTCAGCTCCTCTTATCCAACCACTGCCAGCCACCCTGCGGATGTCATCAGTCCACCTATGTAACCCTGGTACCTCACGAAAACATTTTCATCCCCATCACATTGATGTGGGTTGGCAGACAACAACTGTGCGATTTACTGAAACTTTCTACCCCGCACAGCAAAACTTTGTCTCTGTCAATTATCTTAAGGCGGTGGTATTTCCGTACCGATACGACCTTCAAACTTTCAAGAAATGAGTGTACTCCTTCTTAAAAGGCTGGCAATGTGCCTATGCCTGTTCTGGTGTCCATGGGCGGCGCAGATCACATACCATCTGTTAGTACGTCAGCTCGTTTGCCTCCTATTCCACAAAAAAATTCATCAGCTCTGTAAGAGACCTTTAACTTGGCAAAAACGTTTTTCACAGTCATACGAAACAAAGAAAAAGGGTGTTGGTAAAGTGGAAGAAAAGCAAGCCATCCTACACGAAGAAGGCAAGATGGACGACGGCCTAGACTTCTCAAGGTCACAGGAGGAAGAGTCCAGAACAGCCAGAGTTATTAGGAAGTGTTCCTCCCTATTCACCAAGTTTATCAAGTGAGTTAACTTATCACTACATAGTATAAAACAAAATCGCTTTCTCTGACCCTAAATTCGCATGTTGGCTTAAAACTACGCATTGAATTTTGATCCGGTTTTTAATAGATAGAGTGATTGAATAGAAATTATAGGTTTATATGTATGATAATATCCATTAAATAGTGGACAAATTAGTGTCAGCAACGCACGAAACCGGGGCGGAGCTAGTGATATATGAGCGTGGGAGAGCCATGCTTTGGCATGAATTAACACTTAAATTGAGTTTTATACATGTTCGTTATAGGTAAAAAATATTATCACTTTTCTTTTCTTTAATCTTATACTCGACGTTGTAATAATAATAAGTTGTCTCCCATTAAGTATCCCCTCCGATCATAAGGTTCTACTTCGAAAATTATTAATTTTAAAAACCTTTTCTCAGTGGCCTTGAAACCCTTCAAGAGAACCGTCGCCACTCGATGTTTTTCGCGTCAGTCAACTTGGGAGAGATGGTGATGTGCCTCGAGGATCTGATCAACTACTTCGCGCAGCCTGACGAGGATATGGGTAAGTGGAACATTGATCAAATTTGTTTCAAACAAGAAACATCGGTTTAAGAAACATTTTTGCCATTAGATGTATTGAATTTCTGTCCAAAATCTAAATCAACTGAAAGGTTTTGATTTTAGGTCTGTTCGTTCTTTCGGCAATTAGATAGAAAGTTTTTTAAATAAAGAAAATAAGTCGGAGTAGTTCCAAATATTCTTAATAGGTAATATAAGAAACCTAGCCTAGTTCATGTAAAAATTGCTGAACATAAAAGGGCAATTTCCTCGGTCTAAAATAAATTATTTCAACTTATAAAACAATAAAAACATTCAAAAATAATCACACGTTCATTAATTAATTTACAAAATCTTCTCATTTATTTGTAACTCCTGAGGAATATTTATGACTAAAAAAAGACTAAAAAAAAGATAGTGTCACAACGTGCTACTTCATACTTTAAAAAATTCAAAGAAAACTGACCTTTTTGATGTTCCTAAAATATTCTCTTGCGTCATGTAGGACACGTCGCTCCATCTATTGATTTCGTACTAGAACTATGTTTTGTTGATCTCTCATTTTAACCTTTCAGTCGTGAGAATACGAGACACAATAAAATAACAATATGTGTGCAAACGCCGGCGTTCGCTTGGGTTTTGATGAATGACTACTTACCTATTTTTATTTCAGAACACGAAGAGAAGCAAAACAAGTTCCGCGCTCTCCGAAACCGTCAAGACCTGTTCCAAGAGGAAGGTATCCTCAACCTGATTCTCGAAGCCATTGACAAGATCAACGTCATCACGTCGCAGGGTTTCCTGGCTGGTTTCCTTGCTGGAGACGAGTCGGGACAGAGCTGGGAGATGATCTCGGGATACCTTTATCAATTGCTTGGTAAGAAAAAAAGGTCTACTCTAAAATTGTTGGTGTGAGAGAGCCATAATTTGGCACGAATGGTGCAGCTTGACCGGAGTGATACAAAAAACCGGTATGAAATAACCACAGGGTTGTGACTTGATCCCCAAATCCCCTAACCTTAAATCCTATTAGGACCCACAAAATTTCGGCTAAGCTTTTGTAGACGCTTGTAAAATCTTGTCCTTTGGTACTACGAGTCAGTAATAGGACGAAAATATTGACTGCACGCACGATTAAACTGCACGGTTGACACAGTGGCTGGGCAAGTGGCTGCCGTGCAACGTGTTGTGGGTTCGATTTTTGCACGAAAGAACACTTTATGTGATTTACAAATTATTGAACAATTTAGTATGTTTGCAAACGCAACCACGGCACAGAAGAAATTCTAATGTTGCCCCAACGTAGTTAAAAAGAAAATAACAAAATGTCCGTAAATGAATCTCATTTGGCTTGAGCCCGTGGTTTTAAAAAAATGCTTTAAAAAGTCTAGAAAATCGAATGATGTTTCTCTAATAAAATCAATTCTTTCTCCCTCTTTCCAGCCGCGATTATAAAGGGTAATCACACGAACTGCGCGCAGTTCGCTAACTCGAACCGCCTGAACTGGTTGTTCTCCCGGCTGGGGTCGCAGGCCTCGGGGGAGGGTACTGGTATGCTCGATGTATTGCACTGCGTCCTCATCGACTCGCCTGAAGCCTTGAACATGATGAGGGTAAGTTAACTTTTCCTATTCTGTATGAGAAACTTCTTAAATATAAATCAATTGCCGGGGTTGCGGGGTAAGCGCAATGAGGCACCACGACCTCGGCCCAGAGCAGGAGAAGGAACAGGGGGGTTTTTAGTCAGTAAGAGTCTGACACTCCCTCCCGCCCGGCCCTGGGCGGTAGAAGTCATTTGATGATTTTCCCCTCACAAAAAAAAATATAAATCAATTATCGACCCGCCTCGGCTTTGCCTGGGTACAATGTTAATACTTAATTTATTGTATATAATAATATAACGTTTAATTCAATCTCTTAGTTTCTCATGCAAATATTCACGAACTTTAAATTGAGCCGAATTTTCGCCTTCTTTATCCAAACTATTATTTTAAATGCGAAAAACTCCAGATAGGACATAGGAAAGCTTTTAAACCAATAATCTGCAGGAAGTTACTATTTCACGCGAACATGGTCGTTGGCAAAAGCTAGTTTTTTGATATATCTAAGCATAATATATATGCATGTATATTTATCTTATCTATACATACGTGATATCATGACATCAAACAGCATTATATGTATACTTTAAAGTAGTATATGTATTTATATTATTGCTGTATATATACATACATATTTATTAATTAAAAATATAATACCTACATATTACATACCTATGTATAAACATAGGCTTAAACAAATATGTAGGTAGGTAGGTAGGTGCTCAAAACAAGCATCATCAGTGACATTATTGTCACTGATGATGCATCCAAAGGTTTGGCTGTTAGAGAATGCCCATGGCATTAAGCCCACCTTTGTATATTTTTTGTGCATAAATATATTAATGCCCGGTTCCTATATTTAACGAATCGTCGTTGTATACACATTACGACCAAATGACATTACGAATAGTTATCTTGACCGTCTACTGACGGTTAAAATATTTATAGGAACACCACAGACACCATAGATCTCCATACAATTCGCTTACCGACATCCGTTAGTTGCAAACCGTCAGTAAGTTGCACGACGAGACGTTTGTTATAGGAACGGTTTTAGCTTACGAGTCGTATATAAAACTACTATTCGTAACTAAAACGGATCGTTTCTCAATTATAGGAACCGGGCATAAATGAATAAATAAATAAATGTGTTATAATCTTCCTCTTTATTTACAGGATGAACATATAAAAGTGATTATCTCCCTACTCGAGAAGCACGGTCGTGATCCAAAAGTATTGGATGTTCTATGTTCTCTTTGCGTCGGTAACGGAGTGGCCGTCCGTTCGTCACAGAACAATATCTGTGACTATCTACTGCCTGGCAAGAACTTGCTTCTGCAGACTGCCTTAGTTGACCACGTGTCGAGGTGAGTTTGAACCTTAAGTCTGTGAAAATAGGGTTTAATATATTTGATGATTTTTTATTGCCTGACTTAAATTTACTACTGTTGTGGCTAACGTAGACCTTATGTCGAGTTGAGTTTGAACATTATTATTAAGTACAAACCTTAAAACATAGGGTTGAATTTAGTTTGAAGCACCTTGTTCTCGTACTATTGCCATTAAATTGTACTTTTAAATGATTTTCAACCTTATTGTTTTGTTATTAGAGATTTGATATAACTCTTGTATAGTGTATTTATTTTTATAACTGAACAGATTGATTTTAATTCACCAAACCCCAAGTGAACCTATTGTTCTCCTATAGTGCCACAAAATACCACGGTTGAAAGGTTAATCGGCAAAAATAATTTTATTTCGATCATAAGTCTTCCTAATTCACTCAACAGGGTTAAAAAAAAAAAAAAAAAAAAGTCAAAAATCATTTATTCCAATTAGACCTTTACAGGCACTTTTGAACGTCAAACAAAATTTAAAATAAAAAATAGTGTCAGTCTGTCGGTCAGTCCTCTTAGTGAAGCTATTTGCTCGTTCCAAAGTGTAGATTCCGATGGAGAAGAACGAGCAAGAAACTCCATGGTTACTCTTTTTAAATCAGTTTCACATACAGATTCCTTTTACAAACAGTTGGTTCAATTATGTGAGAACAGTGTAACACTAATATTTATTCAAATATAAAAATAAAGTAACCTTAAGGACAATAGACAGTCCGGAGCTGACCAGTCCCAACTGACGGCGCTCGTTCACGAGCATGACACGTACACCAGCATCGCCCAACTCAACCATATTATAGGGAATTAAGCGATCCAGTGCCCATGCCACCGCCAGTGTGACCTTTCAGTGAGCATGACAACTCCAAGCTGTTATAAGGACCGACATTCTGCTAGTCTAACCAATTATAATAGGTTACAGGGCACTCAATTTACAAATTTATCAAGTTATCGTTATACAATATAATGCAATTTCACTAAAATGAAGAAGTCCCGTTCAAGCAAAATCCATTGGAACGTTATTTATTTTGGTGTACGTTTGCTATCCTGTGGAGCAGGACCAGCATGTCTCCAAGCATCTTTATCTACAATGTAATCATTCAGTGTGTAGTATGCTTTTCTACATAAAGTTTTCTTTACACATAATTTAAAATTTCTTTCATTTAATTGTTGTATTTCACCTGGGATTTTGTTATAACATTTAACACAGAATCCCATGAACGACTTATGTACCTTTGCCAATCTAAATAATGGCTGACATAATCTATCTCTATGTCTAGTTTGATAATTATGTCTATCTGACACCTTATCGAATATTTTTAAGTTTTTCCTAACATACATAATGTTTTCATAAATAAACTGACATGGCACGGTCATAATATTGATCTCTCTAAACTTTTCTCTAAGAGACTCACGACGCTTTAGATTGTAAATAGCTCTGATGGCACGCTTTTGCAAGACAAAGATAGACTCAATGTCAGCAGCCTGTCCCCACAACAAGATGCCATACGACATAATGCTATGAAAGTAGCTGAAGTACACCAGTCTTGCAGTGTCCACATCTGTTAGCTGTCGGATCTTCCAGACAGCAAATGCTGCAGAGCTCAACCGTCCTGCCAGAGATGTGATATGGGGCCCCCATTGTAGTTTGTCATCTATGGTTATACCCAGGAAAGTAGTTTGTTTTACAAATTCCAATTTATTACCGTTTAATAATATGTCACATTCGTTACTTTTAAATTTGGCAAACTGAATCGTATACATTTAGTCTTTTTGTCGTTTAGAACTAAATTATTAATTGTAAACCAATTATGAACCTTCGTTATAGCATTATTTACGTCGTCATAATTATCTGTCCGTCTATTTATTTTAAAAATCAACGATGTGTCATCAGCAAATAATACCATTCCCGGTTCACGTTGAAATAAATGAGGTAAATCATTTATGTACACTAAAAACAGGAAAGGACCTAATATTGAGCCCTGTGGTACGCCCATAGATATGCTAGTACCCTGGGAGTTCACTTTATTTACTTGTACTTTGAACTGCCTATCCTGCAGGTATGATTTTAATAAATTGAGAGATACCCCTCGAATGCCATAGTGTTCCAACTTCAGCAACAGTGTCGTGTGTTCAACGCAATCAAAAGCTTTAGACAGGTCACAAAAAATCCCAATAGCGTCGTTTGACTTTTCCCATGAGGCAAAAACATGCTTAAGTAGAGCTACACCGGCGTCAGTTGTGCATCGACCCTTGGTAAACCCATATTGTTGGTCATGAAAGATGGAATTTATGTTAAAGTGTCGTAGCATCTGAGAAAGCATTAGCTTTTCAAACACTTTACTAAGCACTGGTAAAATTGATACCGGCCTATAATTATTGGGATCATTGTCATCGCCAGATTTAAACAACGGAACTACCTTGCTAAGTTTCATCAAATTTGGAAAAAACACCCTGATCTACACTTTTATTAAAAATTACAGCTAAGTAAGGCGCTATAGCTTCTATAAAAGACCTACACACCACAACAGACATTCCCCATAGATCCTCTGTAGACTTAACTTTTATGTCTTTAAACGCCTTTATTACTGATTGCGGGTCCGTGTACTGAAATCGGAAGCCAGAACGGCATTCTTTAACATTTCTTTTAAGAAGACTAATAGAAAGTGCCGGAGATGATTCTAAGTCTTTCGTAGTTTTAATGGGGATATTCTTGAAAAAAAATTCGAATTCTTGGGCAACTTCTTGATTAGCATTAACTCGTCCATTATCCGTATTTAAATTAAATTCCGTGTTATGCAATTTATTTCTGCCTGTCTCGTTATTAATTACCTTCCACGTAGCTTTTGTTTTATTTTCAGCATTTTTAATCTTATTGCCAATATAAAGTGATTTAGCTTGCTTACAGACTGTTTTAAATATTTTTGCATATTTGGACACATGCTTGCTGAAGGCTTCACTAGTATCAAATGGTTTCATACCATATAGCTCAAATAACCTTTCCCTACTTCTACGAATACCTGGGGTAGCCCAGTCACAGAATACAAATTTACACTCAATAGTTTTTCTTTTTAAGGGGAATATTTTATCAAACTGGGTTTTAATCACGGACAGTAGATTGTCATACATCTCACTTGGACCTTCATAATCATGTGATGGGCTGCATAATTTATGTTTCAAATTGTTATTTAATAACTCAACCCTTTTATTTGTGATTTGCCTAAACATTATTTCCTTTTTTGGCACCTTTGTGATGTTGTTAAGGTTCATTGTTAACCCACTGTGGTCTGATGGTAAGGTATTTATTATATCCTTATGTAAATAATTACAGTTACAAAATATATTATCTATGCATGTAGCCGAGGTGGATGTTACTCGGGTGGGCTCAAGGAAAACATTAAACAAATCAAAAGATTTAAAAAGACTTACCAAATTAACACAATTAGAATTGTTTTCTAAGAGATCAATATTAAAATCGCCACATACTATTGTGAATTTACTGTTTGAACACGCTTTCTGCAAAACTTGTTCCATGACTGAGTTAAAAATGTTTAAGTTCTGTAAGTTAGGAGGTCTATAAACGCATATTACAACATGCCTGGGTCGATTTCAAATTTGGGGCCAAAAAAGTGTGAATTGCATGATATTTCAAAAATATTAAAAATATATATGTTTATATATCTAGGTGCATTCATTAGTTAAAAAAACACATGCTAATCAAACAAACCTTTAATTTCTTCCAATAACAGGGAAAATACACATTTTTGAGTGACACGAATGAGCAATATAATTTCTCTAATGATATTTTGTGATTTTCTAATGAGATCTCTGGTAACACGAATGAAAATTAATAAATAATCAACAAAACATAAAATATTTGTCATTAACATTATTAATAGTAGGTAGGGTAGTAACATTATTGCAGTGAAGGTGGATGTGCCGGTCACCGTACTACAGATATTAATTATTTTAAACTTAATTCCAAAACAATAACTTATTCAACTAAGCTAATCAATGGTATACATTTCTGATTTCAGTCTTCAAGATTGGTTAACGCTACTCCTTTTTCATTGCGTTTACAATAACAATATCCATATTATTAATAGCTTCTTCATTAATTAATCTGATAAGGGATCGTCATCATCATCTTCACATTTTTTAAAAAAATCAAGGAATTCTTTTTCGTGATCTGTCGCTTTTGTATAATTATTTATAAAACATTTATTGGCCCAGGAGTGTCGAATACTGCGGAGACTTGAAGTTGATGGTGTGCTGTCATGTAACATTGGATCATCGGTATTAGCATAGCGAATGGTAACATCACTAAGTACCTTAATTCTTTTGTTTTCCGGGATGACCTTTACATTTTCCATTGTAGATCCAATTGGAGTATTATATATCTTAAAAAATCTCATATGTTTGCCATGTTTACAAGCGACACTTATACATTCGAAACAGCTCTGTTTTCTAAATTCTAGATAAGCAGAATCAGCTGCCCAAATGACCTGTAAGGAAAATATATGTATTATTATTACATTGTATATGGTAACATCAGTATATTTTTTATTTGTTGTATAAAATATACCTGATGAACTGTCATAGTCCCCTTGAAAGTGGCAATATCTTTAGGCAACATTAATTCCCTTAATTTAATTTCGTGCTCTTGAATAATACCCATTTCTACGTTTTTTATATTTCTTCGAATAATGTTAACAAAGGCATCAAAGTCTCCGACATCCTGATGACACTTTAATTCATAATCGGCAGTCCTTTTGATTACTGCTCCAATGCCATCAGGAGCACCCTTGCCGTGCCCAGCTTCTTGATAATTCCACGTGACGAGATTTAGATCTGGGAAGTCATTCCTTAATTGAGTTAATATATAAAATATATATTTATTTAAAGTAAAGTAAAGTAAAGTAAAGTAGTCTTTATTGTGTTGATTGTGTTGGTTACAGGTGTTATACATATTTATAGTGGTATACAGTACAACAATCAGCCCGTTTGGGCATACAATAATCAAGGCCCATTTGGGCTAGTACATTATTAATTAAAACAAAATTACAAGTTAACAACAAAAAATATATAAAAGTTACACATTACTTATTTTCTAAAAAATCCTTAATTGCATAATAACATTTTTGTGTAAGCCATTCCTTTATTTTTACTTTAAATAATCTTAATGGAAGTTCTCTGATAGTTTGGGGTATTTTATTATAGATTTTTATACACATAAACATACAATTTCTATGATACAGAGTGGTTCTGCATTTTGGTACAACAATCTTACTAGGATCTCTTTTGCTGAATGCACTGTTTTCTGAAACTTTTTCGAATAATTGTGGGTGATTTCTTACGAAGAGACCAACTTCAATGATGTATAGGGAAAAAATGGTAAGTATTTTAGTTTTCTGAAATAGGGGTTTGCAAGAATCAAAGGGACCGGCATTACACATTGCTCTTAAACAGCGTTTCTGTGCCAGGAAAACTTCGTTTATTAAGGTTGAGTTGCCCCATAGTAATAAACCATATCGTAAAACTGATCCTATATAACCATGGTAAGCAGCAATTGCTGTGGATTGAGTAGCAGTTTTGCTAAGCTGTCTTAGAACGTAAACAAATTTGTTAAGTTTTGAACATACATAATGTATATGAGACTTCCAATTGCAGTAGTTGTCTACAGTTATACCTAAGAATTTAATTTCAGTGGTTGGACTAATCACTGTATTATTATATTGCAAAGTAATTTTTTTGGTCCATGTTTGATAGTTAGAAAATTGTATATATTTAGTTTTAGTTAAGTTAGCCTGTAAGTCATTGTATGTTAGCCATTGTATTACATGTCCTAGGGTTTTATTAGCCTCTTCTTCGTGGTGGTTGTTAGCTCGGTCAGTGTTAGGGATAATGATACATATGTCATCTGCGAATAAGATACATTGGTGGGGTGTTATATTGGGAAGGTCATTTATGTATAACAAGAACAAGAGGGGTCCCATAACACTACCCTGTGGGACTCCTGATTTGTTATTTCTGTACTGGCTTGTGGGACTATCTGTTAAAATGTGAATGCGATTAATTTGTGATGATCTGTTAAAAACAAATTTAATTAAATAATTTAGATGAGCCCACACTGCCGCTGCATCATGACGGGTACATTCACTGGCTGAGCAAACAGAATAGGATTGAGTAGCATTGGAATCATTTTTTAAATAAACCACTGCTGTATGAAGTGAGACTTGACCACGGCTGCCACCAAAATGCATGCTTTGTACTTCCTCCGAATATTTATAAGAATAATTTTCCGAAAAATCCATATGAACCAAGGCTTCGTTAGTAGTTAGAGATTCTTTTAAACATTTAATAGTAGCATACTGGTTGACAATGTTACTCGTGTGGGACAAAAATTTTGGCAGAATATTTTCCAGTTCAATTATCAGGTTACGAGGATCAGATCTCTTTGTTTTCTTCTTGATTATTTTTATTTCTTTCGTGTCAACTTTTTTGGTGTCTCTTTCCCATACCATGTACTGTATTTCTTTATCGTTTCAGAATTCTTTATAAGGTACTGTTTTATTTTTACATGAAGCGCATTTGCGATTAAGACAATCTAGCCTGTATTTATCACAACAGATTTCCTTTATCAAATTATGACTATCTTTTACATGAAGAATATTATTCTTATTAAGAGCCGCTATTAATAAGTTAAAATTTGTGTGCAACAAGCAGGCGCACGTATCACGGTCGTCAGTCGGAAGAGAGACCCAAAATGGTCTGAGTCTTGTAAAAGTCGTGTAACTAATTTTAATGTTAGTATTTTCAGCCAAAAATTTCTTGTGTAAGTTTTTTATAGAATCTAAAAGATATCTGACTTGTTTAACGATTCCATGTTTCTTCTTATATTGTTTCTTGCCTGGAGTAATGCGACTGTTAATGTCGTATTCGTAAAACTTTTCTACTAATTTTTGAATGTTGATGTTATTACGTGCATTCTTCTTAAATCGTTCTCGAAGATGAACTTTCCGAAAGTCAGTAGCAACCTTAAATTTTTTAAACTTCTCTTTATGAATTAACTTAGTGATAACGCGTTTGTCTTTCCTGTTTGCTGTTTTTGCAAATTTCTGTGTTATTTCAGCACTTAGAAGTCTATCAAATAATTGCTTCTTGTCTTCATTTTTTGTTTTTTCTGCTTCATTACTTATTTCACCTGTTAGTGTAGATATTTTTCTTTTTAAATAATTTAACCTGAACCTGTACCTATTTAATAATAATATATAATTTCGTTTCTCTTTTTCGTTTTTGTTCACGCTTACTTATTTTGGGTTTTATTTCTTGGTTTTCTATATTTAAAGGATCTGTATTCATGTTAACATTTTCAATATCACAACTTTCTTCAGTTACTGCAACGTTCTCTATAATTCTTTGGCTTACTTTCTTTCTATAAAACTTTTTGGAACTCTCTTTCCATTTTCGTCTTTGAATTCTTTGCTCGCGTGGGCTCATTTCGTTAATACTTTTAATTTTTTTATTCTCCTTCGCTTTTAAGTAATATTGTCTTTTTTTTTCTTGCTCAGCGGCATATAACTCAGGATTGTTTTTAATAGTTTGATATTTTTGTCTTCTAGATATTCTACGCCTCTCTAATTCTTCCTCACTTTTTTGTTTTTTTGGTTTTGCCATTATTTAACACTTAATCTGAAAGTAAACAAAAAAAATCATTAGTGTGACTTTCCACATAATTCGTGTGACTCGTGAATCGACACAAATGAAAGTGACACGAATGATATTTTTGGAAGTAATTCGAATTTATTTTGTAAATAGAACGTTCTAGAATATACCGTACATTGGAAACAAAATATCCTCTCAATGGGTTGTTAAACAGCCAAATCAAAAACAAAAACACATTTAACTTTGCACAATATGTGACAAAACACTAATGATATAAATTTGTTACCGAAGTCAAAATCTTACCTGCAATTTGGAATTTCTCTTAAAATAACGCCACACACAACTGACGAGCACGCACGTACGGTCACGACTGAGCACACGGGACGCGCGCGGGGTAAAGGGCGGGGTAAATCAGGGAAGAATTCTATTTACTGATGCATTTTAATACGGTCACACAAATGATACTTTAAAAACCAACAGTTTTAGAAAGCTAAAAAAAACATATTTTTTATTACCCAGCATTTGTTTTAATATCTAATTATTCATCTTTAAAGTGTATACAGAAAAATACCACAATAAAATTAAAATTTCCTTGACGCGTTATTTCGTTTTTTAGAGAGATTTTAAAAAAAATAAGACTTTGGAGCATTAACACAAATGAGAAATAGGTACTAGTTTTGGATATGTCTTTTTAATTTACAATCATAAAAGATTCGTTGTAACTGGCGTTTGAACGTCTCATAAGACTACATGATTTAAAATAATTAAAGTTACGATAAATTCTACATCATGAGAAATAAATGAAATTATATGCTTTTGGCCCCAAATTTGAAATCGACCAGCCTATCCAGCTCCACACAGGACAATTCAATTGTATGCTCAATGGAAAGTGAAGTAATATCTTGTCTTTCTTTATATTTAATTGAGTTTTTTAATAATATTAAACTACCACCATGAATCATTGCTTGACGGCTAAAGAAACTACCTTAAATGAGTTTTAATGCAAAGATAAATGTATCCTGGTACTCCCTACTCATATTTGAAATGGCATAACTCTATCCAAAACTAGATCTACAAATTCCAATCCCATCACGATTATAATAAGGTTTCTTTTTACAGTGTTCGTCCAAATATCTTCGTGGGACGCGTAGAAGGATCTGCAGTATACCGCAAATGGTATTTTGAAGTGACAATGGACCATATTGAGAAGACCACGCATATGATGCCGCATTTAAGGATCGGTTGGGCTAACACTACTGGGTAAGATTTTACTGACTTTTTATTCTGTTAGTGACATATTATGTAAGTATGGGTGAACCATATATGCTTCGGCACGAATGTATAGGCTCCAACGGAGTGATACCACGGTCTCACAGAAAACCGTCGTGAAACAACCACAGCGTTGTGTTTCGCCGTGTGATTGAGGTTACCGAAAGGCCAATCCTTCGCTACCCATTACCCCCAAAATCCAATCTTCAAATACCTAACAACTAAGGTTGCTATAAAATAAGAATATTCTTTGACTTTTTAAAAAAAATATTTATCTCCATTTCAGCTACGTCCCCTACCCTGGTGGTGGGGAGAAGTGGGGTGGTAATGGTGTGGGTGACGATTTGTACTCATATGGTTTCGATGGAGCCTACCTCTGGTCTGGTGGCAGGAAGACTCAGGTTAACAGAACTCATGCTGAAGAGCCTTATATTCGAAAAGGTTGGTAACATCCTTTGGTTTTTGTATCACTCATGATTTTAAAAACTAACTTTATTAGTTTTCGATTTTGAAATATGTCCTTCATTAGTTTCATAATCCGCTAAGAAGTGGAATTCTTTGCCGGAGTCTGTTTTCCCCGAATAACTTGGGTGTCATCAAGGCCCGAGTGAATAGGTTTCTTGTAGGTAGGCGTGCTCCATCGTAGGTCGCATTACGCTTGCCACCAGGCGTGACAGCGATGAAACGCCTGCCCATTACGAAATAAAAAAGACATTATTTTATTTTGTAATGGGCAGGCATTTAAATAATTTGCTGTTCGTTAATCTGGCTCAAACTCGAAAACGGCTGGACTGAAAGAGCTTACTGTGATCTTGAAATATTCCTGGATATACAGAGAAGGTACTTTTGAGGTTATTTTTGAGGTGGTTGGAAGTTTGAGGCGGGTCATCTAGTTTTTTTTTCTGAATAATATGTTTTAATAAAATAAATATACCTCATTTCTTTGTTCATTATAATTTAACTTATACAAAAGACAATATCTTACTAGATCTAAAAAAAAATTTAGCATTTTTAGCAATATTAAACCCATTGTCCCAAATGATTAAGAATATTTTCCTTTGACAGGTGACGTGATTGGTTGCGCGTTGGACTTGACAGTGCCTATAATCAACTTCATGTTCAACGGAGTCAGGGTGACAGGCTCCTTCACTAACTTCAATCTGGAAGGCATGTTTTTCCCTGTCATCAGTTGTTCTAGCAAGCTGAGGTAAGCGATTTACTTTGATAATTTTTGGTTGGTGTAGAGGCTAGGTACCTGGTTTTTTTATGTGTTGGGTCGGCAAACATGCATATTTATTACCTGATGGTAAGCAATCAGCGCCGCCCATGGACACACGCAACGACAGAGGAGTTACGTTGTCGACCTTTTGGCCATTAGGGGTTTGGAGATTTTGGAAAAAGGAACGGATTGGGCCTTCGGTAACATCACTCACACTCCGATCGAGCCGACCCATTCGTGCCAAACAATACTTATATCAAGGTCTAAAATTTTATTAGATGCACAATATTAATAATAGTTATACTATCCAAAAACTTAGGTAAGAACATGTAACATTTGTTTAAATATTACTAAAATATATTATTCCGACCAAATTTTACTATAACGTGGTTTTTTCACCCGCAGTTGTCGATTTCTTCTGGGCGGAGAACACGGTCGGCTTCGCTACGCTGCCCCGGAAGGATACTCTCCTCTCGTGGAGTCCCTCCTCCCACAGCAGATATTGAGCTTGGAACCATGTTTCTACTTCGGGAACCTGGCAAAGCGAGCGTTAGCTGGCCCACCACTGGTTCAGGATGATACCGCTTTCGTACCTACCCCGGTCGACACGCTGCAGGTAAGAATTTAAATGAAATATTTTCTTTAAGGAGATAGATCCATAAAAGAGCAAATTACCTGATGGTTAATTATTAATATCCCCAAGGAGATGCAAGTTTACTGCCGGCCATTTTGTGGTTTTAGAATCAGGGGAATTAGGGATTATACAGGGTAAGGTTTTAAGCTTTTGACCTCCGGTAAGTCCTACTCACAAGATGGGTTGTGGATTAATTACCGCCATAAAATGCTATTACGATACCCCTAGCCCTTGCATTCCAAACTGTATTCGAACACCAAAAGATCTGATCTCTGAATTTGAATGATCATCAAACGATAGCGAGATATTAAAAACTAATATTATTATTTTTGGGTTAACTAACAATTAATTTTTTTGGATTCATTAATCTTAAAATTAAAAGATTTCATGTAAAAACTTTAATTATAATTTTTCATTGAAAGACTATTTAAATCTTTGTGATCGTTTACTGTTTTAGCCCGTTATATTTTGCTGTATCTGGTCGTAAGCTAATAAGCTAGATACGCCGCATGCTTTCACGCTGGTTTTCTGTAAGGCTGTAGGTATTATAACTCCGGTCAAGCTATAAATACCGAGGCATGGCTCTTTCACACTTATAAATATTATCATAATGGTAAACTTACGACGACTATTTTAATTTTTCGGTTCCAATGGAAATTTTTGTATTCTTATCTTATCCCAACATAAGTTCAATAAAGAAATTTAATTACGTATTTTGTTTTATTTTCAGATACCACTACCTTCTTACGTTGAACAGATCAGAGACAAGCTCGCTGAAAATATTCACGAAATGTGGGCCATGAACAAGGTACGTTGTTTGCCTAACTTTAAAAGAAAAGATTATTTAAATATAACTAAACTCTTAATGTTAATTTTTAATCAATTCCTGCGAAAGACATTTCTTATACTTATTTATAACTAGCGTACCTAACCGTACGGATTCAATGCTGATACGAAATTTCTCAATTATTTAATGGATGTTATTGAATTTATTATATGTATTATTTGTTATATATAGGTTAAAGTGGTTTACAAATGTTTAAATAGTGTAATTGGCTTCAGTCGTTCTATTTAAATAAATATATAAAATAAATATAAACCTTTCTCTTTAATCACTTTATCTGTTAAAAATAACACAGCATCAAAATCCATTGAGTAAATTCAAAGACTTAGCATACGTAGATATATAGGGACAGAGAAAGCGACTTTGTTTTATACTATATAGTAATTTTGTGGTTGTAGATTGAAGCAGGATGGATGTACGGTGATCAACGCGACGATTTGCACAAGATACATCCCTGCCTTGTCCCCTTCGAGCGCCTGCCACCAGCTGAGAAGCGATACGATATACAACTTGCTGTGCAAACACTCAAGTATGAACAAATATTTTAACTAGTTTTGCTTAAATTAAAAAACTAAATATTTCTTCATCATCATCATCATCAGTCTTTTAAGTGTCTACTGCTGAGCAAAGTCCTCTTCTCACACGGAGAAGGTTAGAGAATTGGAATCAATACCTTCATGCATTAGAAGCTGGCACTTTACCTCTGGGCCAGGACCACCGCTATTTTTATTTATTTTCATAGAAATTTGTTTCAGCCAAAACAGACTGCTGTTACAGATTACAGTGTCGGTAATAAGAATCTTGCAAATTTTGATACACGTCCCTTAACTACGGACCAATTTCTTTGAGAAGTAAATATTGTCATGTTTCTTCTCACATCTTGTATGGGATTGTGGGAGTGTCAGACTCTTACTGACTAAAAATCCCCCTGTTCCTTCTCCTGCTCTAGGCCGACGCCGCGGTATTCTTCTCTTCTCAGTCGTGCACTCTTGACAGAGTGGTCGTGGTCATGTGTCGGTCGAGTCTTGCGCCACTGCCTCTCTTGCGATGCGACGCCGCGGTAGGTATATTATTGCGCTTATCCCGCAACCCCGAAAAGATCATGATACTGTCTTTTAACCTTCATATAACTTTGATTTCATGTAACGTTTCATTGTTTTACTATAAAATACAATAAAATATTATTATTTGTTATAGGACAATCCTGGCTCTAGGCTACTACATCAGCTTAGACAAGCCGCCGGCGCGCATTCGCAACGTTCGTCTGCCGAACGAACCGTTTATGCAGGTAACATTTTTTTTTCTCAAAGTCGTCAAATAAAAGCAATTGGCGATGCAGAAGGAACTAGTAACCGCAGAAGAATTAGGAGGAGGATTGGGAATTTAGGGATTTGGTAGGAGAAAGAGGATGGGAGTCAAGTAACCTCTGTCATCCAGCCGCTCAAAACCCTGTGGTTGCTTCATGCAGGTTTTCTGTGAAGCCGTTGTATCACACCGTTCTAGCTTAATTAACTCTCTTTCACATTAAACGCCATTCGCCTCATAGTATGCCACATGTTTGAAAATAGTTCCAAACTCTAGCGAAGGATTAGCCTTTTCAACATATTTTGTCGTGAGTTAAAAAGTAAGTCTATGACATAAATAAAAGAGTTTATGAACAAATTGTTCGTTCCCAGTCAAACGGCTACAAGCCAGCACCCCTGGACCTGAGTGCTGTCACCCTGACACCGAAGATGGATGAGCTGGTCGACCAGCTCGCTGAGAACACCCACAACCTCTGGGCCAGGGAGAGGATACAGCAGGGGTGGACTTATGGACTTAATGAGGTAAGGGATTGTCAGCTTTGCGCGTTACGATTAAGGAGGGGGGATCTTTATATATTTAGAATGAATTTTATGTGAAGGCTGAAATTTTATATAGATTAATTTATTTTTATTTTTTAAATTATTTTCCTACAAGTCCAAAAGTGCATTGTATTGATATAATTGAAATAAATTATTTGTTTCTTAATTAGAGGACTTCAAATGGACCAAAATAAAGTTAACTAATTAATAAAATGTTTAAACGGTAACGATGTCTACTGTTGTAAGTGGTATTGATAATGATGAATTTTGCATAATGTACTATTTATAATTTATTTCTTTCAATAACATTATTAAAAACAAAGAAACACTGAAATCTTTCCAAATAATAACACATATACAACTGAACTCTTAAACAACTAGGTACTCAAATAATGATGGAATTTTTTGTACACGTAAGCGTAAATTGTGACCCACAACTGGACTCCATAGATGACGATATCATCATTATGAACCTTCAAAAAACAGTATATACTATATTTTTAGTTTTATTTGAAATATTGAGACCAAACGAGCAAACTGTTCCTTTTTTTGAGCTTCCCACCGACTTGGGTGGGGCGAGAGAAAGTGTTTTTTTTATAACCTTATTTTTTATTTTTTTATTTTTTTATTGTGAGACATTGATTGCAGATTTATTTTATAAGATATATATCATGTCGGCAAACGAACAGACGAATTACCTGATGGTAAGCAATACGCAACACCAGAAGTTAAGTGCTCTTTTCGAAGGTTTTTTTCTCACCATCCTTGGATATAGCCAGTCACATGCGCTGTGACTCTCACACTTAGTATGTGGCCTTTTATTAGGTGTGAGGGTCACAGCAAGATGTTTCTGTGTACCTCTGCGTTGAAGAAAGAAGATACTCCAATAAGACTTCAAAGAATCTTCTGTTTGATAGGTTTTGGGAAGAAAACTAACTATAAATAGAGGATGAACTGGGATTTAATGCGATAATACATATATATATACATATATAGTGCAAAGTCGGTGATCTTAAGGACCCGAGGGCGGTAATCATCAATACACATATGTAGATATCATATGACGTTTTCAACACACTTCCGAATAAAATATTACTTAAATAAAAAACCATCAAAAGAGAAACGAGATGAGTTGTGAAAAATGTTTCGTAATGGAAAAATTAATCTGCTTCTATAGACAAAAATATGAGGTTTATTTTTTTGGGCTTGGGGTTTTTTTTGAGGTATACCACGAAGCACACCCAAACGAAGCACACCTAGACGAAGCCCACCTAAAGTATTCCACTTAGCACACCAATAGGTGGGCTTCAAATAAAAATTTAAAATAATTAATTTTCTGTTCCACGAAGCACACCTACGAATGTCACTCGCCTAAAAATTCAAAATTCAAAAGTGTATATTTGCAAGAATTACATTGTTTAATAAGGAAAGGTCTTATATCCTAAAAGTCACTGCATTGCACACTAGTGCGGGGACTAAGGAATAAAATTGTCGATAGAAGAAAATGTTTATTATTTAAAAGATTACTTAAATTTCTAACATCGTTCAGTTTCATTATAATAATGTGATACAATATTTGACATTTTTGTAATCTTATTATTTAAAATTACAGATTGTTTCATTTATCTTTCCAAAAAAAACTTTTAAGATTTTAACTATGTTTCCATTATTTTCCTTTTTGTGCTTTTAATAAAATCACAGATTGTTTCAGAATCATGCAATAAAAACTTAGACAAATATCAAAAATATAGTAAATATAGTTTTCCATAGAGATTTATATTGAAGTCCTTAGTCCCCGCACTAGGCGAGTGATATTCGTAGGTGTGCTTCGTGGAATAGAAAATTAATTATTTTAAATTTTTATTTGAAGCCTACCTATGGGTGTGCTAAGTGGAATACTTTACGTGGGCTTCGTCTGGGTGTGCTTCGTTTGGGTGTGCTTCGTGAAATACCTCTTTTTTTTATGAGCCTAATTGCTATGGGATTAGAGTCATTTTATGAGGAAATGTGTTGAAAAGTTAATAAAGTATTGTCTAGTTGCCGGCAAAACACAGAAGAACAAAACAATAGAATAAAGTTAACTTTGACTGCACGGTTAGTGCAATGGCTGTATGGATCGTGGGTTCGATCCCCACACGGGATAACTCTTGTACTGATATGTGTGTATGTATTTGAATCCGATTTTGATGTATTTTTCTTAATGTGTTTAGTCCTACACATCTAGTCGATGCAGTTCATCAATATTTTAATGGGTATTTACGGAATTGGTTGTATTATATGTGTATACATTTTATTTTTCATTCTCTCGTGTATTTTTGTTTAATTATTTAAGGTTTACTTATTCATAAAATCTAATTATGTTTTTTTTAAATTAGGTACTTATATAACTGCTTTTATTATGATGTTGTGATCTGTTTAATGTAAAAATATATTGTTTTCAATAATCATTATTTGCGTTCAAAAAACTGTACTGTATTATTATATATATTATCATTTTATAAAAAAAAATACATTTTAAATTAGAGGTTGAAAATAATTAAATATTAAAAATTTAAGTGATATAGTTTACCTTAACCACAGCAAAGAACCAGAAATTATTATCCCCCTATTTCAAACCATGTTCTAACATGACCCCCATATTCTAGGACCCCGACATGCACCGGTCCCCGCACTTGGTCCCGTATCCGAAGGTAGACGATGCCATAAAGAAGGCCAACAGAGACACGGCCTCAGAAACTGTAAGGACATTACTGGTGTATGGATACAACCTGGACCCACCAACTGGAGAACAGCATGAAGGTATGTTGTTATGGGAAAATTGCCTTTATTTACGGTTTGCTAAATTCTATAATGTAAAAGGAAATATCAGATTGTCACGTTTATAGATTATATAGTGTTAAAGCAAATATAAATTGATTTGATAGGACGACAAAAGAGCCGACGAATTATCTGATGGTAAGCAAAATCTGATGGAAAGTAATTTTGACTGCGTTGTCGGCCTTTTTTGGAGATCAGTGATTTAAGTATTTAGGGATTGGGAAGGAATTGGGGGAAAGACTAATGTTTAGTTATTAAACCGCTTCAACATTCATTGCGTAGTTTTAAAGTTTGAAGCTTACATGCAAAGGTATATAGCAACGGAGAAAGCGACTTTGTTTTATACTATGTAGTGATAGTGATATATTAAAGTAAATATAATAGGCCCATAGATAAAGACATTAAAAACGAACATATTTATAATAAGCGTTGTCAAATAAAAACTTGTTAATAAACAAACAGGTTAATTTAGATATTGTGTAGTCAAAGGTATAAATAAAGATATTAAAAATATTATTTTGATTCACAGCCCTTCTACTAGAAGCATCAAAACAGAAACAGGCAGAGTTCAGAACATACAGAGCTGAAAAGAACTACGCTGTTGGCTCCGGAAAATGGTATTTCGAGTTCGAGATCCTAACAGCTGGACCCATGAGGGTGAGTGATTATCGAGAGTTTTTCTTGTTTTCTTGGTGAATTGAAATTAGGTATTTTGAATCTGAAAACACTACAAGACCACAAAAAATTAGGTACATTTTGACTAACTATACTCGGAATTTTAATTCCATTCCAGATTTGACAATTTCAGTGTTGCAACGTTATGACACGCACTAAATAGTGACGTTGCGAAATTATTCGATATGGAAATCGAATATTTCTGAATCGATCCCTCTCGTTTATAAATTTACTCTCGTAAACTAAGTATATAGGAAATAAAATATTTCTGAACGGATAATTTAGTTTTGACAATAAATTAACGATCTGAGACTTTTCTTTAGTAATTGTGTGTGTAATTAAAAAAAATGTGATCATGAAGGAACATGACAAATAAAACAGACTTTTTTATAGATTGTCGCCGTCATCGCTGTTACTTTCTGTATCATTTATTATAAATTGTGTCTGTGGTATTTATTGTCAACTAAAATTATCTAGCTTACTCGTTTTTTCCTCTTCTTTGACAACATGGGATACGCATTTAGACCATTCGATAGCCGTAATTTTTTGAATGCCTTCCTGAAACTGATTCTCTGACTGTTTATCGATTTTTGTGTTCATCACTACACTGTTAAATGTGGTATTATTATTTCACAAAACGACAGTACGTCATGTCAAATCGGGTATCGAATTAAAATTCTGACTATAGACATTATCTTTTATAATATAGAATATTATAAATTTCATTATTGAATCATTCAATTTTATCCAGATCTTATAATTTCGAATTATACGTTGAAAAATCGCCAATGCAACTTGAGCAAGCGTGGTGGTTATTGCTCTAAACTTCTTCGCGTCAGAAGGAGCCTTTGTTCAGCAAAAGGCACTTATCGGCTTATAATTTGATATATAACTTATCAATAGAAAACTGGAAGCTATTAATAAAAATATTTTCTTTGACAGGTGGGTTGGGCCCATGCCGATATGGCCCCAGGTATGATGCTTGGGCAAGATGAAAACTCTTGGGCTTTCGATGGATATAATGTAAGTATTACTACAAAATCAGTCTCAAAAATAATAATAATATTTTAATTTTATGCTAGGTTTAAGTACTACATATTCAATAAAAAATTGATCTTATAACACATAGAATACAATCAAATCTACAATGTCTTATAATTGAAACGTGAACTAAGACATCATCAAACAATAATAGGTCTTATTTTATATAGAATAAAGATAAATTATTATTTTGTAACTTTGCCTTGAAATGATTTCAAAACGTTACATGTACCATTCCACTTTCAATCAAAAGTAACTTTTAATGCATATAGAAATAGAGATTAAATTGTCATTTACTGCAGTCGATAAAAGTTCACGGCGGAGCGTCCGATACATTTGGGCTTCAGCTCAAAGTCGGCGATATAGTCGGCTGCTTCCTCGATGTCACAGATCAAACCATTAGTGAGTTACCACAGATAGGGAGAAGAGGTGCTATTCTGATTGCAATTTGCTCCTTATTATTGAGTACGGAAGGATTATATTTCCATGAAACGTTTATGGAATTTAACAAAAAAGGTTGTATCTAGAAACAAGAATTATCAGGAATTGATCCCATACATCATATTTTGTTATCTTTTAACAACTTGCTCTCAGCACTGTTATCACCATATGGGTACAAAAATGTGTGCAAATAATCTATTCGTGTGCTTATAAAACATATATTTTTAAAAAGAAATGACAAAGTCTCTTACTCTTTCTTATCCATTCGAATCTACACTTTAAAACAAGCACCTAGGTTCACTGACGAACAGACTGACGGTCAATTATATATGATTTAGTTGGAATAAATGTTTTTGACTTTTGACATTAACATTGACTTTTACATTTACATTGACATTGAAATTGACTTGACTTTGGTTAGTTTTGTGAAAAATGAATTGCAATATGAATTAAAATAGGCTTATAATTTGATCTCCTTGAATCAGAATAGCACCTTTTGACCAGGTATTTTCCTTCTGTAACTATGTGGTTAACTCTCGCTATATTCCGTTGTAAACCTTTCCTTCTTACCTTTGTTGTATTATAATGTTTGCCCCAACTTCTATTAAAAAAATACCTTTAAATAAATGTTGTCTAAGTGTTGAAACTCTGTAGTTCATTATTCTTTATCTATTTTCACTTTTGTATAAGCTAAAAGCCCATTATTCATTTCGTGTATCGTTCTTTTTTTTAATTTGAAAATGTGACGTTATACTTATTTTATGGGAAATTTTGATTGTGACAAATGAAAGAAAATTAAAAAATAATTGAAGCTCCATCCATTTTTGTTCTAAAGCACAAAGAAATACATGGAGGGGTTGTATTGATATTTAGATGTTTTATTTTCGAATTTTCCATAAACTTTCTTTATACTTACTTATATTTCTTTCAGTCATATACAAACTTAATACTTAAAATCAATTAAAATTCAACCTAATTTCATTTCATTACAGTAGCTTTTACAATATAGGTACATATTTTAATCGCAAAAGGTCGTTAGTCCAGGTAAATAGGCATTGAAAAAATTGTTTTTAAACCATTCGACATAAGGTAAAAAACTATTTTTCCCGACTTTCAAGGAGGAAAAAGTGTACAGCGGTAGCACAGAGTCTTTCGGCAAGCAATGGTCTGTGGGAGACGTTGTTGGCGTGTTCCTAGATCTCATTGATAAGACGATAAGTAAATATCAAGTAAACAGGCTTACGTGGTCACAGGGACATTTTTATTAACAAAAAACATTTTTATTTATACCCATTTCCTATCCGTATTGTGTGCTTTATTAATTTGCGATTTTGAATTGTATTACTTATTGGAATAGGTTGATAATTCTTTTTCATGAAAGTGAATATGAATCAAGCTTGTCAAAATGTTTTAGTTGAACAATTTTTTACTTTATCGTTGTTGAAATACATGTGTAATTCGCTTGTTCGTTTATATTGGTATACTACTTAATATTAAATGAATAAAAATGTGTGCATTTTCTATGAACAAACCAATTTGAATCTTAATTACCAAGCAATAAAATTCTAAATTGCTTCTATAGAATAAAATGTTAATGCTTTGCAATAGTCTAGTTTAGGTATAATCTACTTTAACTTAAATGCTTCTTGCAATAAGATCCTATTTCCTACAAACAGAAACAGATCCTTCAAATCTCTTACCCATCTTGAAATATTTCTAAACTTATTCCTATGTAAATATGTGTTACTATGAAATAAAAATGTCCCTGCTCACCACAAAAGCCAATGAAGTCGTGAATGCTTGAACGCGAAACGCTTACATCGACATACAAGTACACCGCATTGCTTTGCTTGCTCTGAATGAAATTAGCACTTTTTATTATTCAAAATCATTCCATAAGATTGATCATCGCACGATACTCTTTTCGGGGATCATTTGAGTCGCTACTGCCGCGCGATTTGACCCGCTGCTCAGGTCCTATTAGTCCTCGAATGATGTTTAAAGAAGCCTATAGCTTTCAGGAACATTCTACCTAACTACCAGTAAAAGAATTTTGGAATCCAAAGATTACCCCCTACAAGCAAACTTACAAATTGTACTCGTATATAATATTAGTAGATGAAATACAAATGTCAAAAAATAAGTTAACATAATTAAACCCTTTTTTAATTTTGTTGCTTCGAAATAAAGGCGAATATCCAATGAGAGAAATTACATACGATCGATCGATACGATCACTAAGTTTAGCCCGCTACCTCAGTTGTTCCAGGTCAGGGCAACAAAATCTACTTTTAATTCATAGTATATCCTATCTAACCGTAAGGTACATCCAAATATTTTGTAGAAAAGAACTCAAATATTGACATTATACACAAAAAGATTAATGTAATTCATTGTAAGTAAATGATTTCAAAATAGATCTAAATCGACAGTGGCGCCATCTTATAAACGCAAATTAAGTTTAAGATGCGATCAAATTTAGACACCTTACATTTGCTGCTTCTAAAAGGACAAAATATAAGTGCTTATTGTTCTGACAATTAAATAAAAAGAATCGTGCCTATTAAATCAATGAAAAACATAATTTAAAAGACAAAGATCCCCGCTGAACAGGTTAAGATCAAATCTCTATACCTACATTAGTCGTATGAAAACATCATCATACATTTAGCAACAGTCGGGTAAAAGTAGTATTGCATTAAACGAGTAGCCTAGACCGTAAACTAGCTAAATTTAATTTTAAAAGTATATAACACTCGTGTTTTAACATTGTAAATAACATTCCTAAAATTAGTATTTTCTTCGTGTAATTAATATTTAGCCGATAATCTTTCAAACATGGAAGTTGAAATACCAATTTGATAAACAAACTAGATTTTTAATAGGCTAGGCTTGGTCCGCATGAAAATAAAATCATTCGTGGAAAATGAAACTCCAAATTATAACGTGATTAAAAATAACGAAAATTAATCATTGTATCGACAGATTGATAAATAAAAGTATAGCTAATGCAATATTGAATTATAATATTGTACTGGTACCTTGAATCAATTTAATTTTTGACCTAGAGTCACTTATCGAAAGAGAAACTGCCCCATTGGTATTTCAACTTCTATTCCATAAAACCTTCAGTGCTAATAATACATTTTGAAACTAAATACCCATCTCACAAAGTTTTCTTCTGAATGACTCATAATAACAAACTAATCCTTTCTTTATTTGTTACATTAGTGTCTACTAAACTATCCACTGAACATAACATATTGTTGTTCTTATCAGGTAATGCTTAGAAGAAAGAGATGGCATGATTGATTGTAAATTCTTTATTTGAAAATCTTAACATACAATATGTTATTAAATCCTTGTTCTATGTAAATAACAACGAGAATAAAAAAAATATATTTATTCTATAAAATTATATCGCTATAAAAATAAGGAGTTTCTTAACATATTGTAAGTAGATATTGCACTTATAGGATACGCATTTGGCTAAAAAGAGGTCCTGTTCATGTAGTCGAAAACCTTTTTTGTTTTTTATACTTTTGTTCCGCAAAATAATACCTTTTATTCTAGGCGTAAAATAAAGATGAACTTCAATATCATCACTGATTCTATGTATCACATAGTCTTTAATGGGTAAGACTGTAAAAGACTGATTCCCTGACGGAAAGCAATCGATGCCGTCCTGCATGAACACCAGCGAAATCAGAGAAGGTGCAAGTGCTGTTTTTTGTAAGGGAAAATCATCAAATGACTTCTCTCCTTGCCGGTCTTTGAAATTGGAGTTCTTGGAGTTGAGGATTTGGGGTTTGGTTAATAACATTGTAGATGTACTAATGCTGTTTAGCGTTTCACTTCATTAAATATAATTAAAATAAATACAAAATTTAAATGGTCTTTCGCTACGTAAATAGGACCTCTTAATTCTAAACTTTTTCAAATATAGATTGCTAACATATCGTCTTTATGTAACAGGTTTCTCTCTGAACGGGGAACTGTTAATGGACGCTCTCGGTGGAGAGACGACATTCGCTGATGTCCAAGGCGATAACTTCGTACCAGCTTGTACTTTGGGAGTGGGGCAGAAAGCTAGGTAAATATTTATTTATAGAGAAAGCGTTTAATGTTGATATATGAACATTATATGAAGTATAAAAACTAAACAGTTACTATAGATACTACATAATATCTTTGAATTTGAAAAATAATAATTCAAGAAGTAACATATAATCAAAGAAGATTTTTGATTTTATTATGTATCATTGGCGCTAGTGAGGCGCTAGTCTTCCACTTCTTCCAGCCTAACCATTTTGTTGTTAAAAAATGATTAATATCTTGTTTCAAGAAAATATCACTCATAATGGGCGCTTTAGTGGTTCGAAAATCTAAATAAATATATAAAGAGAATCTGTTTACTTTTTTCAAATATAAAAATAATATGTTTTATCAACAGGTTAACATACGGTCAAGACGTGAATACCTTGAAATATTTTACAACATGCGGGCTACAGGAAGGCTATGAACCGTTCTGTGTGTAAGTATACTTAGCATGAAAACAAAAAATGAGATAATGTATATGAATCGTAGTCTTGAACTACCGGTCGTCTAAAAATCACAATTTTTTTATTTGTTTTATCCGAATCATATTTGATTCCCAAATTATAATTTTAACATTTACATAAATATGCGTATTCTTCACTGATGGAGCACATTTTCCTTTTTATAGAAAACTTAGTAATTTTTTTTAATGACAGATCAAACTGATTTCTGTTTTATAGCTATAAAATTCTTTTCAAGAAAACTCACTCATGAGGTTTCATATCAAATTCATCCTCAAAACGTTTCCCTAACGAAATAGTCTGAAAAGACTTCAGTTTAGCCTAAATACCTTTGACTTATGTTTATTTAACTTTTATTAAAATATTATTATATTTTTCATAGCAACATGAAACGTGACGTGACACATTGGTATACGAAGGACCAGCCCATCTTCGAGAACACAGACGAGATGATCGACACCAGGATTGATGTCACTAGGATTCCTGCTGGATCTGGTAAGATATTTTTACTTTTTATTAGAGAAGCCACAACTAAACTAAATTTGGACAAGACAGACAAGACAGACAAGACAGACAAGATAAATATGAATAATAAACACCAATTTATTGAATAGGACAGGAGTAAAATAGTATCAGTGTGCTTATATGTGGCGGTCTATATATGGCAGTGAGTATTGCAATAAAACAATATCTATCGGCTGACACGTCCGTTTATTGACACTCTCTTTACAATACTGACGTGCTGTAGGCACAGTACATCCCCCTTTATAAATTTCAGACATGACTTTTATGGATCCGTACTGAAAGAAACTGAAAATAAGAACCATAGACACATAGCCATAGACCACAAAATAAGACCTATTAGGTACTAAGGATCTGCTGTCGATCTGTCTGGCCGTTTGTCTCTCGTAAGCCATGACAGCCTGACTTTTGTAACGTGGACAGGTGACAAATTAATGTTGCCAATATAACAAAAAATATCAAAATTTAATTAAGGATGGCCCATCCAATGTTATTTTGGTATACCTTTCTCGCACGAGATTTTTAGTTTACAAATTGTGCTCATTTTAAAAGTCAATGTACCTAAAAGTTCTTTTTTAAAGTGAGGTTAAATTTATGGTTGACTAGCTTCCGCCCGCGGTTTACATATAATTCAAGTTTAAACCAAATTGGTGCAGCCGTTTTTGTGTCAAAGAATAACAAACATACATCCATACGTCCTCACGAACTGTCACAGTTATAATTTTAATAGGATTAGTAGGATGAATGTAATTTTTTGTTACAGATACCCCGCCATGTTTGAAGATATCTCACAATACGTTTGAGACTATGGAGAAAGCAAACTGGGAGTTCCTGCGACTGTCTCTACCAGTCATTTGCCACAACGAGTTCATTGAGTAAGTTTTATTACTAACAAAACTTTAACAACTCGGTTGACGTGTTTTGCGGTTTCCATTCCGCACAGAACAACTCTTTGTACAATCCACAAATTGTTGTTCCGCGTTTGAATGATATGTATGTTTCTAAATGCACCCATGATTCGGGATAAAACACCAGGCTTGCCTCAAGGATTTTAGAAAAAGAGTGTAGTGTAGTTTAACGAGGTAAATCGATTAGTTTCAAGCCAAGCCTGGAGTTTATAGGCATGAGCGGCATTACGTGACGCACAACGTCGTTTTACACATTGTAGAGAGTGTGGGATTCTTTCTTGACTTAAAAAAAGCATTAACCTTTATTAGGATTTTTCTATGGTATCATTGATGCGTTTACAAACATAGAAAAACGTTTTATCGTTTTATTAATTTCTTGTAATACTACGCTTCAACAGTGAGGCGGAAAAAGCCAGACGATGGGTGGAGATCAAAGAACGTCAGCAGATTCTCATGAAGGAGGCGGTGGAAGCTCAGATGCCAGCTCACATCGACCAGATCATGAGGAGTGGTTTCACCATGAATGATATTAAAGGTATGACAGACACCTGCAATAAAGAATGCTTTGAAAAATTCCTTTTGTGTCCCTCTTTTGGCTGCTATGGTGGTCGACTATAGACTTTAAAACTAGCTAAATACTATTTATTATGACATCATCTGATCGATCGGCTATGGCCAAATTAGCGAAATAGAGCACTTTTCTTTTGTTGTCTATAGCCGACCGGGGGTCAAAGAGTTTCATATAGAACTTCTGTTTTTGTTACCCTTATTTGGTTTTCGAAGGGATACCTTTAACTAGCGCCTAGTTTTTTGGGAAAAAAACTAGATAGTGAAGGATTTTTTTTGTTGCCCCCTATGATTCGGTAAGTCAGATACTTCCATTGTATAAAAAAAACATTTTAGAAATATTTATTAAAATTTTAAGCTAGTCTGAAACCGTTCAAAGATTTAGAACATAATAGAGTGTACCTACCAATTTGTTTTATCAAAATATTTACTGAGTGTAACAAGAGATGTTTATTTATATAAATAAAAAAACTTGTTAAATATCTTATTACTTGACAGAAACAGAAACAGGCAAAAGCATCAAACTATTATTTAAATTAGACCAAATAGGCAAAATAATTTCGAACATTTTTACTTGTTTTGTCTACAAATTTAGATCAACGTGTAAGTTTTATCCCTTTATTTTTGAGAGGGATAAATCAAATGATGACTTCTTCAAACCTGGGTGAAGTGAAACTATTAGAAAATATAGAATATTACCTACTTATCTATCTATTTATTTAAAAATTTTGTAGAGTAAAAGTCATCAAATGACTTTGCCTGGGTCAGACTCTTGCTGACTAAAAACCTCCCCCGTTCTTTCTCTGGCTCCAGGCCAATGCCGCGGGAGTCAGACTCTTACTGACTAAAAACTCCCCAGTTCCTCCTTCTCTTGCACCTGGCCGAGGATGCGGTACCTTATTGAGCTTGACCCGCGACTCCGGCTTATCTCTTTATTTGTCTATAAGATGACATTTTAACATTATTTGGAAGTACCTGGCTTATCGAGTTTACAGTAAATAATCTACAACCTAGCATCCCGCAATCGTATAGAATAGCTTTCTCTTTTTTTGTTTATATGATTTGCATTGTGTACCCCACTACAGGAGATGTGTGCAATATTTATGTAAATACACGAATGGAATTAAACAATTATTTGGCACGTGCTTTTGTAACGCAAATTTTCACCAATGCGCACAAAAAGTATTGAGTTGATTCATTTGACTCCTTTTTGAAGCACTACAATGTTATACTGTGAATAAGGCGGCGAACGTAGATAATTAGATTTAAGAAATATTTTTTTTTCTGATTCAACCCATTTGTTGATACAAGGCTAAAATTAATTATAGTTAAAAAGAAATAAAAAGCTGTTTATTTCAATTAAAATACAGTTTTTTGCAAATTGTTCTTTTAATCTTAGACACGTACCCCGTTATTACAAACCAAGATTTATTTTTAGTCCAGGTTTAAACTATTGAGTCGGGTTTTGAATTTTGAATCTTACTTCAATTCGAAATACAAACAATGGATCAATGGTTTAGTCTTAGACTAAAGTAAAAACTTGTTTTATAATAAGGCCGGTAAAGTTCAAATGTTAATTTCTTTTATATGAGACTCGACAGATTTAAAAAAGTCTTTTCTAATAGGTAATTCATCAAGAAAATCCTTTTTCCATAACAGTTACTTAAAATTTTGGTTTCAATTTGTTCTTTTGACTTGGCTTGATAGAGAGTAATCTTACTAGCTACAAAATAACTAGAGCAAAAGACTTTACGCGTTACTAGCGCCAACTGGCTATATCGAAATTGATTTTTTTTCAACCAAATTAATACCTATTCAAATCATTGCACACATCCCCCGAAAACAGACTGCTTTTTACCTTGTTTTACCCCACCCTGCTATAGGTTTACACTACGAAGACAATCAGGAAGAGGTCCCAAGTTCGAAGGTCAAGCGGCAACCGTCCAGACCTCCACGTAAGGGCTCGATGACGAGAGGCGTGTCTATACAAAATTACAATAATTTGCAACCAGGTTATTAATTCGCTTTAATAATAACGCTTGGTGTTGTAAGATCATGTCTTTTCCGCTTTTCGTCGTTTCTTTCATCTTGGGATATTGATATTGGGTGATCAATTACAGGCGACAGGTAAATTTTGGTTGCGTTTCTTGGTCCTTTGAGTCGAATAAGACATGGAATTGATTGACAATGTTCTTTTAAAAAAAGAAGTTGCTTCAACACTAATTAATGTTTTCTCCTATGGGCATATTTACAAATAGACAATTTGATATAAGTACATTGTGGTACCCAGACTCGGAACAGTAACTTGTGTATTACACAAAATTATCAATGGAAGAATCGAAGCAACGCCCAGTTGCCCAGCTGCTAAGCCAAACGTGCAGTCAAAGGTAGCCATTAATACCTGAAGAATAATTTGTATAGGATTAACCACGAAACGTTAAGAATTGTGACAAGAAGCGTTTAATTATTTCAAATTGGAAATTGGGTGAAAATAATAACCTAAAAACTCTAATCAAACTCTAAAATTCTTAAATGGCACAAAAAAAATGAAAAAATAAACCAACTATAAATAAAAAATAATACGACACCACACATTATTGCTGAATTAAAATACTTACTGCCATTGTACTAAGATCTATTTTTCTTTGTGCTCACAACTAAAACAACTTAATTTCTAAAAATAAAATAACTATGCACTATACTTCTTCACTTGAGCACTGTTTTCGCTACTTAGGATGTATTTAGATGCTTTTCTATCTTAACAAGGTTATAACCTTTTCTTATATAACTCTTCGACGGGATAACTCGACTAGTTTCAAGGCACGCTAAGGACTCATAATTCTCTTTTCTATCTTATTTAACTCGAAATACTTTTTTGATGTAGGTAAATTTTTTTTCTTTGTTAGCTTTAATGTTATTGACTTTATATTAATGTAAAGAACGATTTACCCCTTCCTTCCCCCTTTTAAGTGAACTGAAACCGAGTTTTCATGTTAATCACGGCTTACGGCTAGAATATTACGATATTGAAATAATGTTATTGAAGCTAAAATTAATGCTGTCTCCAGTTATAACAAAAACAAACAGTACGACAAATACAGCATGAAAATAAACTAAAATAATGGTCCTTCGATCCGAAATTTTGAATTCTTGGTCTTTAAGGTATACTTTTGATACAGGACAAGTGAACGGCATGCACCGGTCTACCAGTGAGGCTGAGATGGCCAAGTACGAGTTGGGAGCACAGAACTTAAGCCCTGATGATAAGAAGGATAAACGTGGACGTTCACCTTTCAAGTAAGCTTTTATCTCTTATATAGGTAGACAGTATATTTTTCAAATATAAATAAAAGAAGACACACTAAGTAATTATTTAAATAGCGTAATATGTGGGTGTAAAAATTAAGCAGACAAATCTGAATTTCGTTTTGTTACAATCTTATAACTATATAATGTACGATCTCGACAATGGGCGATCTTATCATACAGGGTAGTTTATCTCAGACAACTATTAGATGGAAATTTAAAAGAAACTTTAGATAAACCATACATTTTAAAGATATTACAGACTAAAACTTATCACCAACTCTTCCCACTCCAGATTCTTCAGAAGTAAGCGTGGCGAAAGCAGCGATCGAGCCAAGAGTCGTAAGTCCAAGACACCAGATCCATTCAGTGACACTGAAGTTTCCCCTGAACGTGGACCTCGCAGACCTAACCCTCAAATCAAGGTGTCACAGGTATGTAAAACCCAATCACCAAGACATAAAATTCATTTTGCATTGTACTTTAAATCTGTAATTTGACACAAATCCTTATTTAAATCTAAGGTTACCAAAAAGTTTCGATTGTAAAAAGTTTGGCTTTTAATGTTCTATTCGATGTTCTAATAAATTATATTGATTTTTTAAATAATAAAATAAATTTTCTTTTTTGGTTTTTTCAAAGTCAACTATGAATATTACTAAAACATTTAATTTTTTTACATATTGAACCATTAAACTTCGGAAAGTGCATACTTTCGGTTAAAAGTAACAAGTATGACAAAAAAGCCAAATGGCATTATACCATATTTCAAAAAAAAAGTATCTTCATACAAAATATGAGTACCCCGCATGACCTGTGTAGGTACACAGATTTGGACCTTAGTATTAAACAAAATCAAACGTAAAACGCCGTTTAAAAAAATATTCAGCGTACAAAAGGACCAATGCCATTCAAATTGAAAGCTATTTGGTCCTTTGTTCCCCACACATTATTACCATCATTTTGTCTCATATTTTCATATTATTTTGTTAATTTCTCACAAGGCCAATCAAAGATATAACGGCATGAACGCGCGCCCTAGTCGGACCAACTTGTATGGAAGCCAAGTTGGTCTAAACGTAAGTCCTCACATGAGCCCTGTTTTAATCTAACAACGCATCTGTTTTCATTGAGTTTTTCTTACTAAGTAAATATTACTTCTCTTTAAAAAAATATTATTCAAGGTCATGTTTAAAATTGTCATTTACAAGAAATTTACATGATTTTGGAGGCGTCAAAGAATAAAATGTGCTGTGGCATATTTTATTTTGTTAACGGCGGGAAGCTTTCGAAAGCCGCCTAGTTTTGGGGGAAAAGACAGAGGATTGGACTTCTATTTTTCGGGCCTGCGATCAGTCTTTTAGACAATAATCAGTTGCAAGGGGTTGGGGTTTGGCGAGGAAGAGCCACTGATCTATCCCTCCTTACTTAGTTAGCACATCGGCTCTCTTTAATGTCTCATAAAGAAAAAAATAACATTTGCAATAGTCTAAAAACTTAGCTAAAACAAATGTATATTAGTTAATAATCATATTATTAAATTATAGATTTTAGTATCGATACAAATTATAACCAAATTAAAATACAATCTTCCTTATGCTTATAGTAGTTTTAGCTCTTGTACCATTTTTTCACACTTTTTTCTTCTCCCTTTCTCTCTCTTCGCTACGACAATGACGTCACAGTCCAACGCTCAGATGGCGACTCCTACGCAAGACAGAAAACAAATGACAACGAGCACTCTTGCGCAGTCCACGACGGAAACTGTTGGCAACGAGATCTTCGACGGTGAATGCTTGAAACTCATCAATGAGTACTTTTATGGAGTCAGGTTGGTGTATTTTTTTACTGTACTTTTAGTGTACCTACTGTTACAAATATCTTAGGAAGCTTTGCTATGCTTAGTTGTTGAAGAATTTCATTTTGGTAGACCGGAGTTTAAGGTGGCTGCCATGTATATTGCCAATGTGATTTTTAAACTAAACTAATTAGGTACCAATTAAGGTAATTTTCGTTAAGTAGATTAAATGGGGTAGGGTTGGTATTTGGGATTTTTGAGTCAAGAGTCAGAAGATATGATATTAGTTTTAATAGTAAAGTATTTTTTTTCGTTATTTCATCGGGCGTCAGTCAATAGCTGGAACATACTGTATAGTTATTATTACTTCTTGTAGATTTGATGGTTATTTCTTTCTAATAATCGATTAGTTTAATTGTATTATGATTTTTAATTGCATGAATAGCTGAATAAAATATTTGCTCTAAACACACCGGCCTTAGATAGGCATTATATTTAATATAACAAAATCTATTCACTGTATTGTAATACCTGGTAATACCTACTTAATTTATTTTTCCAGAATATTCCCCGGTCAGGATCCGACCCACGTTTACATTGGTTGGGTGACGACCCAATACCATCTGCACTCCAAAGACTTTAACCAGAGCAAGGTCACCAAGTCTTCCGTGATTATCACGGACGATTACGACAGGATTGTTGAGAAGTAAGTTTTTTAATTTAGATGTTAATTAGATGCTTAAAACAATACATATCCAGTTGGATTGTTAAGCTGGGACATCCGATACATACGTCTCTTAAGACCACCAAATTTTTATTGCGACGAATTCGTATGAAGTTTCACTTCAACGCGCTGGTGTATTTTAGGCGTTGAGGGTTGGAAGTCGGAGATTTGGTTAGAGGTGGAAAAGATCTTGGGCTTCGAGCTAACAATTGAAATAAATAAACTTAAATAAATATATAAGCGAACGCCGGCGTTCGCGCACATATTGTTCTTCCATTGTGTTTCGAAAAACCACGCTTGAAAGGTTAAATAATTTATCTTCAGTTTAAGAATAGAATATAATTGGACCACCACAGACGGGTCCCGGTGCGGTTTAAGCGCAAAGAGTAGGTAACCGCGGCCTCGGCCCAGAGCAGAAGAAGGAACAGGGGGGTTTTTAGTCAGTAAGAGTCTGACACTCTCTCTCTCGCGTAACCCTGGGCGAGAGAAGTCATGTGATGATTTTCCCCTGACAAAAAAAGAATAGAATATAATTAAATTTTGTTTACACACACATACAACATGTACTTCTATATCTGTATATCAATATCGCTATTTATTACGGCGCGTAGCGTTCCGCGCGCGCTTCGAAGAGCCAATAGACCACCACAGACGGGGCCCCATAGGGCTGATGTTCAGCCAGGGTTGCGGGGTAAGCGCAATGAGGCACCGCGACCTCGACCTAGAGCAGAAGTAGGAACAGGGGGGTTTTTAGTCAGTAAGAGTCTGACACTGGGCGGGAGAAGACATTTGATGATTCTCCCCTCACAAAAAAAAATCGCTATTTATGTACCAATAATTATGTGCCAATAATTTATAAAATGCAGGAGTATCATATTGCTTTTCCTCTTAACTTCTAGTGTGAATCGCCAATCCTGCTACATGGTGCGTGCAGACGAACTGTACAACGAAGTCATGGCTGAGGCCACGGCTAAGGGAGCTTCCCAGGGAATGTTCATTGGGTGCTCCGTCGACACTTCCACCGGGACCGTGTCCTTCACCTGCGAGGGAAAGGATACTAGCTTCAAGTTCAAGGTCAGTAATGAAGTATAGGATTGCACTTATAAAACTTTGATAATGTCGTAATAAAGTAATTTCCAACTAGTCAAATTCAGTGTGGGAGAGCCATGCTTCGATACGAATTGGTCGGCTCATCCGGAGTGATACCACGGCCTCACAAAAAACCGGCGTGGAACAACTACAGCTGTGTTAGTGAGGTTACCAGAGGTCCAATCCTTCCTCTCCCCTAATCCCTAAATCGCCAAATCCCTAATTCCCAAAAGATTAGAAACGCACTTGTAAGTCTTCTGTTGTTGCGGATGTCCATGGGCGGCGTAAGAGATTATGACGTCAAATGTTGAGATTTCATACAAAATTCATAACAAACTATCGTTTATGACTTTTCAACAAAATATTGTATTTGACTAGTAAGATAAAACTGAATTGTCAAAAAACAAGTAAATTCTAAGCAAATTAAAAACAACGTCCTTCAAAAACTAAACCATCTATATATTTCACCAGATGGAACCAGAAACGAAGCTCTTCCCAGCTATCTTCGTGGAAGCCACGTCGAAGGAGATCCTCCAGATAGAACTAGGGAGGTCTACCACTAGCCTCCCCCTCTCTGCTGCAGTGCTACCAACGAGTGACAAGCACGTCATACCTCAGTTCCCTCCCAGGTTGAAGGTGCAGTGCTTGAAACCACATCAATGGGCTCGAGTGAGTATCAATACCTATACCTAATAATAATAATAACCAATTTTTATTGAAAACTATCGACCCGCCCTGTCTTTGCACAGAAGTCTAATATCTCGCTAACGACGCTAATGTTCCCTTTTAATAATCCAAAATTTTCATACATAAAAACCTTCTATTGACAATAATAAACACAACAAAAAAATAATTGGCAAAATTGGTTCAGGCGTTCCAGAGTTATGCGCTTACCAACAACAAATGTTATGATTCATTTTTACATTTTGGACTAGCTTTTGCCCGTGACTCCTTTCGCATGGAATAGTGACTTTCTGCAAATTTTTGGTGTAAAAACTTGTCTATGTCCTTGCTTGAGTTCCAAAAAATTTCACAGAAAGCGGTTCAGTAGTTTAGGCGTGGAGAAGAGACAGACGGATTTCCTTTCTCATTAATTTTACAGTTCGAATAACGAGTCAATAGAGATAGAATTTCAAGTCACAACTGGACACGTAATTCATATATTATACAAGTTGTTTCATATTTAACCAAATATCATTGACTTCATTCAATTAAAAATCTTCTTTTGACTGAAGTTGGTCGATAGTTTTTAGTCAGTAGAGTCTGATTTCCCTTTCGCGGGAGAAGTACCACAATAAGTTTCCCAATTATCAATGAAACATAGATAGATGTACTAACTAGTGGTTACAATCTAACTCCCAAGAACAAACAGTGTGACTTTATTATTTTTTCTCTTCCAGGTACCAAATCAATCTTTACAAGTGCACGCGCTAAAGCTGTCCGACATCCGCGGTTGGTCCATGCTGTGTGAAGATGCAGTTTCTATGCTCGCTCTTCATATACCAGGTAATTTATTTTTATATAGTACATATAATGGCATTCTCAATTGTATGACAGGCATTGTTATGGAAAAGGGTGATGATGATAAAGACGATGGTGTTGATGATATTGATTATGTTGATGTTCGTGATGATGATGAAGATGATAGTGAAAAGGATTATTGTATAGTTGTTAATGATGATTATGTTAAAGTGATGATGATTGACGAAGGTGATGGTAATAAAACAAGCTGTGTAGTTTGGGGACGGTGGTGTGATGAGAGTTAATGATTATCATTATAAAGGTAATAAAAATGATACTAAAAGACTGATGCTGATTAATGAAAAATCGATGTAGATAATTATTATGAAAATGCTGATTACGAGAATCATGGTGATGACGTATATTGTATGGGTGATGATGAAGAAGATAATAGTTAAAGTGATGAAAATGACGCTTAAGGTAGTGGTGGTTGATGAAGATAATAGTTGTAACAAATTGTTTGGTAGTTGTGATGATGATAAGGTAAAGATGGTTGATGTAGAGGTGGTTGATGAAGATGGTAGTTAAAGTGAATTGTTTGGTGATGATGATGATATTTTTGAAGGTGACGAGATGACGGTAATGTCGATAATAATGAAAATGATAATGATAACAATGAGGTTCCTTATAATGATCATCGTTCTTGTTCACAGAGGAGGATCGTTGCATAGACATTTTAGAACTAATAGAAATGGACAAACTTTTAAGTTTCCATTCGCATACGCTTACACTGTACGCCGCATTGTGCTACCAGAGTAACTACAGGTAAGTAAATAAGGACTACAATGCAGTGTATGTTTTTTCCCGAAAACAAAAAGTTTTAAACTTGGTTTTCATCAATTCTGTCATTTAAATATATTTCTTATGAATTAATCCAAACAAAGATTAAATATAAAAAAATACAGTCAGTCGCCAATTCCTCTTAGTGAAGCTATTTGCTCGTCCCAAAGTGTAGATTCCAATGAAGAAGAACGAGCAAGAAAATCCATAGATAATGAACTTTCCAAGGCCGTTGATTATGATGTAACATGTTACCCTTAAAACTAGCCTAAACTCAAAGTTATTATTCACTTTAATTACCTATTTTACACAAAAATAAGTCGTAAATCGAAAGCCATACGTTTCAAAATCATTTGTCATATTGTGTTTTTATTCATTTCAGGGCCGCTCACGCTCTCTGCACGCACGTAGACCAGAAACAGTTGTTGTACGCAATACAATCGCAGTACATGTCCGGTCCACTGCGACAAGGGTTCTACGATCTGCTCATAGCCCTGCATTTGGAATCCCATGCTACCACCATGTAAGTACAATGGGAATATGGAACTACCCTGTAGGAGCCCTAACGGGACTTTATAAATAAAGCTAGTGGACTGTATAACATAGGCTTTAATGCCGTTAAATTAACAATGGTCAACACATGAAAACAAGTAAGTGCCCGTGGCCAAGCGCGTCGCAGAGAGAAGTGAAGGAAGCGCGGCCGCTGGCTCGCCAGCCGGGGCTCCCCCCGCCCCGGCCTCCGCAGCACTCCCTTCGGTCGCCATCGCGGTTGCTCGATGAGGTGCGCCGACAACCCTATATATCCAACTTCTTTTTTCGTAATGGGTAGGTATTAGGCCGCTATCTCGCCTGGTGGTAAGAGATGATGTGACCTACGATGGACCTACGTATACCGATAAGCAATTTATTCACTCGGGCTATCTCGAGTGATAACCACCCTTATACCTTTCGGGGCACACAGACTACGGCAAAAAATTTAGAAGCGAACCGCTTTACGGGGCCAACTAGTCAATTTCAATTCTTATCCTCAAATATGGTCATAAAAGACAAATAAATTTTCAGGATGTTGTGATACCATACCTTTTTTCATCAAATATATGTTTGTGGAGGGTAAATATCTTGCCCTTTTAGTGCCAGTGAAAATAGAGAGGTAATTACTTTCTTCATCGGCCCTATTCCGATCCTTTTAAGGTAATAAGCTCAATAGAATTGGAATAGGGCTTTTTAATTTTATAAATACGTTAAAAACACCCCAGCAAAAAGAAACATTACAAACAGAACATCCACTTTTTAAAAGACCAAGCTAATACATTTTTCCATTACAACTAAATTCTCGCATGATGATCCACCGATTATTAGTACAAGTCAAATTGTGGTATATATGTGATATTGTATGTTTGTAAAAGCGCTCACGGTACAGGAGATAGTTATCAATGCCACGTTTAGAAAAACCAACGATGCAGAAAAGAATTCCTATCACTTGTTTAAAAAAATATTCTAAACAATAACATTGAAAATTTACAGGGAGGCATGTAAGAACGAGTTCGTGATACCATTGGGCCCTGAGCTGAAGTCGTTGTACGAAGACCCGGAGATGGGACACAGCCTGCGTTCCTTGCAAACTGAGAGCGTACGACCACAGATGAAGATGACTGATATAGCGTGAGTATTCTGCGATTTAGTTTTTTTTATGTAATAGGTCGGCAAACGAGCAGTCGGATTACCTGATGGTAAGCAATCAGCGCACCTGCCACGGAGAAGTTACGAGTGCATTGCCGACCTTTTAGGAATTAGGGATTTGGAGATTTAGATTGAGGAGAGATTGGGGGAGGGGAAGGATTGGGCCTCCGATAACCTCACTCACACGGCGAAACACAACGCTGTGGTTGTTTTACGCAGAATCAACCACGGCGCTGTGTTTCTCCCCCTTCCCCCATCCCGGCCCAATTCTTAAATATCCAAAACGCTTATCCCTGAAAGGCCGGCAACGCACTCGTAACTTCTTTAGTGTTGTGGGTAAAACTGATTGTTTACCATCAGGTAACGCGTCTAAACAAAAGCTCATTTTATTTGCAGCGAAAGTATAACGGACATTAGCAACCTATACTCGCCGTACTTCCCGCTCGAAGTGGTTCGTGAGTTCGTGATGCAAGCGTTGGCTGAGGCAGTCGAGACCAACCAGGTCCATAACAGAGATCCCGTCGGAGGCAGCAATGAGAATCTCTTCCTGTGAGTACCAATTTGTTTTTATTTGAATAATCAAACTAGCTTCAGTCCCTGTATCTGTCGTGGTGACCGCTTTTTTTTTGGAGGGGAAAATCATCAAATGACTTCTCCCGCCTAGGGCCGGGCGGGAGGGAGTGTCAGACTCTTACTGACTAAAAACCCCCCTGTTCCTTCTCCTGCTCTGGGCCGAGGTCACGGTGCCTCATTGCGCTTACCCCGCAACCCCGGCTTAACATCAGCCCTAGCGGGGTAAGCACATGTTGCCTGTAGTGTTGCCCAAATTAAGTCTTGGTCTTGCAGTCTTGGTCTTGTTCTTGCGTTTTTGCAAGACCAAGACCAAGAACAAGACCGCGTATTTTTAGCAAGACCAAGACCAAGACTGACCGTGCAAGACTTGAGCAAGAACAAGACATAGCCTGCAAGACTCTTGCGTCTTGCAGCTAGGACTTAGTGCTATTTCACTGAGTAGTTCGGTGTATAGGTAGGTACGCTTAGGAATTCTATGAAAACTGGACCTATGCGCATTACGACTAATACCGTAAACATAGGGAATAAAAAAATATCTATTAAAACCAAACTGAGTGCATGCATAGTTATGTTTTAACCATCGGCACTTTGATAATGTGGCATCAAAGGTTTTGTACTTACTTCTCAAAGCAATTTGCCGCTTTTCGGAAGTACATGGTTATGATACAAGCACCGGCGGCGGCTTTTTTTGAAATCTAAAACAATCGTTGCCGCCACGGCGAAATCATAACATTTGACACTATTTGATTGACGTCATAGGGCGTAGGTATACACATGCAAAATAATTTCGAATCTTAAGAGTACCTACAGGTGTTCCAAAGAATAAATAAGTTTCAGAGTGTTTAGAATGAAAATGAATACATGATTAAGATAAAATGGTAAGGATAGGTAGTAGATGTCATATTAATTCATTCTAGTAAGTATATATTATAATATTGATTACTTATATGGTTTTAAACTAATTACTTAGGTACTATTATTGTACATTTAGTCATTATATTTCTTAAGTTTTTACAAGAAAAAATAGCAAAAAAGTGTTCAAATATCACCCGTTTAGTAAATATTGTAGCCACTTTTAAATATACTGGAAACTAAAGCATCATTAGTAGGTAATTAGAAAACATAGAAATAGGTTAAGTGATGAGTCAGGCAGATGGTTACTTTGTATTAATTCTTGGTCAAAAAAAATTGATATAAAGTATCATAACCTAATGATAAAGCTGTTGATTTGTGTTGTATTTTATTTTTTATTGAAATAAATGATAAATCGTAAAACTCTTGTATTAAATTTCTTATAAGTTGAGGGTTCAATCTCTTTCTAGTTCTATTGTTCTTTAAAATACAGTCAAGTTATTGTAATTAATTTGTTTTTTTACATGTTTTAGCAAATGTAAGCTTATAAATCATAAATGTTTATTAAGCAACAGTTACTTCCATGGAAAACGACATATAGGCCAGTTGATTTTTCGAATTTCTTATCAAATCTTCAGTTCTTTATCAATCTGCTTGATCTTTACTATGGCTATGTTAATTCAAGCTCACAATGTTCCAATTCTAATACGTTTTTCTAGTATTTAAAGTAAACTTTAAAAAGTAGTAATAGACTAATAGGTAATTGCAAGACTTGCAAGACTCTTGCTGCAAGACCAAGACCAAGACCAAGACTGGGAGCGCAAGACCAAGACCAAGACCAAGACCAGGTGTATTGGCGCAAGACCAAGACCAAGACTGGCTAAGTCTCGTCTTGTTCTTGCATTTGGGCAACACTAGTTGCCTGTACTTCCCATGCACGAGGGCGCAGTTCCTTCGCCTGCTCAGAGCCGAGGCCATGGACTTATATATTTTTCATTATAAGTTGAAAATCCCCATTGAGCAAGAGTGGTGGTTAATGTTCAAACCTCCTCCATTTGAGAAGAGTTGCTCAGTAGTGGCCAGCAGCAAAAAATACAGATTGCTTTTTTCATATTAACTTTTGAATTTTTTATTCTAGTAGTCACAAGTAAAAGCTTTTGACTGTGACTCAAATTTCTATATTTAATAATATAAATATTAGAAATTTATACAAATATTATTTAATATAATATATAATAACAAATTAATATATAAATATATACGCAAATTGATATAATATATTAAAATAGTATCGAATTATCGATACTATTCTAATATTAATTTGTAATTGAGAAGAAATTGTATGTTAAATTTGTGTACTCATACATTGCAGGCCTTTAATAAAGCTGGTAGACCGACTGTTGTTAGTCGGAATGATGCGCGACGAAGACGTTGAAAAGCTTCTCATCATGACCAACCCTGAGACTTGGGACCCTTCGTTTGACAAAGGTAAGATATATAATTCAGATAAAAGGCTATTCTTGAAATAGTAACTATCGTGAGACATACTAAATTTGCCTAGCTTTTGCTCGCGACTTCGTTCACTTAGTAATGACTTCTGCAGATTTTTGGTTTAAAACCTATCCTATGTCCTTTCTTGAGTTCCAAACTATGTCTGTACCAAATTTCACAGAAACCAGTTCAGGAGTTTAGGCGTGAGAAAAGACAGACAGACAGAGTTACTTTCGCATTAATAATATTAATTAGGCGACGACTGTGATGATCGATGACGACTTACTCACCTAAAATCAGTGATAAAAGCTCTACTAGTTTTAAGTCATAACGGTAGTCTCATTCATGACCAGCTTGCACGTCGACGCTGTTAATAAGTTGTTATTTTCAAAGAAGATTAATGGCTGCTTTTTATCAACATACCACGCGGGCGGAATGGTTGGTAGAAGCTAGTGTAATTATAATGTAGCGACATCTATCGCACAGCATTTACAACAGCACCAATCACGTGCAAGTTTCTACATCGCGCTATAAGAGTTTTCTACACAATTAGCACCGATACAGATATCCCGACAACAACTGTCGGGCAGTAGCCCACCAGACAGAACACCTCGCCTGGTCGGAGGATCCTCCCTTTTCAATGGAGGATGAGGAACTTTCCACCCTGTTCCTCATACCTCTAAAAGTAACATTGTCACGAATGATCTCATTGTAATTGTTTTAAAAAACGTTGGCTTACACTAGGATTTTCTCCTGTGTCGTGGGTGCGTTTACAAACATACAATTTCACATACACACCACACCCAGACTCGGAACAACAATTTGTAGATCGAACAAAGAGTTGTTCCATACGGGAATCGGATCTGCGACACGATGCGACATAATGCCGCATCTGGATTGTGTGATCATGAATATGTTTTAATTGTTTCAGAGGGTAAAGACGAGCACCGTAAAGGCCTGCTACACATGAAAATGGCTGAAGGCGCCAAGTTACAGATGTGTTATCTACTACAGCATCTCAACGACATACAGCTAAGGCACAGGGTGGAAGCTATCATTGCGTTCGCGCACGATTTCGTTGGAGATCTACAAACTGATCAGCTAAGGTAAAGTTATTGATTTCTATTTAACATTTGTTATTGGTCAAGGAGATAGAAAGTATGACTTCTAAAATCGAATATATAAAATTCTCGTGTCACAGTTTTCGTTGCCATACTCCTCCGAAATGAGGAGATGACCGATTTTGATGAAATTTTTTGTGCTTATCCGGTATCTATGAGGATCTGAGAAAATGTTAGGGGTAGCCCAACCCTATTTTTTTTTATTTTATAGACAAAAATTTTAATTTCTATTTTTTATGATACAACATACAAAAATACATACAATCCTCAATTTAGGGGGGTTGCCAGTATTATACCTATATAAAATAGTCTCAGTCCTTGTTCATATGAGACAAATATATTTAGGGCGGAAGTTACGTTAGTTAGATGATAGGATTATACAACTCGCACATCAAAACTTTTGAATGACCTTTCGGCAGTGTTTCCGAACGAATTTCAAACCTTCAATATTTTACAGACGTTACACAGAGATCAAGCAGTCAGACCTTCCCAGTGCAGTCGCTGCTAAAAAGACAAGGGAGTTCCGTTGCCCTCCCAGAGAACAGATGAACGCCATCTTGAGTAAGCAATTTACGACAATTATCTTAAAATATTATTTATGTTTGTTATTCATTTATTTATAGCTTAATAATAATTTTCCAAAAAAGAACTCCTTAAGGTTAAATACTAATCTAAGTTAATCAAAACTTAACGTAGGATTTTGTACTGACAAATAGATACTTAAAGTTTGCATAATAATATGTACCTATCTATGTTGATTTTGACCTTGAATGCGATTTTCTAATATTATTTGACACTACGCACTGATTGATGTGGAAAGGAGGTCCTGGACTTAAGTTTGAAATGGGAAATGTATCTTGACTAAGCGTGGTGATTAAAGCTCAAACCTTTTCCGTGTGATCAAACGCCTTTGTTTAGTAGGGGGTACTTATAAGTGAGGACGATTTTGCGAAGATATGACCTTTAGGTTGACGAAAAGTACCTCTTCTTCTTCTTCTGACGTCTAGAAATCTTTGTGTCTCCAATAATATCTCCTTCTCTTTTCCTCTCAGGTTTTAAGCACTTGGAAGAAGAGGACAAAGAGAACTGTCCTTGCGGAGAGGAACTGATCGCAAGGATGAACGAGTTCCACGAGAGTCTGATGGCACATGTTTCCCTTCATGCCCTACAGGAGCCTGATGGAACGGTAATTGTTTTAATAGTTGGCTATTTTCTTTATATAAATAGGCCCAATCCTTCCCCTTCCCCAATCCCTCCTCAATCCCTAAATCTCCAAATCCCTAATCGCTTAAAGGTCGGCAACGCACTCGTAACTACTCCGTTGCGAGTGTCCATGGGCGGCGCTGATTGCTTACCATCAGGTAATCCGTCTGCTCGTTTGCCGACCTATTACATAAAAAAAATATAAATGATTATGGCAGTCAACAACTGTGCGATTTTCGCAAAACTTTATGCCTCACACAGCAAAAGTTTGGAAAGATCTTTCGGCGAACCGATAAGGTCTTCAAACCTTCAGTGAACAAGCGTTCACCTTCTTAAAAGGCCAGCAACGCGCCTGGGACACCCTAGGTGTATTACTACAATATTTCTGGCTGTTTCTGAAGAAATAATTGTGCTATTTGACGCAAAAAGACGATGACGAAACTGGTCTAATATATATAGTGCCTGATACATACACAATTCAAAGAAAAGAATCGTTTTCGATATTTCTATAAAAGTATTGAAACTGATTTATCTATACAAATATTATACAGTGGTAAAATTAGTAAGTTTGTATGTAGGGGTAATCTTTGGAACCGCTGGTCGGATTGCCAAAATTTTTTACAGATAGATAGCTACAATGTTCCTGAGTGCTATAGGCTAACAAACATCACGCTTCGATCAAATGAAGCTGAGTAGCGGGTTAAACCGCGCGAGAGTAGCTAGTAAGTTATATTTTAGTAATATTATCTTAATATTTTGTTCTTCTTGCAGGAAAACCAAGAACCAGAAGCGAAACCAGGTGCATTTGGCAAGTTGTACAACATCATTAACACCGTAAAGGAACTTGAAGAAGAACCCAAGGTAATAAGAAAAAACCTCTGAACACACATTCTAAAAGGCCTCTCCTCGAGGAGATGGTTTAAGCATAATCACCACGCTGGCTTCAGGTTGATGGAAACTTAAAATTGGAGATTCAAACCGCATTCATCTCAAATATGGAGACCCTAATGTAATCGACTCTTATAAGGAGCGGTGACTTTAAAGTATTCACTTGACTGTATTCTTTTCCCAGGCTATTGATGAACCTCCAAAGAAGACTCCAGAAGAGAAATTCCGTAAGGTCCTTATACAGACCATCGTCAACTGGGCCGAGGAATCGCAGATTGAAACTCCTAAACTGGTTAGGGAAATGTTTAGGTAAGTTCAGTTTTGCCCTAGTCTATAGTAAGTTAAATGCTGCTTTGTTGTTGCGTCCATGGGCGGAGCTGATTGCTTACCATCAGCTAATCCGTCTGCTCGTTTGCCGAACTATCTTATCAAAAGTTGTTTTTTCCAGTCTTCTAGTCCGTCAATACGACGCAGTGGGTGAGCTGATTCGTGCCCTTGAGAAGACTTACGTCATCAATGCTAAGACCAAGCTGGACGTGGCTGAGATGTGGGTCGGACTCAGTCAGATCCGAGCACTCCTACCAGTACAGATGAGTCAGGAGGAAGAGGAACTTATGAGGAAAAGGCTTTGGTAAGAAAGAATGTAACGCGCGAAGCAAAATCATCATTCTCATCATCACATCATACAGACGGTTGGCTGGTTAACTGGCTATTGTCTTCATAAATATGGTTGGCTATCAACAACTGTGCGATTTTCACGAAATTTTCTACCCCGCACAGCAAAAATTTGCAAAGATCTTTCGGTGGTGCTATTTCTCAATCGATACGACCTTCAAACCTTCAAGAACCGAGCATGCTACTTTTTTAAAGGCTGGCAATGTGCCTGTTACCCCTCTGGTGTCGCAGATGTCCATGGGCTAACTATCCAAAGCTTCCTCCTTAAGCTTCCTATTATTTTAAGACCAAAATAGACCAGCCGTTCTCGAGAATTAGCGACACTAACAAAATGTAATTCATTTTTATATGGACGTACGTATCTTGGGTTATACATAATTTAACATAGATATTTTTAAAGCCGTATGTTCCCATTTACCTACTGTTGTTATTATAATTAAGACCACACAAAAAACGAGCCTTTGGCAATAACAGTAATAAGTAACGAACAATCAATTAAAGCAATCGAATTAATTCATTTCATTATTTTTTCCATCAACAAACAAGAAAATGGTCTGGTGTTTATTAAAACTCTTAATTTCAGGAAACTCGTCAACAACCACACTTTCTTCCAACATCCAGACTTGATAAGGTAAAATTTTACAAATTTATTTGTTTTTGTATCAGCATTTAAAAACAATGGAATAGTAATGTAATTGATCTAGTTTTTTAACTAATGCCTTAGTGTCCTAATTATTATTATTATTCCAGAGTACTCCGCGTCCACGAGAACGTGATGGCCGTGATGATGAACACTCTGGGCCGGCGTGCGCAGGCGCAGTCCGACGCGCAGCCCGCCTCGCCCCCCGTCGCAGAGGATAGTAAGGAGAAAGTATGTCACAAGTCTCTTATTTGCATACATAATATACTACGGTCTATAGGTTTAAGTGGCAAACAATCTTGGTATGTCTTTAATATTAAAGAGGTCGTATAATTTAAAATAAAAAAAAATGACACCCGCAATATCAGAGATGTTACGAGTACGTTGCTGACCTTTTGGAAATTAGGAATTTGGAGATTTTGGGATTGGGAAGGGATTGTGAGAGGGAAAGGATTGTGTACCGGTAGGCGGTAACCTCACTCACACGGCGAAACACAACGCTGTGATTATTGTACGTCGGTTTTTTGTGAAACCGTGGTATCACTTCGGTCGAGCCGACCCATTCGTGCCGAAGCATGGCTCTCCCACACTTATCTCTTAGATAAAAATAATAATAAAAAAAAATCCCTTTTTCTAGGACACATCCCACGAGATGGTAGTGGCGTGTTGCCGTTTCCTCTGCTACTTCTGCCGTACGGGAAGACAGAACCAGAAGGCTATGTTCGATCACTTCGATTTCCTTCTGGAGAACTCCAACATCTTGCTGTCCAGACCTTCCTTGAGGGGATCTACTCCTCTAGACGTGGCGTACTCGAGTTTAATGGAGAACACTGAGTTGGCGTTGGCTTTGAGGTGAGGAGCAATCTTAAAATTATTGGTATTTTTTAAGTTGTGGGTCCACTACTGCTGGTCGGGCTCAAAATTGTGCCGGGGCATTGGACGATAGAAGGAACGGGGTAGTTTTATGGTCAGTAAGTATCTGACACTCGCGTCCGGAGCGGGAGAGACCGCTCGATTATATTATGAGCCCTTCAAAAAAATTTAGTATTTTTGTTTACATTTTTTTATATTTCTCCAACAAAAATGTAGTTAATTATTTTATTTATTTGTGTTACTTATATGACAAATAATTTAAACAAAGTCAAAGCCAAAAACCAATCTATTATAATATAACCATATACGGGAACTTTTCAAACTTTTCATTAGTGAAGCTAGGTGTTTGTGCCATATTGTACATACAAATGGAGATAACGAGAAATAACTTCATCGTTATTCTTTAAGTAGGTTTTCATAGGTAGATTCTCTTATAACATTGTAAAAGTCTTTCAAAATTTTCAGAGAGCACTACCTAGAAAAGATCGCTGTATACCTGTCTCGGTGTGGACTGCAAAGCAATTCGGAGCTCGTCGAGAAAGGCTACCCAGACCTAGGGTGGGATCCAGTCGAGGGTGAACGTTATCTGGACTTCCTTAGATTCTGTGTCTGGGTAAGAGAAAACCTGTTTTAGAAAATCTTTATTAAAAATTTAAATAAAGAAAATTATACTACTAAATTACTTCATCAAATATGATAATACATTTTTTTATTTTGTTGTTTAAAGAAAAACATAATATTTTTTTATTTACAAAAACATGCATATAGCTAAATATTTATCATCCATATTATATAATTAGATAACAATAGTAAGTAATTATAGGAATAATATTTTTTCCAAACCTAAACCAAACCTTTCCAAGAATTTTGTAACTTACTTATGACGTCATCATATTTTTGCATCAAGTGAAATATTTCTTAGGTACCTATCCTTTAAATATTACAGTCTTCCTTTCATAAAAAGTAGAAACTTATTAACTTAATCCTTTTATTTCATTCAGGTTAACGGTGAAAGCGTAGAAGAGAATGCAAACTTAGTAATTCGTCTGTTGATCCGACGCCCTGAATGTTTGGGTCCGGCCCTCAGAGGTGAAGGCGAGGGCTTACTGAAGGCCATAGTCGACGCCAACAAAATGAGTGAGAGGATCGCAGACAGGAGGAAACTGAGGGAGATGGAGCAAGAGGGAGATGTTAGTGTGAGTATACGAGTTTATTATTCGTCGGTCTTTTAGACTTTTTTTTTATGAAAACGTTGCTTCATCCTAGGATTTTCTCCTGTGTCGTGGGTATACAAATATACAATTTCACATACGAATAACACCCAGACCCGGAACAACGATTTGTTGTTCAATGTGTTGAACCAATTGCCCAGCCACCGTGTCAACTGTGCAGTAAAAAATTTATTGTTCTGGATAATAATAATCTCTATACTTTTATAAATGGGTTCTGTACTTAGACCTAATAGCTGCTCTAATACTTGGTCGTAGTGTGCATGAAGATGTGGGTCCAAAACCTGCTAAACAACAATCCGCTTTAAGCCAGCGTGGTGATTTCCGTATGAAACGTGGCCCTTCGCTTAGCATTACGCTATATAGCCATTCAACCAATCCAAAAGAAACTATTTGATGATTTTCCCCTCACAAAAAAATACCAAGTCATCATCATCATCTTCCTGGCTTTGTCCCGTTTTATTTGGGGTCGGTGAAATATGTTTTTTTCTTCCATTCTGTCCTGTCACTCGTCATGCTATCACTAACTCCTCTGTCTTCCATATCATTTCTCACACAATCTATCCATATTTTCTTTGGTCTCCCTCTCCATCCATCCACACATACTCGTGGCTTTTTTTGTAACATGCGTTTCATCCCTCCTTTTCACATGGCAATACCAAGACAAACGGTTCCCTTTCAACTTTTCAGTCACTGGCGCCACTTTCAAACTTCCTCTAATATACTAATTTCTCACTTTATCCATTCTCGTCACACCACTTAAAAGAAATACCAAGTATCTAATAATAATACTAATTCTGTTTCCTTACAGTTCAGCCACCCCCTCCCAGAATCTGATGATGACGAGGACTACATCGACACGGGAGCTGCTATACTGAATTTCTACTGTACACTAGTGGACCTGCTCGGTAGATGCGCGCCTGATGCAGGGGTTATTGCACTTGTAAGTATATTTTGAACCTTGTTGTTCTTATTTGTAGAGTTGAGAATTGTTTGTTTTTTGTTAAGAAGGATTTCAGAAAAAAAACGTTGATCTGAGAATATTCTGTATTAAGTTTAGAAAGAAAGAATGAAGCTTATTGTTCTTGTTTATTGAGTTGATAATCGTCTGATCTTAGTTAAGAATTATTTAGGAATGAATCCATTTTGTTTTTTTTTAAAGAGTTGAAAATAATCTGTTCTTAGTAAAGAAAGTTAGAGAATTAACGTTTTGTTCATGTTTCATGTGTCATCCGCTAATAAAGGATTTTTATAAATTCCACCTCTAAGGGGAATGTAATAATCTTTCAAATAGGGGATGAAATTTGTATAAATCTTCTTATATTTTCGCCTGATTGGGCTGAAATTAAAGATTGATGAAGATGATAATTCTTAACACACGACAAAAGTAAAGCCGCAAAAACTATACCTAATTAGTAATAATATTTCTTAACGCGAGCGAAGCCGCGGGCAGATGCTAGTATACATATAATAAAGTATATCAACTGGATACTTGAAGCCGTTTCACCTGTTGCTCAGCTTCAATCGAGCATGGTTGTCTCTTGCGGGAAACGAATCCGCGATACCTTACTTAACAGCCAGCTTTGACCCAGCCACTACGCCAATCGTGCTTGTAATTCAATATCATTTGTATATTTTCTTTTCAGGGCAAGAACGAATCCCTCCGAGCTCGAGCCATCCTCCGTTCTCTAGTACCGCTGGAAGATCTACAGGGTGTGCTCAGTTTGAGATTTACGCTCAACAATCCCGCTGCGGGAGAGGAGAGACCTAAGTCTGGTAAATGTTTATTTATTAAATGAAAACATTATTAGTTTAGTTATTTTTATTATTTTTATAAAGTATAATTTCGTACTTTTTATGCGAAAGTAAGCAAGTGACACTCTGTTTAAGAAAAGTTCTTCACTCAGCAATGGGCATTTAGGCTTATGATAATGCTTGACTAACAACAGATTCAAGTATGAGAGAGCCATGCTTCTTCGTAAATGGACCGTCTCGACCGAAGTCATACCACGGGCTCCATGCTACCATGACTGACTGACTGACTGACTGACTGACTGACTGACTGACTGACTGACTGACTGACTGACTGACTGACTGACTGACTGACTGACTGACTGACTGACTGACTGACTGACTGACTGACTGACTGACTGACTGACTGACTGACTGACTGACTGACTGACTGACTGACTGACTGACTGACTGACTGACTGACTGACTGACTGACTGACTGACTGACTGACTGACTGACTGACTGACTGACTGACTGACTGACTGACTGACTGACTGACTGACTGACTGACTGACTGACTGACTGACTGACTGACTGACTGACTGACTGACTGACTGACTGACTGACAAAATGACAATGACAGTCACTGTCTATAAATGTTTTATTAACATCGTCCGTTTCTCTATAGATATGCCATCAGGTCTGATTCCTGGCCACAAGCAGAGTGTAGGCCTGTTCTTGGAGCGTGTGTACGGTATCGAGACACAGGAACTGTTCTACAAACTGCTGGAGGAAGCCTTCCTACCTGATCTGAGGGCTGCCACCATGTTGGATAGGGTAAGTTCTTTTTTGCATAAAAATAAACATGTTTTTTTTTGTTGACTTAACTTCTGTCATATAAATTGTTAAATTTATTAAGTTTTTCTTTATTTATAAGAAATAGTTTGTTCACATTTTTGTGGTATATTGTCTTATACATAAATGTCAAGATTTGAAAAAACCTGACTATTACATAATTTGACAATGACATGACAAAAATTAACATTACATGTTGTAAAATTTTGTTAAAAGTAGGTACTTATAAGTAAAGTAGTTATTAATATTCCTATATCATCAAAATGATACATAAAGCGGACTTAATGTTGCCATATGACATTCTATACCAGTCTGATATTTTATCTTTAAAACACACACTAGTACAACATGTATTTATTCTATTATTGTAATATCCACGTGATTTTCAAATACCTTTTTGATTCATCAGAACGATGGCTGCGAATCCGACATGGCTCTCTCAATGAACCGCTACATCGGTAACTCGATCCTGCCTCTACTGATCAAGCACGCGTACTTCTACAATGAAGCTGAGAACTACGCTAGCTTATTGGACGCTACGCTACATACTGTTTATAGGTAAGTCTGTACTAATATTATAAAGAGGTAGAATTTGTAAGTTTGTATGTAGAGGGTAATCTTTGTAACCGCTGCTGGTCAGATTGCCAAAATTGATAGATAGCTACAATGTTCATAGAACAGCACGCTACAATCATATGGAGCAACGGATGAAAGCGCGCGGGAGTAGCTAGTGTAATATATAATGGTGTTTTTAATACTTAACAAAGTAAACAATAATACATTTGAAACACTTGTGTGTCAACGTGTAAGTGAGGTTAGCGCCCAATCCTTTCCTCTCGCATCCACTTAATTTTTTTATAGCATAGGTCAACAAACGACCTGATGGTAAGCAATCGGTGGCGCCTACGGACAACATAAGAGGAGTTAGTAAAACATTGCTGGCGTATTGGGGCCAAGGATTTGGAGATTTAGGGATTGGGGAGAGATTGGGGGAGGAAAAAAATTGGGAATCTAGCTACTTCACTCGCAAAAAGACATAAAATGATCTGGGGTAAGCCATCGGCGCCGCCCATGGACATCTACAACATAAGAGGAGTTATGAGTGCATTGCTGGCTTTTGGGATTTGGGTTTCGAGGTTTTGGGACGGGGGAGAGGAAGAAGGTCGTCCGGTTACCTCATACACAAAGCCAGACACAACGCTTTAGTTAATTTATGCCAGTTTTTTGTGACTTGACAAGTGGCCACTTGGTACGGTGGCTGGGCAACTGACTGTTGTGCAAGGTGTCGCGGGATCGATTCCCGCACGGAACAACACTTGGTGTAGTCCACAAATTGTTTTTTCCAGTCTAGGTGTGATGTGTATATGAATTTGTATGTTTGTTAACGCACCCACGACACAGGAGAAAATCCTAGCGTTGTTCCATGAGTTTGTGGTATCACTCTCGCTAATATGATAGAAAACCTTACCTTTTTTAAAAAAGAAATTAATGTTCTTTGACCAGGTTATCGAAGAACCGCATGTTAACCAAAGGACAACGTGAGGCCGTCTCAGACTTTCTGGTCGCTTTAACATCAGCGATGCAACCGTCTATGTTGTTGAAATTGTTAAGAAAACTGACAGTGGATGTGTCTAAGCTTTCGGAGTACACAACTGTCGCTCTTAGGGTAAGTTCTTTAAAGTACATATTTGTATAGCAGGTTTTTTTCTTTGAAATATTTGTATAAGGTTTTTTTAGGGCTTCTTCTCTACTTGGTTGACTTTGTGAGCTACACATAAATTTTTCGTAATTATATGCTATAAACAAATTCAACTAAATTCTATGTAATAAAGGAAAATGTTTATTACAAAAAAACATTATGAATTTCGAATTCTATTACTCACTAGTAACGCTTGCAACCATAGAAACCACGCGAGATAATCAAATTTTGTAAAAATTCAATAATAATTTTATTCGAGCATGCTCGACTACTTTCGAACCATACGGGAGCTCTAGACTATCACAAATATTACCATATATCTTTCAGCTCTTAACCCTACACTACGAGCGATGTGCCAAGTACTACGGTAGTACGGGCGCCGGCCAGGGCGTGTACGGTGCATCGTCAGATGAAGAGAAAAGGCTTACCATGATGCTGTTCTCAAATATCTTCGATTCTCTCAGCAAGATGGACTATGAACCTGAACTGTTTGGGAAAGCCTTGCCTTGTCTGATTGCTATTGGTATGTTTCAAAGTCAAAATCTTTTTTTTAACGTGATATGTCAGCAAATGACCAGACGGATTACCTGATGGTAAGCAAACATCACCGCCCATGGACACTCGCAACAACAGAGGAGTTACGAGTGTGTCGTCGAGCTTTCGGAGATTAGGGATTGGGGAGGAATTGGGAAAGGGGAAGGATTCGGCCTCCGGTAACCTCACTAACACGGCGAAATACAATGCTGTGGCTGTTTCACGCCGGTTTTCTGAGAGGCCGTGATATCTCTCCAAACGAGCCGACCCATTCGTGCCGAAGCGTGGTTCTCCCACACTTAAAACACAAAATTATTTATTTCAATTTAACCATAATATTATTTTACGTGATCGTGGTGTCCGGAGGAAGATTAATACTCAAACCTTTTCCGTGTGAGAAGAGGCCTTTGCTCAGCAGTAGGCACTTATAGGCTGAAGATGATGATGATTATTATACAGGTACTTTTGAAACGGCAAAATAGAATAATAGTCTGTCAGCCTACTCGTCAATAACGCTTTTTGCTCGTTCTAAAGTGTAGAAACGAATGTAGAAAAACGAACAACAATCACCATAGTTACTCTAATAAAAAATATATATCTGGGGGCAAGGCAGTGCCCCGCCAAGTCGAAAGCGAAGCAAACACTGCCGTACCATCGTTTACTGGAACCATTTCGCCGCATTTTCAGGCCTATGTTTTACATGCTCACGAATACATTACTTAAAACACTTTCGACCTTATTATAAAACAAAGTTTTTCTTTAGTCTAAGTCTAAACCATTGAGACAGTTTTTGTATTTCAAATTGAAGGTAGGTGAATATAAGATTCAAAATACAAAACCTGATTCAATGGTTTAAACCTAGACTTAAGATAAATCTTGTTTTTTAATATTTGTGCTTATTTTTAATGTAATATGAGGTGGAATGTCTATAATTATGTTTTAAACAAAAACTATTCTGAATTAAGTGTTATTTATATGTTATGATAATTAGGTTATTCACTAAGCTGATGATTTTAAAATCACTGGGATTTTTTATGAAAGAATTTTACTCAAACAAATATTAAAAATCTAGAATCAAAACACTTGGCAAAGATGAAATGGATTCTCGAAACTATTTCCTCCTTAATCCACAATTTTTTTCCAATACATTTGCCGCTACATATCTTGTTACTAGCTACAGAAAACTAGTTTCCACAAAACTCAACGCAATATTTTAATATATATTTTCGTCTTTCAGGTTGTGCCTTACCACCCGATTATTCGCTTTCAAAGAACTACGATGACGAATTCTACGGCAAAGAGCAAGTGGCTGGTAAGTAAAATAGAACTAAATAAAAACTACAATATGTAACATTAACAACTATAACGTAAGTAATTTTATGTAAAGAACAAAAATTGCACCTTATTCTACCGACTTTAAGATGCTATTTCCGATTCTAGCGCCAAAGTTTCAGAATAATTCCACTCCAAAGTTAGCGCCACGGCTATCGTGCTGAGTATTGATGGAACTGACCTTGAACATCGGTCCTTTTTTTGTAAAGGGAAAATCACCAAATAACAACTCCCACTCAGGGTTGGGGTGGGAAGGAGTATCAGACTCTTACTGACTAAAAACCCGGTAGTTTTCACCTCTTTCTCTCAATCAGGACCAGATCCAGGACAAATCAAACTAGAATATAAAATCTTAGCGAGTGGAATTGCTTTTAGGAGAATTATAGCGCCACAATACGATTAAAATTGGTCCAACTTTATAATATTTTTTTCCAGGTGACCTTGACAATCCCCAATACGATCCTCAGCCCATCAACACATCATCAGTGGCTCTCAACAACGATTTGAACACAATCGTCCAAAAGTTCTCGGAACATTACCACGACGCGTGGGCTTCGAGAAAGATCGAGAACGGATGGGTCTACGGAGAAGGATGGTCGGACAGCCAGAAAACTCATCCACGATTGAAGCCGTACAATATGCTTAATGATTATGTTAGTAAAGTTGAAATTCATTTGATTTTTGGGTGCTTATAAGATAAATTTACAGGCGTTTTGGTTATTATGATCCTTATTGTTTTTTACAGGAAAAAGAGCGTTACAAGGAACCAGTGCGAGAATCCTTAAAAGCCCTTCTAGCCATCGGATGGTCGGTCGAACACTCCGAGGTGGATATACCAAGCACCAACCGTAGTTCAATGAGACGACAGTCCAAATCAGGAGGCGTAAGTTGTACTCTCTAGTGCGATTATCAACTTTATAAGCTTTGTTATAAACTTTAAAATCTGTTGAAGAATTTTTATAGTTAAGGACGATATTTGTTTCTGCAAATTTCAGTAACACCCCACTCAGAGTAATTGAATGTTTACTTTACCTAGTCCTTAGTAATAATTTGGGATTAAAATTATTATTAAACTATGGTTTTAGTTAACATTAATTGTTGCTGAGGCTGGTGGACAAAAACAATCATCAAAATGTGTTTTAAAAATCAAACCCGAAAACGGCTGCACCAAATACGATAGTTTAACCCAAAAGACCGTCTGTCAGTAAAATATTGTTTAGACATGATTCTTACTTGTTGTTGTTCTGTATCAATATTATAATACGGTAGTTTTCAACTAGTCAAATTCAATACTTTTATCCAAACGTCAAAAACGATACCTTTCTATGAAAGTATGAAAAACTAAGCTATGACGTCAAAACATTTTTGCGTCAAATAGCTTACTTATTTCATAACAATTTGCTTAAAAAAATCTAAAACTTAGCGTATCGATCGATCGATGACTAAAAGTAGAGTTATTTGCCAATATTTTATAGTATTGAAACATCGAATTAATTTATTTTTGACCTAGGAAACTACCCAATTATTTTGTACATATATCAATATAAAAAATATAATATTTTAATTTCGCATGCATCCCAAAGGACGATAAACCTAAGGAAACGACGGTATACCTACGCTTTAAATTGTATTGTTTATATAAATTAATTATGTATAAGCACCGAAATATTTATTTGTACGCACTTAATGATTGGCATGAGAAGCATTTTTCCATTTAGTTGTCTGGGGGCATGGCAGTGCCCCAGCCAAGTCTCGAGCAAAACGGGTACATCCCTACTATCCCAGCTGCATCGTTACGGATAAAGCTAGAGATAAGAGTTTCGTCACTGTTATTGTACTGTCAAAAGTAATCTAGTCACAAAGCATTGATTTAATTTTTCAAATTTATTTGACTTGATTTCTACGCTATCTCAAAGAATAGCGTAGAGAGACTTGGCTATTTTTTTACGTTGAATGTTTTTAGTGGGATATATTTGTCACTGAAAACATTAACATTTTATTGAAATTCTTATAATGGAAAAGTGCTTTATAATACACAAAAAATATTATAATTTTTATTCAATTGCACACCCTTTAAAGAATGATTTACATTCGTTCAATGAACTGAACCGAATGAAGCAAATTAACAATTGAACGGTCTACTCATAATAGAACCGTCTTTTAGTTCAATGAACGAATGAGTGAATGAATGACCTTGTACATTTCACGTTGCTTTTTTCACCTACCTGAATTGTATGTTATTTTCATATCCCCGCAACGCACAGCGCCCTCCCGATCTTGTGGTGAGTTTTAGTACTAATTTTATTTAAAGATACGAAGATTTTTTAGTTTAGTTAGATTCGATGATTAGATTGAGTATAGTTTTAGTTTAGTAGGTTTGGCTTGGAATTTTAATTCATTGATACTTCGTACCAAGCATGTTTAATATTAGTATAAATTACATAACAAAATATTTATTTTCATATTTACACATAATCCTACTTATATCGAATAAAACTCAAAATTTATAATTCTAAGATTTTTCTTTCATTAATTTTCTTATTCTTCTTTTTCCATAATGTCTGTGATAAAAATAGTTTTCATCTCTAGTCGGAAGTAATTTTCACTATAAACTTCAATGTACCTAGTATTTTTTCTGATTCACCGCTCCTTCTAGCGTACAGTAATCAGTTTTTTAAACAACGCTTGCTCGTAAAACCCTTCACTACTCTATCCTGCTTTTCTATATAACCCTTTTTTTTTCATTTTTCGCACCTTAGCACACAACTAAGTACTAACATTATGTATATAGACAAAAGGCAAAATATACTTTCTTCTTCATCGTAAATATATAGGGTGACTGGTTATGTTGACTATAATCACGTGTTAAAATATTGATCACTGATTACCAGTCATCCTGTTTAAGCGTAATACTAACTTCTGTAAAATATTTCTAATGCAGAATTATACATAAATTTATTCCCACTTATGACAAAACAAGACTTATCTTTAGTCAGGTTTAAACCATTGAGTCAGGTTTTGAATTTTGAATCTTATTATTTTTTTTTTCTTTAAAAAAAACGTTGCCCTACATTAGGATTTTTTCCTGTGTCGTGGGTGCGGTTACAAACATACAATTTCACATACATATGACACCCAGACCCGGAACAAAAATTTGTGGATCACACAAAGAGTTGTTCCGTGCGGGAATCGAACCCGCGACACGTTGCACGGCAGCCAGTTGCCCAGCCACGGCACCTAACGTGCAGTTATTGTCACCTTCAATTCGAAATACAAAAAGTGACCCAACGGTTTAGACCAGGGATGTTAGGGACCGTAACCAAAACTATCGAATATCTAATATAAAATCCGTATCCGTAACCGGATCCCAAATTAAAGTTTCGGATGATAATGGATAAGGGGGAGCCTAATTGAGACAAGCTATGTTTGTATTTTACGTAAAAATCCCTTAAAACTTTAATATCCGTAACCCAAATTATCCGAGACTAACGGATAATCCGAAATAATTTAATATCCGTATCCGTAATATTCAGTATAATTATCAATCCTATATCCTTATCCGAAATTTCATATCTATAACATCCGTAGTTTAGACCTAGACTAATGAAAAACCTTGTTTTGTAATAAGGCCTATGAAGTTTGTCTTCTCTAAAGTAATTCTTCTTATCCCATTCTCTTCTGCAGACGGACTCAGCAACTCCGTTCAACTACAACCCACATCCAGTGGACATGACCAACTTAACTCTATCGAGGGAGATGCAGAATATGGCTGAAAGACTGGCTGATAACGCCCACGATATCTGGGCGAAGAAGAAGAAAGAAGAACTAGTCACTAATGGAGGTAAGAAAAAAGTATTCAAAGTCAAAGTCAAAAACATTTATTCCAACTAAACCATAAATAGGTACCAAAATAGGATAGTAGTTTGTCAGTCTGGTCAGTGGAGCTAATCGTGCAACTGTTCAAATCAAAGCAAATAAGTTTATTTATAAGAATATGGTATTTTTTTTAAACGTTGCCCCTTATTAGGATTTTCTCCTGTGTCGTGGATGCGGTTACAAACATACAATTTCACATGCACATCACACCCAGACGCGAAACAACAAATTTTGGGTCACACAAAGAGTTGTTCCGTGTGGAAATCGAACCCGCGACACATTGCACGGCAGCCAGTTGCCCAACCACCGAACCAACCGTGCAGTCTATCAAATTGGTGTAACAGTATGTTTTCCAGCATATCCTCTCTTCGCCACCTTGCCTTCTGTCCGCCATATGTATTCTATCTTAATCAGGCTAGTTATTTTGTTTAAAACAAACCAACTAATTCCTGTCTATAGTGTAAAGTCTTTACCTATACTTATTCCAAATGCCTATATCTATACCTATTCCAAAGCTCTAACATTCATATAATCGAGAAATGTACGCTACAAATTTACACAAGACACCCAGGCAGCAAACAACAAATTGTAGATCACAGAAAGTGTTGTTCCGGATGGGAATGGTATTCGCTCACATTGTACAGCAGCCTGTTGGCCAGCCATTGCACTGCCTTGAAGTCAGACAGTAGCTCTGTTTAAATTACAAATTTTGGCTTGGTTCACGCTAAACTATACTTTTTGTGTCCACAGGAGGCATCCACCCTCAACTCGTCCCCTACGATCTCTTAACAGACAAAGAGAAGAAGAAAGACAGAGAGAGATCACAAGAGTTCCTTAAATACCTCCAGTACCAAGGCTACAAACTACACAGGCCTAGCAAAGCCCCACAGAGTGACACGGAACAGACTACTACGGGCGTAGCAATAGAGCTCAGATTCGCATACTCGTTATTAGAGAAATTGATCCAGTATATCGATAGGGCGACCATCAATATGAAGCTCTTGAAACCTTCTACTACTTTCAGTAGGAGAACTAGTTTTAAAACTAGTACAAGGGATATTAAGTTCTTTTCTAAGGTGAGTAAGGTTTCTTTTTATTTGCAAAGGCTACTGGGCCTTGGTTGGTAGTTTTTTTCCTTTTCTGTATAAATTCTTTGAAATTTTATTCTGAATATTAATTATTTGTTCATAGTAGAAAAATTAATTAACTTTAAAATCTTATAGCTCTATTTGTATGGAAGTAACGTTTTAATAAAGTAGTTTTTATATTTGCACCTAACTTCCACATTATAAATTAGAGATTTTTATGAAATATCCTTTACATTTTTTGGTAATTTTGAAACTAACCTAACTTTTAGATTTATAAGTTATGAAGTTCGTATATAAAGGTATTTTTAATAGCTTATAAAACTGTTTATAAGGGTGTCCGTTACCCAGGCCAGATGTTGTCGACAATGGTCATTTGATTAATATAGATAATTAGTTGTGCGGCTTCTGTAATTGTTGCGCACATTTTTAAATTTGTTGCGCTTATAGTTTTTTAATTATTTCACAAAAACATTTCCTGCTGGCGTAACGTTACCACAGCCAGACCTTTTTCTTTCTAATGGGAATATTTAAATAAATATTAGCTATAAAATTAGTTGTCTAGATAAAGTAAATGTTGTGCCTTATTTTGTATTTGTTCTTTCTTCGGTTGCGAAGTAATTCGAGATTTTGCTGCGGTAACGTTTTTGGTTTTGTTAGATCTTTGAAATGGTTAAGCGGATTCTTATCATATTTTGTACACGACTTCCGAGGACTTAGTTTAAATTTGTTGTGCAATAACAAAACCAAAATAATGCATATTTTAAAGGTTTTTTCATTAAATAGAAAAACACTTCAATTGGCCCCAGCACTCTCAATAAGAAGTCTAAAGACTTACTTTAAACGTAATTTTAAAGCTTGTAACTGCCTCCAAATGTATGTGAAGTTTCATTAGTATCCCGTAAGTATTTAACAAGTTATGATGATATTCAGTTCTTCACGAGCACGGTCTTAATGCACGCGGTGTTATTTGGCCACTGGATTGGATAAATGAACTGAATGTTATGTCAATAATTAGTTGTTTAGATCAGTTGTATATCAGTAAAATTTCAGCTCAATACATTGGATAATTAATGAGATAATACTATGAAAGTCATTAGGAAGTGAATGACCGTGGTAAGCCGACCAAGTTTAGGTGGTTACGAAAAAGCGAAAACGCAGAACATTGTACTATCTTTTGAAATGTTTAGTATAATACACCTTACAATTTTGGTACAGACGCGTACACTGTTTAATACCTATATAATAATAATATAAAAGAAAACATTATCTTCCAGTTCCACAAAATTATCAAAAATCACCGCTAGAGCATGCCGTTCGGTAGGACGCAGGAGGAGTGGGGTGAAGGGGTAATACATTGTTTGCATAATGCACTCAGTCTTGCCAGAAGGTTACTTTTGTAACCTTTTAGATGATTTTTGAACTGCATTTTGAAATAGAAATGACAAGGACGGGTGATGTTTAATCGGTTGCTAAGCAACACAAGTTTTTATAAGTAAGGGAGTAAAAGTTGAATTGAAATGATTATTTTACCTTTCAATAAAAAATCTTGAATAATCATGTAGTTTTTTTTTAAACTTTTGTACATGTCTGTACTAAATTTATAACACTATCCTACATATTTTAGAAGGTACCATAATGTTCTGCGTTTTCGCTTTTTCGTAACCACCTAAACTTGGTCGGCTTACCACGGTCATTCACTTCCTAATGACGTTCATAGTATTATCTCATTAATTATCCAATGTATTGAGCTGAAATTTTACTGATATACAACTGATCTAAACAACTAATTATTGACATAACATTCAGTTCATATATCCAATCCAGTGGCCAAATAACACCGCGTGCATTAAGACCGTGCTCGTGAAGAACTGAATATCATCATAACTTGTTAAATACTTACGGGATACTAATGAAACTTCACATACATTTGGAGGCAGTTACAAGCTTTAAAATTACGTTTAAAGTAAGTCTTTAGACTTCTTATTGAGAGTGCTGGGGCCAATTGAAGTGTTTTTCTATTTAATGAAAAAACCTTTAAAATATGCATTATTTTGGTTTTGTTATTGCACAACAAATTTAAACTAAGTCCTCGGAAGTCGTGTACAAAATATGATAAGAATCCGCTTAACCATTTCAAAGATCTAACAAAACCAAAAACGTTACCGCAGCAAAATCTCGAATTACTTCGCAACCGAAGAAAGAACAAATACAAAATAAGGCACAACATTTACTTTATCTAGACAACTAATTTTATAGCTAATATTTATTTAAATATTCCCATTAGAAAGAAAAAGGTCTGGCTGTGGTAACGTTACGCCAGCAGGAAATGTTTTTGTGAAATAATTAAAAAACTATAAGCGCAACAAATTTAAAAATGTGCGCAACAATTACAGAAGCCGCACAACTAATTATCTATATTAATCAAATGACCATTGTCGACAACATCTGGCCTGGGTAACGGACACTTTATAAGGTAAACATGCTTTAAATAATATTCTGTGTATTAATTTCCAAGCAACACAAGTCGGAACTAAAGTACTTCAAGAAGGTACATACATGTTTTAGAACGTGACCACGCCCAGATTTCATGTGCATTTTATTTTTTATTCTTTTGCACCGACATACGGGTTATTTTTGCTCGGCAGAAATCTGAGTTTATAGATGCAATATGCTGAAAATTGGATGCTTGCATAAACCATTGATTATATACTTTATATTGTATATTGAATGTACATAGTACATTACTGAATGAACGAATGACAGAATGTATGAGTGAATGAAAAGAACGAAGATATTTTTTTCGCTAAAATTAGAAAATAAAAAGCATGTTGACGTTGTTCTGTAGCCAAATAGTTTTTAAGGAAATAAATAACCTTTTTTCTCTCGGATAAAATTATATGTTCAGAATATTATAATACTTAGTAGAAATAAGACCCACTCGGAAACATTTTCATCCCCATCATCTACATGGTTAGTCAACAACTGTGCAATTTTCGCGAAACTTCGGCCTCGCAAAACAAAACTTTTTCGGCGACGGTATTTCCGAATCGATACGACCTTCAAACCTTCAAGAAACGAGCGTACTCCTTCTTAAAAGGCCGGCAACATGCCTGTTACTCCTCTGGTGTTGTAGATGTCCACGGGCGGCGCCAATCACTTACCATCAGGTGATCCGTCTGCTCGTTTATCCTCCTATTCAATAAAAATAAGTTTTTTTTTACCAGGCCTAATATAAAGTTTATGAAATTATAAAAGCTCATCAAACACAAAAGGACATTGCTCTCTTGACCAAATTTTTTCAGTCTTCATTACGGTTGTATTTCAAATGCAAAAAGCAGTGCATTAATTCCAAAAAGTACGCTATAATTCGCACCAAATCAGGCTTTAATTACCATCTAATGAATAGAAAAACGACCGCTTATGTATTGAAAAAAATGAAAGAAATCGCACCCTCTATACTACCTACAATACTTGACTAAACACATCAAGTCACTAGCAAACAAAAATGTTATTCTAACATGCCCCACAAAACCAGCTTAAATCTAAATTCACCAAGCAAAAATACACTCTAAACTCTTCATAACAAGATACATATTCCCACAGGTGGTGCTGCCTCTGATGGAGAAGTACTTCTCAACGCATAGGAACTACTTCATAGCTGTAGCGACTGCTACTAACAATGTAGGCGCCGCCAGTTTGAAGGAAAAGGAAATGGTAGCAGCTCTCTTCTGTAAATTGGCTAGCTTATTGAGATCCAGGTTAGTAAATTGTATTTTTATATGGTATGACAGCAAATACAAGATCAACAAATTATTCATCATCATCATCATCAGCCTACAAGGGCCCACTGCTGAGCAAATGCCTCTTCACACACAGATAAGGGGCAATTTAAATTGTAATAGAAATTATAAGTTCAGGTTTCCTCACGATATTTTTGTTAACCGTATGCCAGTGGTGTCTAAATAAAATCATAGGAAGCATCTACATATAACTCGGAAAAAGTCACATTGGTACTTGACAGGTATTGAACCGTCATGCTCCAGAAACGAGTTTCTTAAGGTCCGGGTGTTATTAGTATGGCAATGTTTATTAATTTAAGTTTAATTTAGGTTGGCTGCACTGGTGTTGTGTCAATGTTGGTATGTGTTTTTTATCTATGCTCTTCCGGTCTGGTTAATGTCGGCTGATAGATGTGTGTAACTCAGATGAGATTAAATATAAAAGTAAATAGTGTTTCTTTGAAAGATCTGCATTTTATTTCAACATCAGGTTATGGGCCCAGTCTCATAATCCTGCATTGCGAGTAAATTATCTTCAAGAAAAAAAGGTCGACGTTACGAGTTACTCATTGGCGGCAAAAAAGTGAGGTTAGTCTCACTCGTTATACATACCTACACCGTCGAAAAGAAAACTTGTTAGAATTTAAATTGTATTGTAACAAGGCAGGAATATGGAGAGTAACAGCGTGAATCATGTGAATGTGATCAAGCTGGAAGGTTCTAGGAACTGGAATGTTTGGAAATTCCAAACCACGGTGGTATTGAGAGGACAAGGTTTGCTGGATGTTGTGGAGGGAAAATGTGTTAAACCTGAAGCGGCTGCTGAAAGAACCAGTTGGGAAGGAAAAGATGCTAAGGCACAGTCGTTGCTGGTCACACGGATGGCTGAAGAAGCCATGCTACACATCATCACATGCACGAGTTCGGCAGAAATGTGGCGAAAACTGCAGAGCGTATACGAACAGAAGACAGAAACTAGCATACACATGATACAGCAAAGATTTTTCCAGTATAAATATGAAAAGGGAAGTGATATGTCAGTTTTCTTATCCAAGATTCAAGAGATGCGTAATTTGTTGAAACAAATGGGTGAAGATATCTCCGATAAGTTTGTCATCACGAAGGTGTTGATGTCGTTACCTGACGAATATAAACATTTTGTGTCAGCATGGGAGTCGGCGCCTGATGATAAGCAAACTATGGATAATTTAGTGGCTCGTTTATTAATTGAAGAAGAGAGGGTGAAAGGAAGGTTAGAAGAGTTTCAACAAACTTCATCATCTGCGTTCGTTGTGAAAGATAAAAGACAAATAAAGTGTTATAAGTGTGGCAAAACAGGACATCTTCAAAGTGAGTGTAGAAATAATAAAACTGGCAAGAATGATAACGTAAATAGCTGTTTTTATTGTGGAAAGTTCGGCCATTTTAAAGCGCAGTGTCGGTTTCGTAAACAAAAACTAAATAAAACTGAAAATAAAACGATGAACAGTGCGTTCGTAGTGTCTACTTCGGTTGGTAAACTGCATACTTCAAAATGGCTAGTGGACTCTGGTGCCAGTGAGCATATGTGTAGAAATCGAGAATTGTTTAGAACATTTACGATTGCAACGAAACAGTCGGTGATCGTCGGTAATGGAGCGACAATTAGTGTTCTCGGCTGCGGACAGGTGGCGGTGCAAGTCTCGAACGGGACCGAATGGATAGATACGGTCATAGACAACGTTCTCTATGTTCCTGACCTAAATACCAATCTGTTTTCGGTCATTCGAGCCACAGACAAAAATTACACTATGGTGACAGATGACAGGATATGCAAATTTTACAAAGAAAACATTATCTGTGCCATGGCGGAGAGAATCGGCGATTCATATTATTTGAAAATGCGGTATAAATACAGCAAATACGAGACTGCTAGCACTGCAACATTAGTACAAAACGATTTAAACGACTGGCACAGAAAACTCGCACATCAAAATTTTACGCACGTGAAAGATATTCTTCGGAAACACAATGTTAATGTCAAACAAACCGCTAAACCTGAGTGTGAGAGTTGTTTAGTTGGGAAGATTCATCGTTTGCCATTCGGTAAAAGTGAAAACGTTTCTACAAGGACATGCGATCTGATCCATGCTGACACCTGTGGTCCAATGGAAGAAACGTCTATTGGCGGTTCAAGATACTTTGTCATACTGAAGGACGATTATTCTAACTTTAGGAGTGTGTACTTTGTCAAAACAAAAGATGAGATCAAACAGTGTATTGAGAACTTTATCAATAAAGCAGAGAACATGTGATGTTGAAATAAAATGCAGATCTTTCAAAGGAACACTATTTACTTTTATATTTAATCTCATCTGAGTTACACACATCTATCAGCCGACATTAACCAGACCGGAAGAGCATAGATAAAAAAAAACATACCAACATTGACACAACACCAGTGCAGCCAACCTAAATTAAACTTAAATTAATAAACATTGCCATACTAATAACACCCCTTCTCAATGTTTATACCCTTAACAAACTAATAAAATAAAACTACTCTAACGGCTAAACACATTTTAGCAAAATGTCTCTACAATTTAGTTTAACATTTCACATTGCACTGTGTTAGAAACTTAATTAATAAATCCTTACTTATTGACTTTGTAAGCATGTCTGCCAACTGCTCGGAAGTACTTATATACTGAACATCAATTTTATTATTTTTAATTAAATCTTTAGTGAAATGATATCTAATATCAACATGTTTAAGACGCTTAACTGACTCAGTGCTTGCATTTAAAATAGCAGACTGATTGTCACAATATAACTTAACTGGACTGACATTTTGGAAATCAAAATCATGTAACACATTAACAAGCCAGCACGCTTCACTTGCTGCTATACTCATAGAAACATATTCAGCTTCAGTAGAAGATAAACTTACAGAAGATTGCTTTTTAGAACACCAAGTAATCAAACAATTAGCAAACATAAACAAATATCCAGATGTAGACTTTCTGTCCCTCTGATCACCTCCCCAGTCAGCATCACAATAACCTTGCAACAATGTATCATTACACTTATAAACTATTTTATAATTCAAAGTATGTTTTATATAGCGTAATACTCTCTTAAGTGCACTTAGCAGCACACTATTTGCACACTTTTGGTATCTACTTAACAAAGAAACTGGAAAACACAGGTCAGGCCTAGTGCCTGAGACAGCATACATAAGGCAACCAATAATTTGCCTACAGGTTCCTTCAATGTCTTTATCACACTCAGTATCAAATAGCTTAGTATTCAAGTTTATGTCCAAAGGGGTCAACATGGGTTTGCAATTCTCCATGTGAAATCTTTTAAGTACATTTTCTAAGTAATTTCTTTGTGACAATATAGTTGTACCATTTTCAAAATTTTGTTTTACAGTTATTCCTAAGAATTCTGAGATTAATCCTAAATCTTTCATTTTAAATTCTTTGTTTAACATTATTTTAAGCTTTGTGACCTCATTTTCATTTGTTCCAAAAATTAACAAATCATCTACATAAATTAACACAAAAATTTTATCTGTACCACTATACTTTTTATACAAGCATGAGTCACATTTTGACCTTATAAAGCCTTCTTTAGTTATTACAGAATTGAATTTCATGTTCCAAGATTTAGGTGAACTTTTTAATCCGTATAATGACTTATTTAACTTCACTATATTATTATCTCCAGAATAAGCTCCTTCTGGTAAACTAACATAAACATTTTCTTTTATATCACCATACAAGAAAGCCCCTGTGACATCCATCTGGTAAATTGGTAAATTATACTTAGTTGCAATTACTACAAATAACCTAACAGTAGCTAGCTTAGCAACTGGAGCATAAATATCATTTAAACTAAGTATATCCTGTTGTTCGAACCCCCTAGCAACAAGCCTAGCCTTATACAGTTTGACATTATTTGTATTTTTAATCTTAAAGACCCATTTACTACTAATAGTCTTTACACTTACAGGTAAATCACAAAATTCCCATGTCTTATTGTCTTTTAGAGTCTGGAGTTCCCTAGCAATAGCCTCATTCCACTTACTGGCATCACTTCTGCTCATGGCATCACTGTATGTAACAGGTTCACACTCACTATTGTCCAACTGCACATTATTACACTGATAGAAAGACGTTTGTTTACGCTGACGCTTACTCCTTTCCTCTCTCTGAGGACTATTTCCTTCTAGTATGTTTTCTTCGTCACTACACGGTAAGTAGTCACTGTCACTTTCATTTTCTGATCCATCTTCAATGCTACTAGTGTGAATTGTTTCTGATGCCTCATCCGAGTTAAGTACTTCATTTTCAGGGTTTGACTCGATCTCAGGGTTGTTCTCTTCTTCGAGGATGATTGCCACTGTAGACTCCTTTTCTTTACCTTCCTTCAATTGAAGTTTCTCCTCTTTGCCTTTTTCATTCATGAAAACAACATCTCTCTTTATCTCCAGGATGTTTGTATTTGGAAAATAAATTCGATATCCCTTCACATTATCATCATAACCCACCATTACTCCTTTGATACCTTTCTTATCCCATTTCTTTCTTTGTTCCTTAGGGATGTGAACATACACCTCAGAGCCGAAGACCTTTAACTGGTGAATGTCAAACTTCTTATTTGTCCACACTTCAAAAGGAGTTTTTCCGTTTTCATGACTTTTCCCAGTTCTGTTCAATACAAATACTGCTGTATTGACTGCTTCCGCCCACAATTTCTTTGGAAAGTTTTGTTCATGTAACATTGTCCGTGCTGCTTCCACCACTGTTCTAATATCTCGTTCAGCCTTTCCATTTTGTTGAGGCGTATAAGGTACTGATGTTTGGTGTGTTATCCCGTGTTTCGAAAACAAATTTTTCACTTCCTTGTTAACAAACTCAGTACCATTGTCAGATCTCAATACTTTCACTTTATTTCCTGTCATGTTCTCTGCTTTATTGATAAAGTTCTCAATACACTGTTTGATCTCATCTTTTGTTTTGACAAAGTACACACTCCTAAAGTTAGAATAATCGTCCTTCAGTATGACAAAGTATCTTGAACCGCCAATAGACGTTTCTTCCATTGGACCACAGGTGTCAGCATGGATCAGATCGCATGTCCTTGTAGAAACGTTTTCACTTTTACCGAATGGCAAACGATGAATCTTCCCAACTAAACAACTCTCACACTCAGGTTTAGCGGTTTGTTTGACATTAACATTGTGTTTCCGAAGAATATCTTTCACGTGCGTAAAATTTTGATGTGCGAGTTTTCTGTGCCAGTCGTTTAAATCGTTTTGTACTAATGTTGCAGTGCTAGCAGTCTCGTATTTGCTGTATTTATACCGCATTTTCAAATAATATGAATCGCCGATTCTCTCCGCCATGGCACAGATAATGTTTTCTTTGTAAAATTTGCATATCCTGTCATCTGTCACCATAGTGTAATTTTTGTCTGTGGCTCGAATGACCGAAAACAGATTGGTATTTAGGTCAGGAACATAGAGAACGTTGTCTATGACCGTATCTATCCATTCGGTCCCGTTCGAGACTTGCACCGCCACCTGTCCGCAGCCGAGAACACTAATTGTCGCTCCATTACCGACTATCACCGACTGTTTCGTTGCAATCGTAAATGTTCTAAACAATTCTCGATTTCTACACATATGCTCACTGGCACCAGAGTCCACTAGCCATTTTGAACTATGCAGTTTACCAACCGAAGTAGACACTACGAACGCATTGTTCATCGTTTTATTTTCAGTTTTATTTAGTTTTTGTTTACGAAACCGACACTGCGCTTTAAAATGGCCGAACTTTCCACAATAAAAACAGCTATTTACGTTATCATTCTTGCCAGTTTTATTATTTCTACACTCACTTTGAAGATGTCCTGTTTTGCCACACTTATAACACTTTATTTGTCTTTTATCTTTCACAACGAACGCAGATGATGAAGTTTGTTGAAACTCTTCTAACCTTCCTTTCACCCTCTCTTCTTCAATTAATAAACGAGCCACTAAATTATCCATAGTTTGCTTATCATCAGGCGCCGACTCCCATGCTGACACAAAATGTTTATATTCGTCAGGTAACGACATCAACACCTTCGTGATGACAAACTTATCGGAGATATCTTCGCCCATTTGTTTCAACAAATTACGCATCTCTTGAATCTTGGATAAGAAAACTGACATATCACTTCCCTTTTCATATTTATACTGGAAAAATCTTTGCTGTATCATGTGTATGCTAGTTTCTGTCTTCTGTTCGTATACGCTCTGCAGTTTTCGCCACATTTCTGCCGAACTCGTGCATGTGATGATGTGTAGCATGGCTTCTTCAGCCATCCGTGTGACCAGCAACGACTGTGCCTTAGCATCTTTTCCTTCCCAACTGGTTCTTTCAGCAGCCGCTTCAGGTTTAACACATTTTCCCTCCACAACATCCAGCAAACCTTGTCCTCTCAATACCACCGTGGTTTGGAATTTCCAAACATTCCAGTTCCTAGAACCTTCCAGCTTGATCACATTCACATGATTCACGCTGTTACTCTCCATATTCCTGCCTTGTTACAATACAATTAAAATTCTAACAAGTTTTCTTTTCGACGGTGTAGGTATGTATGACGAGTGAGACTAACCTCACTTTTTTGCCGCCAATGAGTAACTCGTAACGTCGACCTTTTTTCTTGAAGATAATTTACTCGCAATGCAGGATTATGAGACTGGGCCCATAACCTGATGTTGAAATAAAATGCAGATCTTTCAAAGGAACACTATTTACTTTTATATTTAATCTCATCTGAGTTACACACATCTATCAGCCGACATTAACCAGACCGGAAGAGCATAGATAAAAAAAAACATACCAACATTGACACAACACCAGTGCAGCCAACCTAAATTAAACTTAAATTAATAAACATTGCCATACTAATAACAACATGACAGGAAATAAAGTGAAAGTATTGAGATCTGACAATGGTACTGAGTTTGTTAACAAGGAAGTGAAAAATTTGTTTTCGAAACACGGGATAACACACCAAACATCAGTACCTTATACGCCTCAACAAAATGGAAAGGCTGAACGAGATATTAGAACAGTGGTGGAAGCAGCACGGACAATGTTACATGAACAAAACTTTCCAAAGAAATTGTGGGCGGAAGCAGTCAATACAGCAGTATTTGTATTGAACAGAACTGGGAAAAGTCATGAAAACGGAAAAACTCCTTTTGAAGTGTGGACAAATAAGAAGTTTGACATTCACCAGTTAAAGATCTTCGGCTCTGAGGTGTATGTTCACATCCCTAAGGAACAAAGAAAGAAATGGGATAAGAAAGGTATCAAAGGAGTAATGGTAGGTTATGATGATAATGTGAAGGGATATCGAATTTATTTTCCAAATACAAACATCCTGGAGATAAAGAGAGATGTTGTTTTCATGAATGAAAAAGGCAAAGAGGAGAAACTTCAATTGAAGGAAGGTAAAGAAAAGGAGTCTACAGTGGCAATCATCCTCGAAGAAGAGAACAACCCTGAGATCGAGTCAAACCCTGAAAATGAAGTACTTAACTCGGATGAGGCATCAGAAACAATTCACACTAGTAGCATTGAAGATGGATCAGAAAATGAAAGTGACAGTGACTACTTACCGTGTAGTGACGAAGAAAACATACTAGAAGGAAATAGTCCTCAGAGAGAGGAAAGGAGTAAGCGTCAGCGTAAACAAACGTCTTTCTATCAGTGTAATAATGTGCAGTTGGACAATAGTGAGTGTGAACCTGTTACATACAGTGATGCCATGAGCAGAAGTGATGCCAGTAAGTGGAATGAGGCTATTGCTAGGGAACTCCAGACTCTAAAAGACAATAAGACATGGGAATTTTGTGATTTACCTGTAAGTGTAAAGACTATTAGTAGTAAATGGGTCTTTAAGATTAAAAATACAAATAATGTCAAACTGTATAAGGCTAGGCTTGTTGCTAGGGGGTTCGAACAACAGGATATACTTAGTTTAAATGATATTTATGCTCCAGTTGCTAAGCTAGCTACTGTTAGGTTATTTGTAGTAATTGCAACTAAGTATAATTTACCAATTTACCAGATGGATGTCACAGGGGCTTTCTTGTATGGTGATATAAAAGAAAATGTTTATGTTAGTTTACCAGAAGGAGCTTATTCTGGAGATAATAATATAGTGAAGTTAAATAAGTCATTATACGGATTAAAAAGTTCACCTAAATCTTGGAACATGAAATTCAATTCTGTAATAACTAAAGAAGGCTTTATAAGGTCAAAATGTGACTCATGCTTGTATAAAAGGTATAGTGGTACAGATAAAATTTTTGTGTTAATTTATGTAGATGATTTGTTAATTTTTGGAACAAATGAAAATGAGGTCACAAAGCTTAAAATAATGTTAAACAAAGAATTTAAAATGAAAGATTTAGGATTAATCTCAGAATTCTTAGGAATAACTGTAAAACAAAATTTTGAAAATGGTACAACTATATTGTCACAAAGAAATTACTTAGAAAATGTACTTAAAAGATTTCACATGGAGAATTGCAAACCCATGTTGACCCCTTTGGACATAAACTTGAATACTAAGCTATTTGATACTGAGTGTGATAAAGACATTGAAGGAACCTGTAGGCAAATTATTGGTTGCCTTATGTATGCTGTCTCAGGCACTAGGCCTGACCTGTGTTTTCCAGTTTCTTTGTTAAGTAGATACCAAAAGTGTGCAAATAGTGTGCTGCTAAGTGCACTTAAGAGAGTATTACGCTATATAAAACATACTTTGAATTATAAAATAGTTTATAAGTGTAATGATACATTGTTGCAAGGTTATTGTGATGCTGACTGGGGAGGTGATCAGAGGGACAGAAAGTCTACATCTGGATATTTGTTTATGTTTGCTAATTGTCTGATTACTTGGTGTTCTAAAAAGCAATCTTCTGTAAGTTTATCTTCTACTGAAGCTGAATATGTTTCTATGAGTATAGCAGCAAGTGAAGCATGCTGGCTTGTTAATGTGTTACATGATTTTGATTTCCAAAATGTCAGTCCAGTTAAGTTATATTGTGACAATCAGTCTGCTATTTTAAATGCAAGCACTGAGTCAGTTAAGCGTCTTAAACATGTTGATATTAGATATCATTTCACTAAAGATTTAATTAAAAATAATAAAATTGATGTTCAGTATATTAGTACTTCCGAGCAGTTGGCAGACATGCTTACAAAGTCAATAAGTAAGGATTTATTAATTAAGTTTCTAACACAGTGCAATGTGAAATGTTAAACTAAATTGTAGAGACATTTTGCTAAAATGTGTTTAGCCGTTAGAGTAGTTTTATTTTATTAGTTTGTTAAGGGTATAAACATTGAGAAGGGGTGTTATTAGTATGGCAATGTTTATTAATTTAAGTTTAATTTAGGTTGGCTGCACTGGTGTTGTGTCAATGTTGGTATGTGTTTTTTATCTATGCTCTTCCGGTCTGGTTAATGTCGGCTGATAGATGTGTGTAACTCAGATGAGATTAAATATAAAAGTAAATAGTGTTTCTTTGAAAGATCTGCATTTTATTTCAACATCACCGGGCCACCACGACTAACCAATTATTACCTGATGGTAAGCAACTGGACCCACCCATGGACATTTTTTTAGAGGAGGGTCATCAAATGACATCTCTCGCATAGTGTATGGCGAGTCCCTCTCGCTATACATTATGCCAAAGCAACGTTCAAAAAAGACTACAACAGAATGCCTTAATAAAAATGGTCCTTTATCATAATTTTTTGGTCCTTAGGCTCGCGGCATTCGGTCCCGATGTCCGCATAACCGTCCGCTGTCTCCAAGTGTTGGTGAAAGGCATTGACGCCAAATCCTTGGTGAAGAACTGCCCCGAGTTCATCAGGACATCAATGTTGACCTTCTTCAATAATGTCGCTGATGATGTTGGGCATACCATCATGAACCTTCAGGACGTAAGTACCATTAGTTTAAATTTTTTTTATTTATGTTATAGGTCGACTAATGAGCAGACGGATTACCTGATGGTAAGCAATCAGCGCCGCCCATGGACACCCCCAACAACAAAGGAGTTACGAGTGCGTTGCCGACCTTTTGGTGATTTAGGGGTTGAGGAGGGATTGGGGGAGGGGAAGGATTGGGCCTCCGGTAACCCCACTCACACGGCGAAATACAATGCTGCGGTTGTTTCACGGCGGTTTTCTGTGAGGCCGTGGTATCACTCCGGTCGTATCGTTTTCCCGTCAAGCCTTGACCTGGGAAGCGGTTGTTGGAGATTGGTTGTATTTTTTATGAGATTGTTTGCTAAAGCAGCAGACGAATCACCTGATGGTAAGCAATCGACCCAGCCCATAGCCCCCGTCGCCACAACATCAAGGAGTCATCAAGAGCGTTGATGGCCAGCCTTTTGGGGTTAGGCTTTTAAAGATTCAGGGATTGGAAGGGGCAAAGGGTTTGGGCCTCCGGTAACGGGTTTTCTGCGAGGCCCTGGTATCTTTCCTGTCGAACTTTAACTGAGCAGAAAAATAAAATGTTTATTGGCAAAAATGAATAAGCTTAAATACTCTCATTCAGGGTAAATACGCTCATCTCCGAGGCACACACTTGAAGACATCCACATCACTTGGTTACATCAACGGAGTTCTACTGCCAATATTGACGGCCAAGTTTGACCACTTGGCCAACTGCGAGTACGGTGCTGATTTACTATGTAAGTATTACCAGTATTTGTGGCCAATGTTTGTAGTGTATTTGTAGTGACAACAACATGAAATGTGGCACGTAGCCCATAGCACAAATTATGTTACTCTCATTATAAAATCAACCCTCTTGTTAAGGTTTTTAAGTTTTATTTTATATGTGCGTTTGAGAATATACCATGATATATTTAGAACTTACATGATACTTTAATGAAACAATAAATGAACGATTTGCAAATATTTTATTAGGTGCTATATCAAAACTTAATCTATTAATTTCATTACGATAACAAGACAAATAGAATATAAAATCGAAAATTTTCTTTCTACCAAATCGTATAAGGTATCCGTTTAATTACTAATGTGACATAGCCAAATAAATCTGTTATATTTTGCCAACATGGGCATACATACATACATTTTATATTTTATTTTAGTTATCATGTATATGCTGTTTAATTTTTCTATCCTCCTTGAAAAGGAGATTGTTTGCTGTTCGATTACATAAAGAAATAGAGATTCGGGAATTGGGGATATGGGTCGAGGAGGATAGGTTCTTCAGTAACCTCACTCACATGGTGAAACACAACACATTAATCGTCATCTGAATCTGATTCACTTGATTTATCTTCACTTGAATCATCAGATCCTGAATCATCACTGTTACTCCCACTGCTCTTGGTTTTCGAAGAGCTAGAGTAAGCAATTTTACACTGAAACTTACAATTTCTCTTCAAATTTTTCTTCAATGACTTTGTGCATTCATATTTCGCACACATCGTATCTTGAGCGTAGGTGCAGGCCGCGTTACATTTTTGACGGGATATCTTCTGACAAGCTTTCTCGTAACGATCTCGTAGAATATTGATTTCCAAATCATTCCCTTTTGAATTGTTAGCTTTTATCGTGTCCTTGTCTGATATCAGACTTCGCCTAAGCATTGGCTGTGGAAGGAAGTATTTTAGACAATAAGTCATTTAGACAGCACAGTTACACAAATGAAAAAACTTTCTTACAGTAAAAATTCCTCCATCAATTAAACCCTGAGAATCCCCATCAAAGACACCAGAAAAGTAGACCCTTTTCGACACCTCATTGAAATCATTGCCACATAAAATGAGGATTGCTGGCGAGTTCGTTACCCTTATTTTTTTTTAAAGTAGAGTTTGTTTTAGATTGTATGTCTTTAAATTACTCTTTAGCTTGATTAAGTCTATCTAAGAGGTTGTTCACATGTAAAAAAGTTTGATAAAAAAGTGTCTTTTCTTCTTTCTTCATACAGGTGGTGGAATGAACCACGTATTTTTCCTCAGTGTCCTCTTTTTATAATTACTATAGGCAATAATGATGGACATATAACATATTGTTTGTTTGTTGCTATTATACCCAAAAACCACTGAACGTGTTCGATTTTAATTTGCCATAGATTTGTTGCCATAGATTGAATTTTATCCTGCAGAAAATAGACTATGGGCTTATTTTTCAATAGGCAGATAAATGTTATCTGAAGAATAAAATAGTTGCTGTCCCTGTCTTACACAAACATTCTGTCGCGACAGCATCATAATTAATACGCATAGTACTTATGCCCTAAATATGAAATATGATTACACAAATGAGACAAGAGCCTTACCATTCCTGTACCGATTTGTGGTTGACAGACTACAGACACATAGGCTTCTCTTGTTACATCCACATAATTTTCATGGGCTAAAAAAAAAGTTCGTTCATTAGGTAAAAGGTTTTCTTCAAAATCAATGTTAATCCCCACACAAAAATAACAAAGAACTAGGTACTTAATTTATTCTACACACTCAATTTTAAGATGAATACGGTAGTTTCCAACTAGTCAAATTCAATACTTTTATCCAAATTTCAAAAACTTATATACTTTTCTATGAAATTTGTATGAAACACTGAGTTTTGACGTCATAGCTTTTTTGCGCCAAATAGTTAACTTTAAACTTAAAAATTAGCTAAAAAAAATCTAAAATTCAGTGTATCGATCGATCGATCAATAAAAGAATGGAATGCAAATAAAGAATTGAATTGAATTGAATCGATGAATAAAAGTATAGTTATTTTTCAATAGTTGTATTCAAACGTCGAATTAACTTATTTTTGACCTAGGAAACTACCCAATTCTAATGTTTTCTTACCCTTAACCTGTAATATGTTAGTAGTTTGAAAATGACAGCAAAGACACCAATAGTTAAGTAAAAACCGCCGCCTTCAAAAAAAAGAAAAAGAGAGAGTAAGAAGATTTTGGAAACGCCCACTTCACTTTCAATCCACTTTTAGCGACCGTGGTGATTGAATGCTCAAATCCTTGGCGCATGAGAGAGCTTGCTATAATTTTATCCATGATGCAATAAGCCCTCCTCTTCCCTAACTATCTCAAAATTCAGTGCCATTACCGATAGATATTAGTAGTCTGATAAATTATGTCAGTAACTCAAAAAAATAAGAAAGTTTTTGTTAATGTTGCTATTTTAAATAATTTGCCAAATTAAAAAAGAGAGTTATTGAGGTAAAGTTTTCCCAAAAAAGGTAAATCAAACTCTTCGCAAAACCAATCTGTTTTTTGCAATTGTAGAGTAACAAAACAATATGTAGAATTTATAGTACAAACAGTACTTTTAGAAGATAAAGTTCAGAAATTATCTCTGTTCAATAAATATGTTTTTTTTTTGTGAAGGGAAAATCATCGAATGACTTTTCCTGGGCGGGAGGGAGTGTCAGACTCTTACTGACTAAAAACCCCTCCGTTCCTTCTCCTGCTCTGGGCCGAGGTTGCAGTGCCTCATTGCGCTTACCCCGCAAACCTGGCTTCATAGATAAGGTTATTCATCACATGTCTTGTTTGAGTTCACTCTTAAAAAACCCGATAAACAAAGTGTACAAGTAAATCTCACGGTTTTCTCTAAGTGCACATGAATCTTGTGTAGGTTGGTATTCACGCGCATCAAATTGTTTAATGCATCCCGTTTTAGAACTCTTTTGGAATAATTCTTTGAGTTCAGACTTGCATTTTATGGCTCGGCAGGAAGAAACATAAGCACTCTTGCATGCCTTGAAATAAAATACGTTTTTATATACAACATGTAAAAAAAATCCAAATTAATCACTGCAATCAGCTAATGAGAAGTCGACAGTAGTCTCGTGTAAACTTTCATTCATTCCCTCCCCCCTTCCCCCTCCTCAAATCTCGTTCAAAGCGTTGGGATTCGACTAATGAACCACTACTGAGCAAAGCCTTTGGTCACCTGTTGGCGTTTGTTATAAATCTACAAGGACTTCGATTTGATAAAACTAGGTCTCGGATCTTTCAATTTCGAAAATTCTCAACTTAAGTATAATGTTCAGAAATGTACCGTATGTTTAATAATGCAATGTGTTTCCCGTGTTTTCCAATTACATCAATAACATAACTAGCAATAAAATAATGTTTTCTCACGAATATGAGCCCCTAACGCAACTTGAAACTAGTCGAGTTCCTCGTCAAACATTGTGATTGTGTGAATAAGCTGTCAAACATTATAATTAATAAAAGTAAGTAATCCTAATATTTTCAAAAAAAAGTCTCCTTGTGAGAAAAATCGTAAATTTTTCTTAAATAATCTCAGTACGGGTTGTCCCCGTTAGTTTATGTTTTCCAAAAAGCCACTTACCCGATAACATTTTCTGACAACAAGCTTAAGGCAAGCGTCGCCGTAAGCTTGGCGAAGCACGCTGGTTTTAAACACATCTTTAATTAACGTATCATCGTCATCGCTTATTTCTGCAATCAAATCTTTTTTCTTCTGTAAATATTAATATCCAAATAAAAATCCGTTAGTTAGAGAGAAAAAAAAAATATTTTTAATTTTTCCTAATACGGAAACGATATCACTAAGAAAAAACGAATAAAATTTTGAAATTGAAACTAGCTACGTTATTCCTGAGTGTGGTCAAACATAGAAGTACATTTCACAGTGTTTGTTACCACTATTTTGTAAAAAACTTTGTTCTTTTTAGACAAATAAATGTCTAGGCTAGAAAAAATTCCTAGAAAAATATTCTATTTGACCCAGACTATTCAATTCGCTGCAGTTAAATCAATTTGAAGTCACTATATAATAGTTATTATAAAAAGGTATAGCTAAAACGTACATACGTACTTTGTTATCTAAAGAGGACTGGATAGATTTGCTACCCGCACCCGCTTGACTTCTTAATGGAGATACGTCTGTTTGAGAGACTGCTCTCTCAATGTCTGCGTTGTCATGGTCGAGCAAAGCATCTTCTTCTTCAGAAGCCTTAGAAAGATCTGTTTCTTCTAAACTGTCAGGATATTTTTGTTCTCCTGGTTGTTTAGAGATTTTTTTGTCAACTGCATAACCTACTTCTTGTTGAGTTTCAGAATTTATTGTGTCTCTTTGGTTTTGAAAATGTCTGGCACTCTCCTTCCGTTCCTGTTCAGTTTTTAATGCTTGTAAATGATCTAAATCTCTCTCATTTTCTGAATTATATGCATAATCCGAGTTATTGTAATTGTTCAAGTGTCTTGGAATTGCATATCTTTTTTGGGTATCTGAATCACTGGGGTCTTCTGTTGTTGTAACTTTTTTCGGATTTCTTGATTTTTCTGTCTTTACTGAATGCCTAGAACTTTTTTGGTTTCTTTGTTTATTATTCTTTTGCTTTTCTATATTTCCAGTATTTGTGTTTTCATCTTTTGAATTTCCTTGATTTCTTAAGTTTTTATGTAATTGCGTTTTTTGTATGTATAACTTTTTTTGAGTCTCGACAGACTGAGAATGTAATGTATTTAATGGTTGCTTAAAATCATTTCTGTCACGCAGATATTGAAGTTGCAAATCAGTAATATAGATGTTTTTATTCTCAGTATACTTAACACCGGGCCTAGTCTTTAATTTCTTGTCAGAGATTGGTTTTGGTAATCCTTTTGGTTTTCTATTGTCTGTTTTATTTTTCGCTCTCGTGTGGGTGTCAGCGGATATTATTACTGTATCTTTAGTCACTGTAGCTTTATCTTCCTTACTATGTTTCAATCCGAGACGTTTCGCTTGCTTGCTTGCTTGTTTCTTCGTGGCTGTATTCCGTGCAGTTGTGGTTGTAAAAGTTTTCTTAATAGCTCTGGATATCTTTAATTGTTTGGCTGCTCTTGTCGTTCTTAATACGACTGGTTTCATCTTTTTTCCCTGGAATTTCTCTGGTAATGGTTTTAGTCTTTTACCTATTGTTTTATCTGTTATGACTACAGGATTTTTATCAAGTTCAATGTCTGATAATATCATTTTAGTACCTGCTGTGTAAGATTTAGGTGTGGTATGAAACACTTTTTTGGCAGTTCTGAGTGACTTTTTATCATTTTGAGATAAATTATCGACATCCGCTCCACTCGTATAATCTGATCCATCGATATTCTCTTGGGATTTGTAGGTTTTTTGTGATTGTTCATAGTTGTTGATCAGGTCTTGTAATACGTTATTGACTCGTGAAATATTTTTAATGACATCGGCGAATATTGCGTCTATTTTACCTGACTCTGGAATCTTTACTTTTTTATTGTCCAGTGCCTAAAAGTATAACATTTGTTATTTTGTGCTTTAATCTTACTGTATCAGTTTTACGAAAGAATGAGATATTATTTACAACACCAAAAGAGTGACGAGTGCATTGCCCGCTTTTAGGCGATTAGAGTATAGGGACTAGTCGGGTTTAGGGATTGGAGAGGGATGGGGAAACATAAATGATTAGGCTTCCGGTAACCTCACTCACAACGACGAGTTTTCACGCCAATTTTCAGACACAAAAATATTTGTGTTCGACACAAATAGCTCTCCCACACTTTTAATTGAAGGATGAAAACATAATTTCGGCTTAAGTTAACTTATATATTCTTTATACATGATCAGGACAAATCAAAATAAATCTTATTGAAATATTTACTTACCAGAATGGTCAAGAAACACCCACAGAACGCGCTGTAAAACAACATTTAAAAATAATATTCTTACAAGTTTTTGTACGATAAACGAAATTGCTTTCAAACTTCGTGATTATTTTTATAGGCCATTTCGCAATGTCTCCGATTTTAATGCGTCGAATAATGTTATTTCTCAGCTGTAGCCTTTTTAGGACTGCAATTTAACTAATATTAAATTTCTTATCTTTGTTATATTGCTTGATTTTGCTATAAAATATAATGTAATATTATTTGATTTCTACTTTAAACGATTTCGTAAATTGTGTTTAAATATTTATTGTTTATCTGAAAATAAAGTGAGTGTTGTTGCCAATTTTGCATATTTAGTTGACCTTTTGGCAACTTGATCATTATTTTCTAATTTCTTTGCGTTCTCTTAATTACGGCCAGCAAAAAAACGCGTCATTTTTATTTCATTTTAAATATAAAATACCGCTTACTTGATGGTAAATTATAATATATGTTTTCTTTCACATCTACATTTTTTGGCTAATAAAAATGAACAAGAAATCTACTATCAAACTTAGTGTAATCATTTAAAAGTTTGCGAATTTTCGAAAAAAGTTATTACTACTACGGCCTAGTATTTAGTGTATAATCGAATTATTAATTGATTGTTTTATTTTTTTCCAGTGGATGAGATTCAAGTAGCCTCGTACAAGATGCTGGGTTCGCTTTATGCGTTGGGCACTGACGCGTCCCTCACGCACGACAGAAAATACCTCAAGACTGAGATTGAGAGACACAAACCTGCACTGGTGAGTTTTCTTCCTACATAGAATACGGTTGTTTCCATCTAGTCAAATTCAATACTTTTATCCAAATGTCAAAAACGATACTTTTCTATGAAAAAATATATTAGACATTGAATTATGACGTCATAGCATTTTTGCGTCAAATAGCTTACTTATTTTTAAAAAATTAGCTAAAAAATATTTAAAACTTAGTGTATCGATCGATCGATGAATAAAAGTATAGTTATTTTTCAATATTTTATCGTATTAAAACGTCAAATTAATTTATTTTTGACCTAGGAAACTACCCAATTATTTTAATCTTGTGAAAGTGTCGAGTACTCGCACTATCTTGTTTAGCGAACGCGATTTTAAAACCTGGCTAGTACTAATGTGACTTTTTCTGAGTTATAAATACCTACTATCGAAGGTTATGTTGATGCCATTGACAAACGATAAAAGAACACATCATGTGGAAATGTGGACTAGTAGTTTCTAATTATAAGTTTCATGTAGGTAAGAAGATGCATTTGCTTAGCAGTGGGCTCTTATAGGCTGTGATGATGATGATGATGATGAATGAAAGACAAAAACGATTTTTCTTTAAAAAATCGGATTAAGTGATGGTAAGCAATCGGTGCCGGCCATGGACACCCGCACCACTAGAGGTATTACGAGTGCGTTGGCAGTTTGGGGATTGGGGTTTCGGAGATTTAGGGATTGTCGGAGGGGAAAAAGGATAAGGCCTCCATAACCTCACTCACACAACCAAACTTAACGCTTTAGTTGTTCCACGCCGGGTGTGTGAGGCTGTGGTACCACTTCGCTTGAGCCGACCCATCCGTGCTGTAGCATGGCTCTCCCAAACCTAAATATGGATATTAAATATATTGCACAGCTAAATGGTCTTCGTCTCTTATTTGCCGAGCCTGCTCAATAGCATGCACACACATATAATTAACAAGGTAGGTACACGATATCTATTGTGCAGGGTTCGTGCCTCGGTGCGTTCAGCTCGACATTCCCCGTGGCGTTCTTGGAGCCTCACTTGAACAAACACAACCAATTCTCCTTGCTGAACAGGATCGCTGACCACTCTTTGGAGGCTCAAGGTAAGTCAAAAGAGACTTTCAGACTTTTTGAAGATCGAGTGCTTATTGCGAATATGAAAACTCTGATGAATATATTAGGCGATATATAAGTTTACAAAATAGCGCTGAACTAAAAAATATGTAGAATTTTGTACCTAGCAGTAGCCTCACACCAGGTTTCTGAAAGGCTTGTCAACGCTAAAATTAACTAATCTCCTGTTAAATCTCTTGTCAAGTCATCTGATTGGTTGTTGATAATTCAGTCAACCAATCAGATGGCTTGACAAGAGATTAAATTGATTTTAACATTGATCGGCCTTTCGGAAACCGGGTGTCAGTCTTGAATAAATTAGTTCCTGGGTGACCGATGTTTTAAGCGGATGAAGGGGGATATTTCTTTATCTTAACCTAACTAGATTGATTTTTAATCAAATTTTGATATTTTGCATGTATTTTTTTTTCAAAATCCTTGGTTTTGTTTCCGAGATCTTGTGATATTCAATTTAATTTAACACGTATATTATACGTCTATAAGTGATCGTCATTAACAAACCTTAAAGCCAAATCTAAACTCTATCATTCCAGATATAATGCAGAAAATGGAACAATGCATGCCTACGTTAGAAACTATTTTGGGTGAAGTCGACCAGTTTGTTGAGTCAGACAAGACTTACAATGAAGCGCCTCATATTATCGATGTGGTGCTGCCATTACTCTGCTCCTACCTGCCGTTCTGGTGGGCACAAGGACCAGATAATGTTACTCCAACTGGAGGGTAAGTGTATACCTTAAAATGAAAAAAAAAAATTCAAAAAGTTAACAAAAGAGAAGTTATTTTTTTTTTCTTTCGACACTGCTTAACCCGGTGTTGTGTGATCATGTCATCATCATATACCTTAAAATGACAAAAAGGTATATAGTAAAACATTTTCGACTCTAGATATGGCTTCGTTTTCAGAGAGGATATTTGGCAATATAGGGATCTCAATGTCTGGTAAAGAAGAATATCATAGACTTTTAGACGACTCTTAGTAACGTCTCGGAAAAGTAGCATTCGAATCTGGTGTCCTTGAATCCCCCACAAAAATTCGTTGACGCACGAAACAAAATTTTTTTCATTATTGTCGTTGTTACCTAATTAGGAGCAATTAGGTATTTTCATACCATGAAAAATTTTAGCATATTACATTGGTTGGTCACACTGTTGTTCAATTAAGTGATCGAACCAGCAATTTTTTGGGGAATGCGACCTTTTAGGGGAATAAGGGTTTTGAACATTTAGGTAGAGGAGAAAAATTAGGTCTTCCGTAATCAACAACTCCGTGGTTGTTTCTCGCTGGTTTTCTGTGAGGCCGTAGTATTGCTCCGGTTGAGCAGATCTGTTCGTGCCAAAGCATGACTCTCCCATACTTAAAGCTAAAATCTAACAATCTCAATATCTTCCAGCAACCACGTGACAATGGTGACAGCAGAACATATGAACCAACTTCTAAAGAACGTTCTGAAACTCATCAAGAAGAATATTGGTAATGAGAACGCTCCATGGATGACTCGCATCGCGACCTACACGCAGCAAATCATTATCAACAGTTCAGAGGAACTCCTCAGGGACTCCTTCCTTCCTCTCGCTGAGAGGGTCCGGAAGAGGACCGATAATATGTTCCATAAGGAGGAGAGCTTGAGAGGATTTATCAAGGTAAGATTATCTTTTATCATTGTAAAATGTTTTTTTTTTACTATTTTGCTACATTAAACTAATATTGAGTAAAGAGTTTTACTTAGATTTTGATTAATGAGTTTACTATAAAGCAGCGAATTGAGAAGATGAAAATCTTAAGGTTACTTAAACTACTATACTATACCTATAAACATATAACAAATAATTTAGAACAATAAGAACCGGCTTATTATTACATTTCTTAGAGCTAAATCTATTTTTCTGATTATTATTTCAATTCTTAAAGGTTGCCATTTCTTCTTCCAAAATCTACAACAAAGATGTATGAATCAATTATTTCTTTCCAGTCATCAACTGACGACACATCTCAAGTAGAATCTCAAATCCAAGAAGACTGGCAGCTGTTGGTTCGTGACATATACTCGTTCTACCCACTTCTCATCAAATACGTCGACTTGCAAAGAAACCACTGGCTCAGGAACAATGTGCCAGGTACATCAAATCAATTTATTGATTGATCAATAATTGGTTGGTAGATTTGTCAATCATATCGTAAATTTGTCAATCAACTTTGTTTACGGAGTATGGGTCAGCAAATGAAGTGTCGGACGACCTGATGGTAAGCAAACAACGCAGCCCACAAAATACCGTCAACACCTAAGTAGTAACACGTGCGTTGCTTGTTGCGCAACACGACGCCGACACTTCATGTGCAGTTTTAGTTATTTATTATGTAATATATATTAATAGCATTTTTAAATTTTATATTCGTTACGAAATATAGTATCTATAATGTAAGTATATAAAAATAAATGCCACTTTTCGTTGTTATGTTATAACTCAACAATGCATGTACCGATTTGACTCATTTTGAATTATTTTTGGAAGTCCAGGGATGGTTTAAAAGGTCAGAAAACTTAGGTTAATTTTGAGGCAGAACGAAGTTAGCCAGGTCAGCCAGAAATAATTATCTTATTTCTGGCTGACCTGGCTTTATAAATAAATAACATAGTTGGTGGCTCTTTGGAGATTCGGGAATTGAAAATTGGATAGTCCAAATTTTAGGGTTTTGTGATCTGGGGTTATGAACTGATTGATTTATCAATCAGTTGGTAGATCGATGTCAATCATAGCAATCATTATTAAACTGGTTTTGTTTAATACAGAGGCGGAAGAGCTTTACAACCATGTTGCTGAAATTTTCAACATCTGGTCCAAGAGTCAGTACTTCCTCAAAGAGGAGCAGAACTTCATATCTGCCAACGAGATTGACAACATGGTGAGTCTTGCTTGCTTGCTTAATTTATTTATTTATTTTCATTTGTGATATAACTTATCGCTTCTATAAAAGTCTTTCACTATTTTTCGTATTTTGATTCATAGCTGAATTTTTTAGAGACTAACAAGTTGCTTTTTAGCCTACTGACATAGTGAATCCTTCAATCGAAACATTTAAAATTTTCGTCGTTTATAATAAATTAAGGGTAGTTTTCCTCAGAAGATCATCTAATGACTTCTCCCGCCCTGGGAGAGGTGAGAGGGAGTGTCAGACTTTTACTGACTAAAGACCACCCCGTTTTCCCTTCTTCTCCTACTTCTGCTACAATTTGGCCCGCGGTAGATCATTGCGCTGGCACTTGCAATCCCAACTACGTTCAACTCCTGGTTGGATAACATTAATTGATGACTCCTGGATGGTTATCAATTAATGTTATCCAATTAAATAATCTTTATTTTTACAAATAATCTAACTGACCCGTTTTTGGCTATTAAAAAATATGGGTTGATCGTAAAAGGGTGAAAATTAAGGATAATAGTTATTTTTGTATGTTGTATCATAAAAAAATATCAACCACAAAAAAAACATCAAAATCGGTCAAGCCGTTTCGGAGGAGTATGGCAACGAAAACTGTGACACGAGAATTTTTTTACTTAAAACTTAACATGAAAGTTATAAGTATATTTTTCGCTCTAAAATGATGAACAAGCAACTTTTGATTAATATAGTAATTGTTTTATTTTTTGTACAGGTATTAATCATGCCTACAGCGACAAGACGAGTAACAGCAGTTGTAGATGGAACTCCACAAGCTGGAGGCAAGGTACGTTATTAATTATTATTTGGTTTTTATTGACATTAAACAATTATTAATTATCCTGACATATTTTAAAAAACTGAAGTATAAAAACTAAAACATCAATATAAAAAATTTGCAGGTTTATTTATAATAATACTAAGATTTAATAATTTAAATAAAAAAAGTAAATCAAATAAAAATATTAAAACAGCTTAAATATCCACACTTTACATAAAACATAATTATAAAAGTTTAAAATTGTGTGAATTTAGGCTTGACCTAATAATGACAAATACTTTTTTTTATTTTTATATTTTCTAAATTTAAAGATTTGGGTTTGGAGTTTACTGTTGGGAAAATCAAGTATTGGGCCTCCGGTAATCTCAATCACACGACAAAACACAACACTGTGATTGTTTCACGTTGGTTTTCTGTAAAACCGTCGTGAAACGTATCACAATAGACCAATTAATTGATTGATGATTGAAACTATTAATACAAAATGAATTATCTCTAGATGAAAGCAGTTGTAAGTATTCAGGAGACATTGATTCGTCAATATGAGGATCAAGATGAAATACAGGTTTTGGATCACGTGTATATACTGATCTATTCTTTACTTGATCTATCCTCAAATACTATCAACTATATGATTGATACATCAACGATTGATCAATCGTTCAATAGATTTACTGTATTGACATTTTTACATACAGACTGTTATTTTTTTCTTTTTATGTCTTCCCTTGTCTGAATTTGTGTAAGGATCTTGGTATTTGTTTATACTTACTTCATTGCTTCTGTATTTTTTATTTTGGTTTTTTAATTGAGCTGTTTCTCTCTCATAGTTAGAATTTCACTTGACTTTCACTTTTATATGTTTTAAATTGTTTACATAAATTTCAATCATAGTTAGCTCGATACATAAATACTGATATGAATTAAATATTTTAATCAGACTACAACTCTCAATTCAACTTACTTTGTAAACATTGACCCTATGCGATATATATTTGAAAAGTCTAGTTCAAACACAAAGTATAATCAATTTTGCTTCATAAGCAAGCAAAGTCTTTTTAGTGTCTATAACATAAGCTACACAACGTCTAAGACATTAAAGTGCATTTTTCAACTATAACAAAAATTCTAATAATTTCAGGAAACATTGGATTTTTGTTTAAAACATTAGATAATTTTTTTAGATACTTTTGATTTGAAATTCATGCTTAATTAGAAGTAGATACGAATTTCACAGCCATTTACCAAATGATATTTATATCAAATTTAATTAGATCAGAAACTGAACACCAGCAACAGATAATGTGTTATAAAAGTTGTTTATAAGCAACATAATTTATATGTATAGAAATGTAATAATAATAAATGTCGTAACATTTGTCCTACACAATATTTATAATAGCGAAACAAATAAATTTCTTAATAATTGAACTAACGTGACGACGAAACCACTGTTGTTGGGATACCACCTCATTTTCCATTAAAACCAAACACTCCTCATAAATACAATACTAAGAAGAATTCTATTATAAAATACAGAAAAAGAAGAAACACCGTGACAAGAAGCGAGATAAAGACAAAGAAGTCCAAGCTTCTCTGATGGTAGCCTGTCTCAAGAGGCTACTGCCTGTTGGCTTGAACCTCTTCGCAGGCAGAGAACAGGAACTGGTTCAGCATTGTAAAGACAGGTTCCTGAAGGTAGGAACACTCAAGGTAATCACTATCCTCATTAATACCATCTTCTTTAAGTTAATGTTTTATTTTTAAATACTGATCAAATGTATTTTATATCTGGTTACTAAATTTTGGTATACAAAGGTACTTTTACAAAGAATGTTTGTAATAATTCATTTATAATTTGAACATGTAAATTTAAATTTCCTATAAGCCTATGTCGTAACAAACTTAACTCTATGTGGTGATGCTACTTATCAAGTATTACATATACAAGTTGCGCTTTAACTTGTACTGTTTACATCCTTTTAAATTGTCAAAATAAATCAAAATAAGAGAGGGCTTTGGTTATTTAAAATAGTATGTGGGCTTTATTGATATAAGTATTATTGATCAGTATTCAATACTATTTATTTATTTTGATTATTTTTTTATATGTTAAACATGCACTACCCTGGCTCATGCATATAGTTGCAAACTGCATTATTCATAGTAGCAAAGTTGTATGCGATCAGAATAAGTACTCTAGTAAGTCAACTATTAGTATTTAAGAATTGACATCCAGGATTCAAAGCGTAAGTAGCGCCATCTGCTGAGAACTAAATCGAAGACCCCCATTACCAAGTGATGGTAGTATCACATACGACCAGCTATAAACAGCTGAAATGTATTGGAATTTTTAGGGTATGACAAAACATTGGCTATACAAGTATAAATATATTACTTACTAAGAAGTCGTATTGTATCAAGCACGCTAGAAGAATCGCTAGCTAAGCTTAATACCTGGCACAGCTTCAAATCCATCAGTTATTGCACCCCTTTCCACGAACCAAACTCCACCCCACTTATTTAATTCTAAGCCCTCTATCTGAAACACTTTAACTGAACGAATATGACTTGATTAAATTACAGAAAATGTCCGAACAAGATGTTGCAGAATTCGCAAAAACACAATTGACTCTGCCGGATAAAATAGACCCGGCTGATGAAATGTCTTGGCAGCATTATTTGTATAGCAAACTCGGTTCTAAGAGTAAAACGAATATAACTGTTGAAACAGCTGAGAATAAAGCTAAGATCATTGATGATACGGTCGAAAGAATCGTCGCCATGAGTAAAGTACTCTTTGGATTGCATATGGTAAGTAAATTCATATTTAAAAAATATGTATCATTATTAGTGTGATTGGGAATAGTTTTTTGGGAGAAAGAAGTCTAAGGAAAACAAGGGAAAATTATATTGTAAGATTGATAGGTACATCAATGATTGAATGGTTATTTTTTAAATTGATTGATAGGTGTTTTGTATAATGCAAGTAAGGTTTTTTATCTATATATGTTTTTTTGTTTTATAAACAGCCTTATTTATAAGAAAAAAATCAACATTGTCAATTATTCATTGCAAAAATACTATAGCTAAAGACCTTCTTAACTTAATTAGTTAAAGGATTATGTTTACTGGATAGTTTGTATAACGAGGGAGCCACCTACCTTAGACTTTTGAGGGTTTCGATTTTGAGGATTGGGGGGTAAGAAGAAGTGGAATGAATTGAGTCTCCAGTCACCTCACTCATTTTGTATGTGGCCATATCACTCCAGTCCGACCGCAATTTCTTTTTAGACGAGCCTTCCTTTTGACATACCTGATGATAAGCAATTGGCGTCTCCTTAAGATACCCTCAACGCCAGAAGTAACAAATTAGTTGCTAACCTTTTGGGAATTATTGTTTCGGAGATTTAGCCATTAGAGTAGGTATGGTATTCAAGAATTTGCAAGCTTTATTTTGAGTCCGCTTTTCTGCGAAGCCGTGGTATCACACCGTCCAAGCTGGGCCATTATTATTATTTTTTTATGTAATAGCTCGGCAAACGAGCCGCCCGTGGGCACTCGCAACGGAGCAGTTACGAGTGCGTTGCCGACCTTTTAGGGATTAGGGATTTGGAGATTTAGGGATTGAGGAGGGATTGGGGAAGGGGAAGGATTTATTATCCCGCAGATTACATATTTTCCTCTAGTCAAAGTACTATGTTTAAAATAAACATTTTACCTTATACTAGATTGATCATCCACAACAAATGAGCAAGAATGTTTACCGTTCCGTGGTATCTATACAACGAAAACGCGCCGTGATCGCTTGCTTCAGGCAAACGTCGCTACACTCGCTGCCGAGGTCTCTATTCTATAAATAGCGTGATGATCTCATGTTCAAATTGTGATATTACCTAACCTTTTTTGTGTGTAGTAAAACTCACAGCAAGTTCCTAACATTAATATTTGTGTGATTTGCCAGTCTAACAAATTGTTAATTGAACCGACTAAATGATGTTACAAAGAAATACATATTGTGAAACTGATTGATAAAGAGTAGGTAACTATAGGACTATAGCTTAGCGGTAACTATAGCTTCACTAGAGGACAGACCGACAGACTGACACACAGAACTAAGTTGAACTGTTTGTTTTTTTTTTTGTTTGATCTTCAAAAATGCAAAATATATTGGTTTATTTAAAATAAATGATTTGACATTGACTTTGACTTTAATGGCCTACTAAAAAGTAAAAAATAAAGGAAATAAAACTAACTTAAAAAAAAATCGCTGATTCTGATTACATATAAGATGTGTTTTGTAAATATTTAACGGCATGAGTGTGATTTGACTTTAATGTAAAACATTTTATTATAGTTTTATTGATTTTTAAAAATATTGCCCGTTCAATGACCGCTATCTTAGTTTAACTTCTAATAATTATTAATAACGGATAGAGTTGACGTATATTGATTAAGCTATACCTATTAGTTAGATACTTGACAAAGGGAAAAATAATATTTTGAATTTTTAATTCAAATTATTACGTGAGTAAGCCGAAAACATAATAATTAATTTAGGAACCTAAGTCGTTATTTCCACTAAATTTAGTAATTATTTGGGGACCAGCCCACACCAAGCTCGAATTTGTCTAACTACAATACATAAAATATGCATGGAAATGCATTAATAATATCGCATTACGGTCCCATTCCAAATTTTACAAAAAACTAGCGATATTGAAAATTGGCAAAATGTTAGTTGAACTAAGCTAACTGTCAAGTATCTAATGAAAGCAATATTGTAACTATTATAGTGCCCTCGTCTGCTCATTAATTATAAAAAAAATGTACGTAAGTATGATTGTGCATGCTGCCTTTGGAATGAACTAGGCGACGAAGCCGCGGCAACGTTCTGATGTTTGGAAGCGAGTGCTATGTGCCGCTAGAAAGAGAGCGGCGATAGCCTGTCTCCGTTCCACACATCTTTATAAAATGAGTCGGTAGGTTAAGATTAAGAAAACCCAAAACAAATGGTCCGTCACATTTTAATTAGAACCAATCGTATTATTAAATCAATAATAATTATTAACGGGTTATTCGCGTAACTGTTCGACGAGGAATCTCGACAAATTTCGAGCTATAACAGGGCCCATAAACAAACCTCGTTGAATAGTTTAAATTGAGTAAGCCGTACAATTACAATATAAAAGAAGAGCTTACTTTATATGCATGGTCTAAGATAAGCTATATGTTGTGTACTTATTAACTTTATACATATTTGTATCAATACATTTTAAATTAATTTTCTTATGTTTTTCAACAGGCATCGAGCGTGTAATATATTCGCTCGAACTTATTACGAACTTTGGCTGGAAGAGGAAAACGTAGGCCAGGAGGTCATGATTGAAGATCTTACGGTGAGTTCAAAATATCATGGAGGTAGAATAGTTTTTGTATGGCTCCTTTGTTGTGTGTTTGGGAATGTTGAACTCTGAAACTGTGGGTCCGATTTCGATGATTCTTTTGTTAATGATAGATTATTCTATTCTTGGAAAGATATTTTTTTTATGCACAAGTGAGATAGAGATAACAAGGCTTAGATCATTAAAATAAGAAGATAATTGTCTAAACTCTTAAATACAACTTCAAAATAATGTTTGTATACAATGTCGTACAAACATGCCATCCAGTCTATCCATCTTATTTGTCTGACTACATTATTAGTTTGTCTCATTTTTATTAAATATTACTTTAAAAAATTATCTTCCATTAAGAGAACTACCCATATTTTACTATTACTCTACTCCGGCAACCTAAAGGTTACCTGTTAGATGTTGCTTTTAGCGATAAGGTACGCATTTGTACCCTTAACTATTTTCTACATTTCATCTCAAAAAGTCAAAAGTCTCTGCTGTACAATAAAGATTATTTAGTAATCTTTCTAATTAACTACAACTTTTAAATTTTACCCTTGACTAAGAGTACAACCCGATTGTCCTGATGTAAATTCCAGCAATCGTTCGAAGACGCTGAGCTGAAAAAGAGTGACGGGGAGGAAGAGGGAGAGAAACCCGATCCTCTGACGCAGCTGGTCACCACCTTCTGCAGGGGAGCCATGACTGAGAGGTCCGGGGCGTTGCAGGTACGTCTGCCCTTGTGATCTTGTTGTAAATGCCATTTTTCTTGGACCCACTATTCAAATACTACAATACCATTTTAGGAGGATCCCCTCTACATGTCCTATGCCCACATCATAGCGAAGTCCTGCGGTGAAGAAGAGGAAGAAGGGGGTGGGGAAGAAGAAGAGGGCGGGGGTGAGGCCGAAGCAGAAGATGAAGGCAGAGCTAGTATACATGTGAGTAGTCATTATAACTTTATTTTAAAGATAATTAAATACATTTTTGAAGGATGACGCGGTATATCTTCTTCTTTGTGTTGGTTCTTAAAAATTGTTAAATAGGCTCTAAAAAGGTGAGCAATAGAGTCAACTTTTCTATAAACTATGGTTTGTCTGTGTCAAGTGCAATTGGACTAAGGAATTGCAGTATTAATTTTTGTTTTTATAATGTATTATCTGTTACACGCAGAAAACTGTGGATATGTTTATGGTATGTATTTTAAGGTAGTTTTAAGAAAAATCAAAAACTTAAGAAAGTTTTTTATAATATTTTTTTTCTACAGATCTCTAGGTTTTTAAAGTACATAATATCATAAGGGATGATTATAAATTATTAATTAAAATAAAGTAATAATAATTATTATTAATATAAATTGCTAAATCCCTCCATTTACAAATAAATACGAACAAAAAATATTTTCTTACATCTTAGAACAAACGACTCTTCTTTATAATTACCTATTGGATTATGGAATAGGAATTCTAATAAAAAATCGTTGTCTTGTGTGTCTTGTGCGAGTTAATAAAAATATCTTATTATTTAATTAGATATTTTGACAAATACTTTTTTACATAAACAAAATAAAAGATGTCACCTGACAGAACTATTAAAAAGTAAACTGGAAAATTAGATAGTGTTATATTTTGGGATCATCCCTATATTACGTCACACCTTAAAGTGGAGGGAAGGTATCACCAGAATGTGGCATTGTTTAACAAGGGGCAGGAGAGGGGTTAAATGCCTTGTTAAAATTCTAAATAATCAAACGCGAAACTTGTAAGTGAATAAAATTAGTTTCTGACATTAAAAATGAAAATTCAGTGCCTGATTTACCAGTAATAACTAATATAAACATAATTAACTAGTCGTTAGTTTTCTCAGTTGTCTAAAATATTAGACTTTATGTTGATTTTTTAATAAAATGTAACAATTAATGCCCAGATGAGGTTCTGAAATTCTGACAGTTTGTGACAAGGACGGGGGAGGGGCGAAAAACGCCTGAAATTCGTGTGATTTAATTTATGGATTGCCCCTTTCTATTTAATAAAATAAGTAATTATCTACGTTTATTACATCACAATTTTCCACAAATAGGAACAAGAAATGGAGAAACAGAAGTTACTCTTCCATCAAGCACGTCTAGCGAACAGGGGAGTGGCAGAGATGGTGCTCCTCCATATATCGGCGTCCAAGGGTCTACCAAGCGAGATGGTGATGAAGACACTTCAGTTGGGAATCTCCATACTAAGGGGAGGCAATATTGATATACAGATGGTAAGTGGTTATTTTGTTGATGTTATTTTTCTTGTGACGGCTAAAGACTGATTACCTGATAGTAAGCAAGTAAGCAACCTATACGGTGAAGGTAAACATCGTGAGGAAACCTGGACTTATAATTTCTAATTATAAGTTTGAAATCGCCAACCCGTATTGAGCAAGCATGGTGATTAATGTTCAAACCTGCTCCGTATGAGAAGAGGCCTTTGCTCAGGAGTAAGCACTTATAGGGTGATGATGATGAAGTAATTAGCGTCGGTTGGCCATGAATACTAGCCGCACCAGCCGCGTTTCAAGTGCGTGGCCGACTTTTTGGGGGTTAAGGATTTAAGCGTTTTGGAGGATTTGGGTATGGGGGCAAAATTATCTCTGGTCGAAGCCCATTCCTGCCGAAGCATGGTACGAAAGATCTGACACTTATACAATGATAAATTAGTTGCTAGAATAATTTATGACTGAGTGGTCCATCGCTGAGATCGGTTGATCAAAAAAAATTGGTTTGTTTTGCTTTTAATTATTTTGTTTTTATTTTACTGAAACTTTGCTTGTTATTTGTTTATCGGTTGGTTGGTTTTGCTTATAATATTAAGTTTTTCTAAGTTCTCGGTGAAAGAGTATGATTAAAAAAGAAACGTTTTTGAACACATTTAAATTAAACCACACAAAAATTATAATACTCTGAGACACAGGGTTAAATAAATCTTGTTCAGGTGTTCCCTAGGCACTTAACATTTCAAAATTTATCTCTTTATATAACATCATAATTATAATAATCTAGTTTAAGTTAACTCTTTCTTATAAATGTAATTAGGTTAAAACTTATTATTACTTAAAACAATTGAGCTAGATGTATAAAGTGTGATCTTTGCTTTTCATTTTTTTTTAATAATGGTAATCCTCTTTATTCAAGGGTATGCTGAACCATTTGAAAGATAAGAAGGACGTAGGTTTCTTCACATCTATAGCTGGTCTCATGAACTCCTGTTCTGTGCTCGATCTGGACGCCTTCGAGAGGAACACTAAGGCTGAAGGTATGTAAGATAAGGAATCTTTTTTTTTCATACCCAATTTGTAGAAATTTACTAAATAGAAGATTTGCCTCGAGTTGGTTGAATGATTGCAAGTGTCACGCGCGAGCATGTAGTCTCTGGTTTGATGCTCGGATCGAACAAAATATAAATGTTTTTGGCCTTTAAGAATCCGGGTGTTAATTAATGTCATGTATTTCCGCAAAATAACGCCTGATTCTATAAATTATTTATAAATGTTGTTTGTTTATGATTTTGTGCTTTGAACTTCTTTAATGTGTTCATTTATTATTGTGTTTTGTGTATTGCATTTGGTCAAGATAAACATGTAATGGTAGACTAGTTTATGAATAAATAAATAAAAAAACTTGTCCAGGTTTGGGAGTGGGCCTGGAAGGTGCAGCGGGTGAGAAAAACATGCATGATGCAGAGTTCACATGCGCTCTCTTCAGGTTTATTCAACTCACTTGTGAAGGTCACAACTTGGGTAAGTTCTGTTTCAATATATGAGTATAATGTAATTAGAGACTGACAGGCTACTAATATAAATTTATCACGACGTTTCAAAAGTACCTTACGGTTTAGTTGGAATAAATGATTTTGACTTTGACTTTGCTTGTAACATATTCTTCTATTTATCGTTCAGATCAATAAAGTTTAGTAAGTTAGGAGTTAGTTATAAAATTTTGCGCCATACTGTGACGTCATATTTTTTAAATGCATTTTATTTTGACGGTTTAATGTTTAAACTACGTATAACATATTAGATTTTAAAACAGCAGCGTATAAAACAATAGCGAATCAAGTACCACCTATATCTATAGCCTATATCACTCGGCAACATTGTAGCTATCTATCGTTGAAAGAATTTTGGTAATCCGACCAGCGGTTCCAAAGATTACCCCTTACATACAAACTTACGAATTTGACCTCTTAATAACCTATATACTTATGATTTGACATCCAAACTTCTTTTTAAAACATTTAAATTAATTTAAAATTGGAATGCACAATAAGTAATTGTGTTATCTGTAAACATATTTTTTTTTCTTTTTTTTTTCAGACTGGCAAAACTACTTAAGAACGCAGGCTGGTAACACGACGACCGTGAACGTGGTCATTTGTACTGTGGACTACTTGCTGCGGCTACAGGAGTCTATCATGGACTTCTACTGGCACTACTCTAGCAAGGTCAGAAAATTGATTAATTTACACACAGTTTTACAGGGTGATAAAAATATAAAAAGATAGTCTGATTAATAAATTACAAAATGATGTAAATACCTAATAGATATAAAATACCTACTATTGTACCTAATTATAATTAAACTTATGCCTTCTTTTGCTCTGCCCTATCAGGGTATATAATATGTATCAAGCTTTAAGCCCTTTACATATTTGTAACATTATGGGGTATGCAAATAAATAAATATGAATAAGGATATGGTTTACTCACAAAACTTTTTAATGAGGGATCTCGAACAGTTTCAAGTCATACTGAGGGCTCATGCTTATGGCAAACGATGTGTACGACGGTCGACGCCTCGTGTATCGCTGCAAGGCTACCATTAGTTAAATAAATTAAGATACGAATAAATTTAATATTCATAAGACACATGACATGAGAGTATAATACCGATAAGGCCTTTTCTCAACGATGTCTTTAAGATTTTTAGGCTACGTAGATCGGATGATTATTGTCTAAAAAAACAAATTATGGGTCCCACATAAGAACAGTTTTACATAGTTCCCATCTATATAAATCATCTGCTTAGTAAACAAATTAAGGATAAAACTTACATCAGCGCAAATTTCGCTCACTATCTCTTTTGAAATCTCGGTGGCTGATTGCAATTTTTATGAAGACCAAAGAATGATTACAATTTCAATTCATTCTTACAGGAATTAATCGACCCGGCTGGCAAAGCGAACTTCTTCAAGGCAATAGGTGTCGCGTCCCAAGTGTTCAACACGCTGACTGAGGTCATCCAGGGTCCTTGTACACAGAACCAACAGGCCTTGGCACACTCCAGGTACTAAATACAACAAAATAACTGATCTTAGCTAAATAAGGTGTTTCTTCGAAAAACCTTAACATTTATTTAACAAGTCATTACCTACCTTGTTGATAAGCATATAAGATACTTATTATTGTCAATCTTTTTAATCGGTTGCTTTTAAGCGGTGATGCGATTTGATCTACGGCCAAATTTTTCAATAGTCAGATAAATGTTATCTGACGAATAAAATTGTTGCTGTCACTATCTTATACAAACATTCTGACGCGTCACAATAACTTTTATGTAACCATTGAAAAATCAATCTTTAATAAAATAATTATTTGGGATTAAATTGGGACAATCATTGTTAATTTTGACTGATTGGAATTGGATTTGATTTGGAAGCGTTGGCATCGTTAATTAATGTCAAATTTATGTGCACAATCTTCTTTTATGGGTGATCAAGAATTTTAAATATTTTTCTTCGTTCCTCAACCTTCTTCCCTAGACATTACTTTTGTGCTGGGGTTGTGTATGCAAAGCACATTAATGTACCGCGGCCCCAGCCCAGAGTAAGATAAGGAACAGGGTGGTTTCAAGCCAGTAAGAGTCTGATATTCCCTCTCACCTTAAGGACGCGAAAAGTAATTTGATGCATTTTTCTAATCTCACAAAAACGGCCCTTTCGTAGACGATGATTAATTGGAAATTTTCGAAAATTATTCACTATGGCAGTAGCGAGACTGATCTGAGATGACTGAGATATCGAAGCAACTAATCGAATGTTTGATCCAGATCAAGAAGAAGAGTTCCATTTATTTGGAATTTTAAATCTTCTCGAACTGTTCTATAATTTTATGCGAAATTGGACTTTATTGTCTTCTCCAAAAGGAGTTAACAAAGTGTAAGAAAATCTAGTTTTTCCTTAGTATCTTCTTTGCGATTCTTCTTTGTCTGTTTCATATAAAATCCCTTTTCCTTCAGGTTATGGGATGCCGTCGGCGGTTTCCTGTTCCTATTCTCCCACATGCAGGACAAGCTATCCAAGCACTCGTCACAGGTAGACCTGCTGAAGGAACTCCTCAACCTTCAGAAGGACATGATCACCATGATGCTGTCTATGCTGGAAGGAAACGTTGTTAACGGTAAGAAGGATAGATAATAAAGAAATAAATGAATGAAAAATAACAAAATCTTCTACGGCGTAAATAGTCCATTGAAACGTTATTTTTTTAGGCTTAACCTTGCGTTTTTTAGAGGACGCAATTTTATTTTTTTATCATGACTATGAATCCCTGCGTAACTCGAAACGAGTCGAGTTAACTCGGTTAACAGTTTCGTGAATAAGCCAATAAAAATAATTAGTGAATTTAATTAGTTCTAGTTTTAATTTGTCTATATTTTGTCTGTATAAACGCATAATTTTTTGTATGTTGGTTAGCTCGTAACTGGTTAATATATAAGTATGACCTACTGCCTATAACCAATACTTAAAACACTTTGTATACATAAGCTATTAGCCTACTTTATAATAAATAACAAATATTGTTTAGAAAAATGTGAAAACACACAATTTTGAATATTTCATATTTTTGGTCAAATTGTGTTTTTAACGCAAACATTTATCAAAGTTCAACAAATATTGTAGATCTTATATATCGTGAGACAAAATTTTGGAATCGAACACGCAACACGTTGCACGGCATCCGGTTTCCCAGCCCCGCGCCGACCGTGCAGTCTCAGTATGTCAAAGAAACGTGTCAAATAACAATACTAACTAAAAAACCACTTATTCCAGGCACAATCGGTAAACAGATGGTGGATACCCTGGTAGAATCGGCCTCCAACGTAGAGCTGATCCTCAAATACTTCGACATGTTCCTGAAACTCAAGGACCTTACGTCCAGCGCCAGTTTCCAGGAGATCGACGCTAATAATGATGGATGGGTCCTACCCAAGGATTTCAAAGAGAAGATGGAACAACAGAAGAGTTATACGCCGTAAGTTATTGGTTTTTTTATTCAATTTTTAATGTCAAATTGGATAAAGACTTTTCAAGTTAGGATTGTCGATAATTTCAAGCAAAAAAAATATGTTTTTGTAATAAAACACCTTTTTTATTTGAAAGTTTTTATAACTTTGTCATTTTAGTCGTTTTGTTGTATTATTAAGGAACACAAGACATTAAATGGATTTTACAATGCTTCTCTTAAAAATCCCATTGGTATAATTACATATTGTTTTAATAATCTAATGATATATAAAAGATATTTTTTGGATCAAACTCCAAAACTGCAGTTTCAAATATAAATCATTGTATACAAACTGAAATAGGGATAACTAATGGATTTATTCTGAACATGACACAGAACGTAGGTTAGTCCTGTATTTGCTTTTATTTTTTATCTGCCTCATAGTATTCTAGTTTGATAGAGACTATTGAAACAATGAAAAACGAATTTATTTCTAAACTGGCCATAAAACAGGAATATTATACTAAAAAATTGCTAGACAAAGCCGGCATTTCCGATACTTTAAGTGTGAGAGAGCCATGCTTCGGCACGAATGGGTCGGCTCGACCGGAGTGATACCACAGCCTCACAGAAAACCGGCGTGAAATAACCTCTGCGTTGTGTTTCGCCGTGTGAGTGAGGTTACCGGAGGCCCAATCCTTCCCCTTCCCTAATCCCTCCTCAATCCCTAAATCTCCAAATCCCTAATCCCTCAAAGGTCGGCAACGCACTCGTAACTCCTCCGTTGCGAGTGTCCATGGGCGGCGCTGATTGCTTACCATCAGGTAATCCGTCGGCTCGTTTGCCGAGCAATTACATAAAAAAAAACTGAGAAGAAATGTCGAAATAACCACAGAGGTCAGTCTTTTTTAAAGTCAATGTGAATTGAATTGAATTGAATTGAATGGATGTATTTATATTACACTAGATTTCACCCGCGGCTTCGCACGCGTGGTATATTGATAAAAAGCAGCTATGTGATAATCCTGTATCTTCTATCTACATTCCAAATCGGTCCAGCCGTTTTTGCAAAAAAGAATAACAAACATACTACCATAAATTCTTACAAACTTTCACATTTAAATAATATGAGTAGTAATAGTATAATAATTCATAAATTTCCTCGTACAGTGAAGAAATCGAGTTCCTCCTTGCTTGCTGCGAGACGAACCACGACGGAAAACTGGACTACATTGGTTTCTGCGACCGGTTCCACGAACCGGCCAAGGAGATCGGTTTCAATTTAGCTGTACTGCTCACCAACTTGTCCGAACATATGCCCAACGAACCTAGGTGAGTTTTTATACATTATAAGACTTTGATTTTTATTTTACACATCATCAACCTATTACTGCCTACAGCTGAACAAAGGCCGCTTCTCCACAGAGAAAGTTTGGGCATTAATCTCCAAGATAACATTATAACTCGGCAAAAGTTAAATTTGAGGTTTTTGTGTCTGATACAAGACAGCAAACGAGCATACGGATTGGCTGATGGTAAGTGATCTGCGAAGACCATAGACATCCGGAATACACGAGAAGTTAATAGCGCATCGTTAGCCTGTTGGAGATTAGGGTTTCGGAGGTTGAGGAATTGGGGAAAAATCGGGTAACCTCTCTCACACGGCGAAATACAATACTGTAATTTTTTTACGCCGGTTTTCTGTGAGGCCGTGGTATCAATGCACTTCTTTAACTGCGCGGTTGGCGCGGCTGCTGGGCAACTGGCTGCCGTGGAATATATCGCGGGTGCGATTCCCGCACGGAACAACTCTTTGTTTGATTCACAAATTGTTGTTCTCGGTCTGGGTGTGATAAATCCGGTCGAACCGTCCCAATCGTGCGGAAGAAATGTGTCCCGGTGACCAAATCGAGACCCGTTATTCAATTCCGATCACCATAAGTCAAAATCGAACCATATATTTCAATTCACCCTTAAGCAGACCTTTTTGAAATGGTAAAATTGAATTACCATTCAGTCTGTCCTCGAGGCAACTTTTATAAAAGTTGTTTAAAAACCAAACCATTTATTTCAAACTTTAACTTTTTCAAAATTGAATTTTTTGTCGGTCTATTATCAAGGCCTTTTTTATAAAAGTTGCTAAAATAAATTCTTGTTTTCTTAGATTGGCCCGTTTCCTAGAGACAGCTGGTTCTGTCTTAAACTACTTCGAGCCGTTCCTGGGCCGCATTGAGATCATGGGCGGGTCCAAGCGCATTGAACGAGTCTACTTCGAGATCAAGGAGTCCAACATCGAACAGTGGGAGAAACCACAGATTAAGGTACAGTAATTAATATCATTTAGTGCCTTTTATTGAAAAAGGAAATATGGATCGTTTTAAGTCAAAAAGAGTCTGACACACCTTCTAGCGCCACCGGGGCGAGGGAAGAGAAGTCGTTGGATAACTTTCCCCCACAAAAAAGTAGTTGGGAAAAATGAAGTACATTTTTTTTACTTACGTAGCCATTTTCGCCAGTTAGGAGTCATATACCTAATATTGTAATTTTTCATAGGCTTGCTATTATTTTTGTTCTAAAAAATAAAATATTAATTATATCACCTATGGTAATTTTGTTACAGTAATAAAAATACTAATAAGTATACAAAAAAGATCCTTTGGGATAGTTGTTCGTTATCATGAGTCATCAGTCATCCTATATATCTAACTATCTTGCGGGGTAAGCGCAATGAGGCACCGCGGCCATCGTCCCAGAACAGGAGAAGGAACGGGGGATTTTTAATCAGTAACACCCGGTTTCTGAAAGGCTTGTCAACACTAAAATTAACTAATTTCCTGTTAAATCTCTTGCCAAGTCATCTGATTGGTTGTTGATAATTCAGTCAACCAATCAGATGACTTGCTGACAAGAGATTAAATTGATTTTTACATTGATCGGTCTTTCGGAAACCGGGGGTAAGAGTCAGAGAGTCCCTTCCACCCGGCACTGGACGGGAGAAGCCATTTAAAATCTTACCTATCTTCTTTCCAGGAATCGAAGCGCGCATTCTTCTACAGCATAGTAACAGAAGGAGGTGATAAGGAGAAGTTGGAAGCCTTTGTGAACTTCTGTGAGGACGCCATCTTTGAAATGACGCATGCGTCCGGACTCATGGCGGCTTCTGAGGAATCTGTCGGTGGAACGAAGAATAGAGAGGCCAGCTACATGTATATGGGAGACGATGATGATGAGAGGTTAGTGATGATCATAGGGTTGATGATGATTTGAGAAAAAAATGGCACAGGCACAAAGCCGTTCGCCTCTATTAGAACCGCTAGGTTTGGGATTCTTTGCTGATGTGCAGAATCCTCGAAGGGTATCTGGGTGTCTTCAAGGCCCGAGTGAATAGGCTAGGCGTGCTCCATCGTGGGTTACATCATCGCTTAAGACCAGTCGAGATAGTGATCCATTGCAAATAATAAAAAAGGAATGTTTTTCTGGTAGAATATTTCCGGTGTAATTTATATTGGAGACGATGGAATTTTCATGCGTTTAAGCATTTCTATTTCTAAACGAACATAACAGCTCACACATAGAACCCATGATATTTTAGGCAATTTTCTGTGAAGTTTAGTGACTGGACTTCTGTCAGTTGTGCTTGCGTGGCTTTTTGGTGCCTTTACTTTAATACTATTGCTTTTCAGTCGCTTTTTTGTTTATTTTTTCAAATATTTGGTGAATTTTTGCGGCGTCTTTGGTAATAAATAAATGTTATTTTTTTTACTTTCTTTCTTTCAACGAAGAATAATATAAAAAGTCAGATGGCTTGCATTCAAAATATTTAGCAATATAATCTAGTCCAAAATTCAAGCGATTTTTTTCTCTCTTAGAGCCGGCAAGGATCCATTCCGTCGTGGCCTCCAATCAGTCAAAGATGGCATCTACGCAGCATTCTCATCCTTATCACCCGCAAACATAAAGGCGAAAATCGCAGACCTCCAGCAAATGCCGCCAGCCGAACTAGCAGTGGGCTTCTTCAAAATGTTCTTCCTTTTATTCTATTACTTGGGCTATGGAATGCTCGTCGTGATAAGGTGAGTTTGAATTTGAACTCTATTGTCTTGAATATAACGTTGATATATCAATCGAACGTCATGAGTAATTATTACGTTTATGTTCCACGCTACGTTTGATGCACAGTCATTGGTAAATGCTTCACTATATCAAAAGTTGTTGTTTTAAGTTGTTTTATTGAATTGTGACGTCCGTTGTTGTTGACAGAAGTTGACAGACATGTAAAAGAAGAATATTGTAAAGTTTTATTTTTATATATTCCTCGTTAAACGTGTGTTTGAAATCTTTTGAATACTTATATTTTTATTATAACTTTCGTGAGACATTCTAAATTAATTATTATGTTTTCGGCTTACTCACGTAATAATTTGACGAGATACTCGATTAGCAGTAGCAGCGAGACAGTCGCCGCGTCGCGTGTCACGGAATGCTGCTCATGAATATGGGCCTCTAGCATGGCTTGAAACTAGTCGAGTATCTCGTCAAATTCTTTTGAATATAAATAGTAAATTGTTCATGTAGGTATCAATACATAATTCATACCTATTAGTAATCAAAATTTTGGTGGACACAGTGCAAGCGTAATAATTTACCACGGCCCCGGCCTGGAGCAGGACAAGGAATGTAGGTTTTTAGTCAGTAAGAGTCTGACACTCTCTCTAATCTCACCCAGGGCTGGTGAAGTCATTTGATGACTTATTCCAAAACAAACCAGAAACTTACAAATTATTTTTTTTACTATCCCAAAATTACTTCTTTTTAATTCTTATTTTTATTAATGACGTCACAATTTGATAAAATAACCTTTAGGTACTTAAATCACTATACGTTTGTTCATCCACATAATATTTGCTATTTCTCTCACTGTTCACATATTTTTATAATTTTATTTCAATACTCAAAAGTTGCACGAAATAGAGATCTGCCGAATATCCGGCACAAAGCCCAGAAACGGATAATTTCCGATGTTGGATATCTAACTTATGCAAATAGAGAGAACTGGGTAATTCCCTTTGTCGGATATTTGACATCAGTAAATGTGGATCGTAATCCAGTCTTCTTAATGCTGATTTTTCAATGGTTAGATAAAAGTTACCTGGGGAATTATTATTTATTTATTTATTATAAGGTACGCTCACAGCTTATGTAAACAAGTGGTTTAAAGTATTGGTTATAGGCAGTAGGTCATATACATTAGCCAGTTACAGCTAACCAACATTCTAAACATTATGCGTTTATACAGTCAAAATATATAGAAATTAAAACTAGAACTAATTAAATTAACGTAGGTAGAACAACAGTATTAATCATAGTAAAGTATTAACTAAATAAAATAAAGAATAAAATTTAATATGGGCTACCATTTAAAAATTTAGAATGAATTATAAAATTTAAAATGTATGATGCTGTCGCGTCAGAATGTTTATATAAGACAGTGACAGCAACAATTTTATTCCTCAGATAACATTTATATGACTATTGAAAATTCAACCAATTAGTAAACAAAAATATCAACTGAGTATAAATTTGATACGGATCCGTCAAAGACAAAGGTTCCTTTATTTAATTAATTATTATTATTGACCAATACTTATTTACATCACTAGGGTAAACTGTGTTTTAGTGTAGCGTAATTAGACTTGTGTGAGTTAAAATGTGCATAATGGAATGGAAGGAATAGTTTATTGTATACAGAAAATTCACAGATAATCGTTTTTTCAATAATTCAAGTGTGGATGAGCTGGTTTGGCTCGAATGATACCACGACCTTGCAAAAAACCAGGGTGTAAATACGCTTGCCAATTTCCCTTTACCCTTCCTGAATTTCTTGCAAATTCCTTACCCTTGTCAATTCCGTAACTCCAAAAGTCCGGCAACGTGAATTGTCTACCATCACATGTAGTGCCCATTCTTTTATCGCCATACGTCATAAAAATTTGAATCGAAACGGTTATTTTCAGAGCAAAGTTGCAAAAAAAATCAAACTGTATTATTGTTTTTCCAAACCAATTTAAGACCAAATTGTAAAATTTCTTCAATATTTAAATTACTCAACTTTTTTATAATAATAAGCTATCCCTTTCACACTAGATCACTAAATTAGGTTGATGTGTACCTAGATTGTCTATGATAAAATCTATGTTGTTGTAGTCATAGACCACTGTAGACTTATACATAGCACTTTAGCTATACAGCTTAAAAATCTAATGCACTGTGCAAGATTGTTAAAGTCGATTCTCACATGAAATAAGCCTATACAAAAGTAGTTGAAAATATTTATATGTTGATAAGGAGTAAGATATTATACTTCGTATTTCTATATTAGCTTGTGTAATTACGATCGATCGACTACAGAATACTTGCCTAAATTATAATAGACTTATAAAAATACAGTAATTATGTAGGGCGGTCCATATTGTAAAGTTGATATCCAGAACTAACTAAGTGCGTAACGGTTTCAATATATGAAAAATAGAGTGGACTCAAAAAAAAACATATCAGCCACACAAAGCTTTCAAATTCAAACAAAACCGAATTTGAATTTGATTGAAAAGTGTAAAATTGGTTGAAAAGTGTAAAAGTAAAGTAAAACTTTATCACAAAAAATATCAATAAACGAAGTATAATTTCTTCCTAACAACACCTATATTTCTTTAAACCCATTTCATAACATAATTATGCAATCTCTAGGTACATATTCGGCGTACTACTTGGTCTGATGAGAGGTCCACAGACGGACGAACCACCGCCCGAACCGACAGAGGAGGAAAAAATCGGTCAGTTGAGACACAGGTTGCTAGCGACACAAAGTAAGAACGAGACAGGTATACACGAGTGCCGCTTCGCACTGGCTACGTTTGGTCACTGCGGTTACGTTACTACAGATAGTTTGTTTCTTTTTCCGTTGTCATTATCATTAATATCACCGTCGTTATCATAATCATTATTAATATGATCATGATTATTGTCACCACCGTTACTATCGCCCCCTTTACTATCACCACGATTTCTCGCAATCATTACTATTACCACGATTACTATCGTCATTATCACTATCGCCACTATTACTATCATCATGATTACTATCGCCACCTTTACGATCACCACCGTCACCAGTCATCAGCTTCAGCCCGTTTTCGTCTTGACTGGACATACATATATCTCTCAGATAGAACTTTTCTAAGCTCAAAAGTAAACACAATTGAAAATTCGTTGGACATATAGGTAATATATTATTTATATTTAATTTTCACTTGATAGATGGCATTCATGAAGACATAGTCATAGACATAGTAAAGTGTTTGACAAAATTATCGGTTTCAAAAATAAATTTCTTTTTTATTCCTTTTCCTTATTACAACGTAACCTAACAGTGACCAAACGCATCAACAAGATTACGCCAAACGCAGGTTTAACAAAAATGTAACAGACATAACGATTTCAAAATTAATTTGTTATTAATTTATTATTGGCATTAATTTATTAATTATTATAACAATATATGGTGTAACAAAATCTGCTTTTGGATAACAACGGGTAAGATAACAATTTGTTACTTGTTTTAGTTTAAGAGCTAGTGATTTTTTATTTTTCTATTAAGTCTTCCAACAATTGTTTACAGTATGTCTAAATACAAGAAGAATATACTTATATGCATTTGAATTAAACACAGTGCAACACTTACCCATTGGAAAACATTTGCATCGTGAGAAAACAACAAAACAATGTAAAAAATAAAAAAGTTTTATCGTCATTTATCTTATGAAAATTATAAGATCTTTTGAGAAAAACATATTTAGGTTTGACCTTAAATTTTTATGCTGTGGGTGGTGCTGTTCTTAATTTTACATTATAATGAAACTTTTTGAACCTAGCTCTTAAACTTAATGGCAATACCTACTTTTTTTAATTATCTTAAGGGACATTTTAATGAAACTTCTGTGTTGTGATGTGCTTAACATAAAATATGTACAGCTTATTTGTGTAAATTGTCAATATGTTGGCATGTCAAATGTCAATGTCATTTTTTAACATAACATTGAACTCGTTGTTTTGCAAGGTTCAGTAGAGCGAAAAGTGAAGAAAAGATGGAGTTCAGATACACTCTTATTAATAGTCTAAAAATTAAGAACTCTGTTTCTTGTTTAGTCCTCTTAACGTATTGTACAGACCAAATGTCACGCACACCGTATATATCAAAGAACAGTGAGCCTTATGGTGACTCAGTACCAACAATATCACAAATATTACATATTACTTGTACAGATTTTTCATACACAGTTCACATCTAAGCAATGAAGGCTACCGTTTTCTGGTCAACAGATGGCGCTAATATATGTTGAGGTTTCCCAACAAAGAATTGGGCAGTTTTTTCGGTGAAAAACAAATTATATCGAGTTTAGTTTCGAATTTGTTGACTTTTATATGTTTTGGGTAGAACATTTCGCTATTAATTATGTACCTACTTTATTTTTGACAGCGAATATTATAACGTCGTATCAAAACAGAACCAAATTATCGTTTACGGTACGACATTAAGACATAAAAATACAATTTGATTTGCTAGTTACTTGCCTAAAAAAATAAGCTTATGTCAAAAAGCTGGATTTGCAATTAAATTTTTGACATCTACAGTGATTGGTCAAACAGATTTTACGCTGTACTAGTGCCATCTAGTGAATGAAAACCAGTAGCTTTCATTAGTTTGATTGAATCAATCTCAAGTTGAATGCATGACACGATATTTACTTCTGATATGACAGGTTCTCGACATCTACCAGCGTTACCGCCAGCTGACGATACTGGGCAGATACAGGTTTCCGCATTCGGACTGGACATCACTAAAGAAGACAACGGACAGTAAGTTAGACTTTATAATTTTTTTAATCTATATGTTTTATCATCTGAACATCGAGCTCAGTGGCGTGCAATTGAGTAGGCCTATGTCCAGCAGTGGACGATATCAGGCTGATCATGATGATGATGATGATATATTTTAAAGGTACAACATATCAGAGGTCTTCGAAATTTAAACAAAACTAAATTTGTATGTTGTCAATATAGAATAGAATAGTCATTTATTTCTGAGTATATGGTATACATCGAGATCTTATATATTGATATAAGACTATATACTTATATATTATGATATATTTCTATTATTGCAAATATTTTGTAAAATGAGAAAGACAACTCAATATGCCATCTTAGCGGGAAACAATATCAAGCCGACACTTATGAATTGCAAGACATAAGCTACATTTAAAGAGCTCAGGGAAATAAAATCACACAATAGAAATTTAACTTTAAGGATAAGTCTTTTACGATTAGTTTTGTTTAAATTTAAACCAGTCAAATTACGCAATAGTACTTTGGCCTACTTAAATATTGCACTCTAATCCTCTCAATTACCCCAATTTTAATACAAAAATAAAAATGATTAGGATACAAGTAAAACCGCACGAGTCACCGAGCACATCAACGCCATCTTCTGGTGAGGAAGCAGAGGTATCACCCGATGAGAGCGCTGACCATCCCGAGGAACAGAGACCACCGTCACTCATCGATCTACTTGGGTAAGTTAACGTTTTAACATTTCTATTTAAAGCCGAATAAACTTAATTTTACAATGTATTTTTGACAAGAAATACAGTTTTTTTTTATTTTATGTTTTTTAATTGTTTAAAAAGAAGTTGCTCCACACTAGGTATTTCTCCTTTGCCGTGGGTGCGTTAAAAATCATACAATTGTAGATATACATCACACCCAGACCCGGAACAACTATTTGAAGATCATACAGAGTTGTTTCATGCAGGAATCGAACTGGCATGAACCGTGAAGTCGGTTTTTACCTCATCCGAATCTCTGTGTAATATCTATTCATTGCTAATTGATTTATTAATGTCTAAAACGTACCTACACCTAAACAGTGTCCCAGCGAAATTATCAAAACAAAAAAAGACATTTGGAATAAACAAAAAAATCATTTTGTGTATTAGACAAGTATTTTGAAACATTATACTTGATATAGATCGCCTTAGTTAAATAAACGAACCTAATTTTGTTACAATTTCTCGCCAACAGAGGAGAACAAGCCAAAAAGCAAGCTCAAGAGCGTATGGAAGCTCAGGCTGCCCAGCAAGCTGCTATGTCCGCCATCGAAGCTGAGAGCAAAAAGGTAAAATAGTTAAAAATAAAAGCTAATAAGGAAAAAGGATTTCTAATACATCTCATTTAAGATATTGTTTCTTTCAATAAATTAGTCCATTTAATTCACAGTCACCGTCACTTGTATTAACGTTGTATTAGAAACGCCTAATATTGTTAATCGACGCTACGAATCCAAATATAGAACTAATCTCAACTCAAAATTGAAAGATTTAAGTGAATAATATAGATGTTATTTATGATAAGATTTACCGCGTCCCAGCTTGATGGGGAAAAAATAACGGGGTGGTTAACTAGTGTTAAGTCAGAAAGAGTCTGTCACTCTCTCTGGAAGGAAAAAGAAACTTGATGATTTTAACCCACCAAAAAAGGGATTCAACTGATTTTAATGCAATATATTATGTGACATTGTTAAAAATCGCCTGTGCCTAATATGAACAAATCCACTAAGTCTCGTCTTAAGGTTAATATAAAGAAAAGTTGAAAACCAAAAAGGCCTCTATTAGTCTTAAGATTCAGTACTACCTATCAGCCGAGGTTGCGGATCAAACGCAATTATGTACCGCAGCTCCTAGAGCAGGGGAAGGAACAGGGTGTATTTTACACAGTAAGAGTCTGACCCCACCTAGGAATGGAGAAGCCATTTGATCTCTCAAACAAAACAAACTAGGACTAGTAAATCTATGCCACCCAGAGCTAGTAAAGTTGTTCCAAGACGTTTCCTCTCAAAAAAAACAAGTTTCAATGCTATCTACATATCATTTAGCTTCCTCGCTCATTCATGCATAATAATAAGCTTATTTAGTTTTATGCAAAATTGACTTGTTCATTCATTCTACCATTTTTGCCATCCAATGCAGCTTGGACGTTCCAAATCATTTTTGAGGCCGAAAAAGGTAAACTGTGAAAATTTTCTTTACAATTTCAACTTTTATATTTTAGTTTTTAATCTTTTCCAATCTTCTACGGCCTTTTCTTTCGTTTTCTTAACAAACTTCACCTGTTATAATTATCGTTTAGCCAAGCAGGTAGATGTATGGAGGTACTTGGTAACAAAAGTAAATATATTATACTAGCTGCTGTCGCGCGGGTTCACCCGCTGCTCGGCTCCATTTAATCGTAGCGTGATGTTTTATAGCATATAGCACTCAGGAATATTGTAGCTATCCATCAGTGAAAGAATTTTGGAAATCCGACCAGCATTTCCAAAGTTTACCCCCTACGATTACATACGATTCTTCTGCAAAAGTAAGCAAAAAAAGTGCTTAACACCATATTCACCAATAATGTAGACCTTCTCTTCATAAGACGATTTCTTACAATCTGCACACTTGGCAGGTCAGTTGGAGTTGGTATTACAACAAAAGAAGTAAAGTTATAAGAATTCTTCTTTTATGGCATCCGCTAAGTGTTCTCTTCTATCTCTAAAACTTGTATTCTTCTACCCGTTCTCTCTAAAACCCCAAATTCTTCTTGCAGGCAGTCCAAGTCCCAGCTCCATCAGCGTTATCTCAAGTGGATCTCTCACAATACACCAGGCGTGCAGTCTCCTTCTTGGCTCGGAACTTCTACAACTTGAAATACGTCGCCCTCGTCTTAGCTTTCTGTATAAACTTTGTGCTGCTGTTCTATAAGGTAAGTGGGATTTGGAAAAAGTATAATTGTCTAGCAAAGTTATATATTATGTTTGTTATATGTCTTCGAGATTAGAGGTCAAAGAAAAATATTTTTAACTAACTACTCTCGAGCGGTTTCACTCAGCTGCTTGGCTCCATTTAATCGTAGCGTGATGTTTTATAGCCTATAGCACTCAGGAATATTGTAGCTATCTATGAGTGAAAGAATTTTGGAAATCCGACCAGCGGTTCCAATGATTACCCCCAACAAACAAACATACAAACATACAAACTAACTAATTTTACCTCTTTATAATATTAGTATAGATGACAATTGGGTTTCTTTGGTCGAAAATAAATTAATTCGACGTTTCAATACAATATAATATTGAAAAATAATAACTATAATTTTATTCATCCATCGATCTACACTCTAAATTTTAGATATTTTTTAGCTAATTTTTAAGAAATAAGTAACCTATTTGACGCAATAAAACTATGACGTCATAGCTCAGTGTTTCATACAAATTTCATAGAAAAGTATGGTTTTTGACATTTGGATAAAAGTATTGAATTTAACTAGTTGGAAACTACCGTATTCATGATATCCATGATATCGATTACAAAGAAAATGGCAATTTCTATAAATATGGTTTATAAATTTGGGTTCTAAACTAATGCAAGTTAAAAGAGTCTCTAAATTAAAACACGTATAGACTAATACCCAACTTACCTAGTTGCTAATTATAATTACCTATACAAAATAATTCATGATTACCGAGATTTAATTAAACTGTGAAAATTCTCGATAAGTATACACATTTTTTGGGGTCAGAAAAGGAATAGTGTTAAGTACCTAAGAAATGAAATGACCTTATTAATTGACTATAAACAGGTTTCTACGTTGGACGCGGAAGGTGGCGAGGGCTCTGGTCTGGGTGATATCATCGCTGGGTCTGGCTCCGGTTCGGGATCTGGCAGTGGTGATGGTAAATTCTAAGTTTTTTTTATCAGTGAATTTATTTAACTATAAGATAGACTTGGCATTAGTATGGCACTCCTTATTATTCAGCTTAAGTTATATATAAATATAAATATACAAAAAATAAAGATAACTTAGGTTATAAAATATGTATATGTATATCTATATAAGTTATATAAAACACGTCCATGGACACCCGCAACAACGGATGAGTTACGAGTGCGTTGCCGATCTTTTGGGGATAGAGGATTTGAATATTTTGGGATTGGAAAAAAATTGGGCCTACACAACACAACGCTGTGGTTGTCATCACACCGGTCGAGCCGACCAATTCGTGCTGAAGCATGGCTCCCCTACACATAAGACACAGATTATACATTCCAGTAAATATTCTTGTGTTGTTAGGTGGCAGTGGCGAATCTGAAGATGATGATGCATTGGAAGTGGTCCATATAGATGAAGATTTCTTTTACATGGAACATGTGATCAAGGTGGCCGCCGTACTACACTCTATCGTGTCCCTTGCCATACTTATTGGGTACTACCATCTTAAGGTAAGTTTTAGCTAGCTATATTCAAAGGTATTATTAATGACTTATTTTAAATGTCCTCTTGAGAGATGATAATGGAATTAGTATGTTATAGAATCTATTTTGAGTAAGTTATGGCAATAAGAATTGGTAACTAGTTTATTTTTTTTTCTAAAAGATTATTCATATTATTTATATATATATTTATTAATTTATGCACACAAGATGTTAAACATATTTACAGTATTGTACATATTTATGTAAGTATATGTACTTATAACATCTCTGATGATGCTTGTTTTGTGCACCGTTAAATTTATCTCTGCGTCATCCAAAGGTTTGGCTGTTAGAGAATGCCCATGGCCACCAAAGCCCACCTTTGTACATTTGTTTTGTGCATAAAGATATTAAATAAATAAACATTAAAACAAAATGAGGCTGTGGTATTACTCCAGTCCAGCCGAAGCCTGGCTCTCCCACACTTTACACAAAAATAATTAAAGTATTACAATACTTTACTACAGTTATTTTAATCTTAGATATCAGAATCAAACAAACAGAAGTTGTGCATTTGTTTTCGTTAATACCCAACTCTACCAGTCATTTTAAAATATAAAATCCAAATCTAAAACACTCCGTTAAAGGATCAGAAAATCACACGAAAGATCTTACTTGGGGACTTTCACCAACTAAGTGATTTGAAAGGCTCATGATGTTTCCAGGTGCCACTAGCCATCTTCAAGCGTGAGAAGGAAATTGCCCGTAAACTGGAGTTTGATGGTCTGTACATCGCTGAGCAGCCAGAAGACGATGACCTGAAGAGCCACTGGGACAAACTCGTTATATCTGCCAAGTAAGTACACGTATTTATATAGAACCAGCCCTCCCTGAAAACCCCACATATGAAATTTGAGCAAAATCGTTAGGGCCGTTTCCGAGATTACATTGTTTTCCAAGCAATCAACGCCATCTATCGGGCGGATTTGTGAATCTAAACCAAGGCGTCACTCAAACGCATACAAAAAAAACATTTAAATCAGTTTAGCCGTTTAGGAGGAATTAAATGACATATAAACGTACAGCAGATAAATATATACAAAGATAAGCACTTTTTATATTAAAAAAAAAGGTTTTCTACATGTTTTAATATTTTGTTTTCGCTCGCGAATCGCACGCTCGATCATCGAGCGTTCGTTAACATGTAATATAGGCCCATATAACTTTTAATTTCATTAGCATCTAATAAGTGCTCATCGTCGAGCATAGGAATCTTCTCAAACGGAGAAGGTTTGAACATTAATCACTAGGTACACTTGCTCAAGGCACATTGCCTTGATTCAAACGTATAAATAGCAAGCGCGGCTCACTCACACTTAAAATACACGTTCAAAATTGTGTTTAACTTTTCAGTTATTTTATTGTTGCGTACTTTTATAATATATAAGCTATTGTCGCGCGGTTCCACCCGCTGCTTGCCTCCGTTTGATTGTAGCGTGATGTTTTATAGCCTATAGCACTCAGGAACATTGTAGCTATCTATAAGTGAATTTTGGAAATACAGCCAGAGGTTGGAAAGATTACCCACCCCCTTCATATAAACTTTTAAATTATTTAATTTTTTTATTATTAGTATCCATAGATAAAGTTCTTATTATTCTATTCCAGGTCATTCCCAGTGAACTATTGGGATAAGTTTGTAAAGAAGAAGGTTCGTGCCAAGTATTCAGAGACATATGACTTCGATTCCATATCCAACATGCTGGGCATGGAGAAGACTTCCTTCTCCGCACAAGAAGAGGAAGGCAGCAAAGGACTGATTCACTAGTAAGTAAAGTTATTGGAGGGATGAGAGAACAGTGTGTAAAATTCCTCATCCTCCATTGAAAAGGGAGGATCCTCCGACTAAACGGGTGTTATCTAGTGGGCTACTGGCCTAACTGCCCAACAGTGGGATTTTTTATCCGTGTTTATTCGAGCGCAAACGTCACTTGCGTAACCAAGAACTTGAGACGCCATCTATTGAACATTGTCGTTACATATCATTGGTGTTGTTGCTGCTTACTGTGCGGTAGATGTCGCTACAGATTTTTTCTTATGATTCACCGGCAAATATGCTAGAATCGGCGCCGCCCATGGCAAAATAAGAGGATTTTTAGTAAGAGTAGGATTAGGCATCCGGTAACCTCACTTACACGACGAAACTATAACTCTCTGGCGTGAAACGCCCGTACAACAGGAACGTTGTTTCACGCCAGTTTTAAAAGAGACCGCGAAAGTATGGATGAGTACTTAAATCAAAATCAAATCAAAAATGTTTATTTCGTTATTACACTATAGAAAAAGTTGTACAGTTGGTGGCGTTCCCTTTTAAGCATGTAAATGCCTGTACCAGGGGGCGTCGCTCTTTTATAGCATAACTAGCGTAATAATTTACACAACATAAGGTAGATTAATAAATATAGTTCTACGAAAAAATACTAGTTTATTATTAAGAAGCATGTTACAAAAAAAGCCATGAGTATAAATGTGGATGAATGGAGAGGGAGAGGGAGACCAAAGAAAATATGGATGGATTGTGTGAGAAGTGATATGGAAGACAGAGGAGTTAGCGATAGCGTGACGAGTGACAGGACAGAATGGAAGAAAAAAACATATTGCGCCGACCCCAAATAAAACGGGACAAGGGCAGGAAGATGATGATTATTAAGAAACGCTATTGTTCACGAAAACACTATTGAATGGATTTTTGCCCAAGAGATAGATAGTCTGGATAACACATAGGCTAGATTTTATCCATATAATGCGGGCACACACGCTGCCAGAAGAGTTTAACAATATATTTTTCTTTCCACAGCATAATCAACATAGATTGGCGTTACCAAGTATGGAAGGCGGGAGTGACGATCACCGACAATTCCTTCCTCTATTCTCTATGGTACTTCTCATTCTCCGTGATGGGTAACTTCAACAATTTCTTCTTCGCCGCCCATCTACTAGATGTCGCTGTTGGTTTCAAAACTTTGAGAACCATTCTTCAGTCCGTCACGCATAACGGAAAACAGGTAATTATTTAATAAATTATAAATAAAACTTTATTATTATTTGGAATGCGAACTAGGTATGTTTGTATATGACTCAATTACTGTATCGACTTTGATGAATTTTGAAATAGTTGCGATAATTATATGTATTATTTTAGTAACAGATAGGTATTAAGGAATACCTGAGGAAGGGTTTTGAAAGTAAAAAAAAATTGAGAAGCCCTAAATTTAAAACATACGAAAATAAATATATTTTGAATTTTTGATTCCTTTAAATTGTTTCGATCCATAGGTTTTATAAACTATATCGGTACTGTACACTTAATTTTTCGACTTAAATCCTTAAACTCTTTTTTTAACTTTCCTTCATGCAAGCTATAGATTAAATAAAACTTATATGAAACACAATATATTGGTTGTTATAAAAATAAAACTAGTAAGTAGTTTTATTTATTTATTTATACTTTAATACATACACATACCTAATAAATAAAGGTAACATAAAGCGGATTTAATGTCATATAGTATTATCTGCCGGTCAACCTAAGGGTTTGTGGGAAATCAGCGAAACTATGCTTGTGTAAAGATATTAAATTAAGATTAAAACAAAAATAAATCATATATATTTGAAAAATATTTTTAGAAAGAACTAAACTTTTAAAAATGTCTTTTTTAACACCAACTTCATACACAATGTTTATGTATTCCCAGCTGGTCCTGACAGTGATGCTATTGACTATCATTGTGTACATCTACACCGTGATAGCGTTCAACTTCTTCCGCAAGTTCTACGTGCAAGAGGAAGACGATGAGGTCAACAGGAACTGCCATGACATGCTTACGGTAAGTCGAACTTAGATCACTGTTCAAACAGCCAGGGTTTTTTGTGATGGGAAAATCATTGAATTACTTCTACCACCCAGGATGGGGCGAGAGGGAGTGTCAGACTCTTAAGAAAGAAAGAAAGAAAGAAAGATAGAAAGAAAGAAAGGCTAGAAAATACCCGTTCTTTCTCCTGCTTTAGGCCAAGACCCTGGAGCAAGAGAAGGAAGAAGGTGGTTTCAGTTAGTAATAGTCCGACATACCTTCTCGCCCCCACACAGAGCGGGAAATGACGATTATATTGCCATCTCAAATTAAAATTTCAAGATAAACTTGAGACAATTTCTTTGCTATTACCATTTATGAACAGCCATGGTCCCGTCATGAGACTGGGTGTGATGTGTATGTAAAATTGTATGTTTATAACCGTACCCATGACACAGGAAGAAATTTTAAAGGAGTGCAACTTAAAAAAAAAATATTGTTAAGTTATGGCAACACACATTTTACGAATGGAAATAAAAACCTATCACAAGGTACCTACACATATACAGGGTGTAAAAAGACACTTAACGAAGCCGAAAGCCACGTATTCTACCCATTATTTGGATCATTTTTTTCTTTAAGACCATAGCTGGGACTCCACGGGTTCTCGAGATATTGAAGGTCAAAGATGCATTTTTAATTTTTTTTTTTGCGCAATCGAATTCTAAGTATTATTACAAAACTTTTTTCCAAACAAACATTACCTGAATTTTCGATTTTTAATAAATGATGATGATTATTCAATAAATGCAGACCCGCACAAAAAACATCGTGTATCTCAGTAGGATTTTTATTTTACAGAATTGTTTTGTTGTTGCGAAGTAAAACGTCGACCTACGTACTTATCACAGCGTTTTAATGCTAAGCTGTGAACCTACGCACACAATGACACGAAGCCCGTTTGCTTTACATTGCGCGCAATAAATCTTTATACCTAAAAATAAAAGTCGTTTCCCAGTGATAATTTTAGCGTAAAGCTATTTAGTTAGAACTGCAGTATGCGTAGTTAACGGCTTCGTTAAGTGTCTTTTTACACCCTGTATTTATAGAGTAGGTGGGGAGCGAATTAGGAACTTACATGTTCACTTATTATAATCAACGGTTTAATGTTTAAGAAAACAACTTTGCTCAATAAATATAACTCACTTAAAACCAAATTAACACAAGAGCGAGTGCGTTACCGTATCGAATGTCTGGCGGCCATTTGTCAACTCTCTAGCGCGCTCTAGCGGACAACTTCGCAAGGACGCCTTTGGGTTGCCAGCGCATACCGCCACACTATACACAGCAATACTTATGTTTTATGTTAACTCAGTTTTATCACCGTTTTCTTCTCCACAGTGCTTCGTTTTCAACCTTTACAAAGGTGTGAGAGCTGGTGGTGGTATCGGTGACGAACTGGAGCCCCCCGACGGAGATGACTCCGAGGTCTACCGCATCATATTCGACATAACCTTCTTCTTCTTCATCATCGTCATCTTGCTGGCCATCTTGCAGGGTATGTTGTTATATCACATCATCATCATCATCATCAGCCTATAAGTGCCCATTGTTGAGCAAAGGCCTCTTCCTCACGTAGAGAAGGTTTGAGCTTTAATCACGACGCTTGCTCAAGGCGGATTGGCGATTTTAACTTTTAATTTGAGATTAAAAGACCAGGTTTCCTAACGCTTTCGCTGTATAGTGGTGTCCAAAAAATCATAGAAAGTACACATACCTAACTTGGAAAAAGTCACATTGGGAGGTTTCTGCTTTAGGCCACCACGACATAAATAAATATACATAAACATACTTAGAAATGCATATATGTATAACCGTCAAAAAAATGTCTTATACGATAATTAAACTATACAATAAGAAGATTATCATTTCCTCTAATATGATAATAAATAATAAAAAAGGAACTCTATTTATCTTCATTATAACGTTCAATTTGAAATAATCCTTTTGTTCATCAATCAAATTATGATAATAAATATTAAAAAAAGGAACTCTATTTATATTTACAATAAAGTTCTATTTCAAATAATCCTGTATTCATCCGATAATAAATAATATAATACGAAACGAACTTTATTTACCTTTACCATAACGTTGAATTTGATATAATCCTGTGTTGTTCCTGATCCAGGTTTGATCATCGACGCGTTCGGTGAGCTCCGTGACCAGTTGGAATCGGTGAAGGAAGACATGGAGTCTAACTGCTTCATATGCGGCATTAATAAAGACTATTTTGATAAAGTAAGTTTAAGCACATGATTTATTTAACAACTTTAGCTAAGTGTGGGAGAGCTTTGCCAGACTTCGTGGCAAGGTAAATAATGAGACTGTAGATGGTTAAGGTCTGTTTATTACTTTAATTGCTGGTGCTTATATACTAAGAAGATGCGTGAGATTTTCAGATTTAGCTATCCTAACAAACGTGCAACAATTAACATGTATGTCTTATCTCTATCGTATCTAAGTAATGTAGCGACGTGATAGTGCCGCTACATATACTCCCCCCTTTTAAAAATAATTAACATATAAATTGAAAAAAATTAGTATGTACCTAATTATATAATAACTTAACCTTGCTGATAAATTACATCCTATGCGTAATGTAATGTCATTGTTGCTAATTCGAAGGAAATAAAAACTGCTGCCTTTGTTGTGACGGCGGCGGCAGTCGATGAACTATCCACTGCATTTGTGCTGATTGTTTCTTGCTATTGTTTTCACTCTTCTGTCTAAGGTCTTCAGTATTCCGTAGAGAAGAAGGATGCCAATTGTGATGAGGATTTGTCCAATTGCAATGTTTCTCGTCCACCGTAGCTCTTCCAGGACAAGACTTTTGAGATGGTCGGCTTCATTTTGATTAAGGCAACTGTCGGAGTTATATACGATTTGATCTTTGGAGCTTTGGTTGCCCATTGTTCTCTCGTAGATACTGACGGTATATGATGGTATTTTCAAAATACGGTGAGTATTTAAATGGACTGATTACTTGTGTCAGCAAGTGACGAATCGTACTGTCGGCTTAACCGCCCGTCCTGACTTCGTGATGTACGTGTTCCGCCCGTTGTGATTATTTTCTGAATTTGGCACGTTCGTTCCACTATTGAAGACAAATGCAGGTTTTAATCGGTCTATAGATATTGCTTTTTCATTGTCCCCAATTTTAATGATAAACGTCTTATCTATCCTCTTTGTCACTAGAAATGGTCCTTCGTATGGTGGTGTTAAACTTTTCCTTATTCTGTCACAGCGCACGAATACATGTGAGCATTTGTTGAGCTCGGGGTGAATGAAAACTGTTTGTTTAATTTTCTTGCGTTTTGATGTTGATGTCATACGAGAAATGTCCTTTTGTATATTTGTGACAAATTCTTCGTATGTCGAAGGCTGTGACGATTCAAAAAATTCTCCGGGAAGCCTTATAGGTGCGCCATATATCATCTCTGCTGCACTATATCCTGTGTCCTCGCGTACACAACTTCGTAATCCAAGTAGAACTGAAGCAATTTCGTTCATCCAATTAGCATTAGATTCTCTTGATATTAGCGCCGCTTTTAAAGTTCTATGAAATCTCTCTATCATTCCATTTGATTGTGGGTGATAAGGCGTTGTTCTAATTTTGTGTACTCCTAAAAATTGTGAAAGTGATTCAAATATTCTTGATTCAAATTGTCGACCTTGATCCGTAGTAATGCGTAATGGGCATCCGAATCTTGCTATCCATCCCTCATACAGTATGCGCGCTACTGTTTCGGCTGTGATATCTTTAACGGGAAATACTTCCGGCCAAGAAGTACAACGATCTATCATTGTAATTAAATATCGCTTTCCTTGAGAAACAGGTAACGGTCCAACAATATCGATGTGTAGATGTTCAAAACGTTGAGATGGCATAAAGTTCCCGACAGGTGATATAGTGTGGCGTTGCACTTTTGATTTTTGACAAGCTAGGCACGATTTACACCATTCATTTATATCTTTATTCATACTTGTCCATAAATATCTTTGAGTTATCATTTTCCTAGTAGCTCTCTTCCCAGGATGACTCAGTCCATGCATGACATTAAAAATTTGTCTCCGAAATTTTTCTGGTAAATAGGGGCGATTTTTTCCTGTAGATATGTCACAGGCGATGACTTCAGTAGAACCCGGAACCTTGATATTTGAAAATTTTAAATTCTTGTTATTGCGAAGTCGTAATAATTCTTGGTCATCATGCTGACATCTTGCTAAATCAGCATAATTAATCGGTGATGGCACATCAATTTGTTCTATCCGTGACAATGCGTCAGCTACAATATTGTCACGTCCTTCTATATGTTGAATGTTGGTACAATATTGTGAAATAAAATCCAGTTGTCGTATTCGCCGTGGCGTATCATTAGATGACGGTTTTTGGGAAAATGCGTAAGTCAAAGGTCGATGATCTGTAAAGATAGTAAACTCTCTTCCTTCGACTAACCTTTGAAAATGTTTGACTGCCATATATATTCCGAGCAACTCTCTGTCGAATGTCGAGTATTTTTGTTGAGTATCACTTAATTTCTTTGAAAAGAATCCTAATGGTTCCCAATTACGTCCTGACTTCTGCTGCAGAACTGCGCCAACACAGGTCGAACTGGCGTCCGTCATAAGTGCCAAAGGGGCGGTGCGAGAGGGGTGAACTGTTAATACTGCGTTCATTATATTTTCCTTGCATTTATCAAAAGCTTTTTCGGCCTCTGTTGTCCAAGAAATTGGGGAATTATCATTCTTTTTAGAGTCGTGCAGGTAGTTGTTTAAGATAGTTTGATATTCAGCGGCATGAGGGAGATTGTTTCTGTAAAAGTTGATCATTCCTAAAAATCTTCTTAGCTCCTTGATTGTCGTAGGTTTAGGAAATTCCATAATTGCTTTGTACTTTTCCTCCGTTGGTCGTATTCCTCGACGTGTTGTATGATAACCCAGAAAATCTATTTCGCTCTTAAGAAAGTCACATTTTTCGAGATTAATTGTTAATCCATTTTCATGTAAACGTTTGAAAACCGTATCCAAATGTTGATAATGTAGAGCCTCGTTTTCAGATGCTATAAGACAATCGTCGACGAATATGAATACGAAATCCAAATCCCTGAATAGCGAGTCCATGAATCGTTGGAATGTTTGCGCCGCATTACGTAAACCGAAAGGCATTTTTGGAAATTCGAAAAGTCCAAAAGGAGTGATAATAGCAGTTTTTTCCACATTTTCTACAGGAATGCAGTGGTACGCCTTTCGAATATCAATTTTGGAAAAGATTTGCTTCCCTTCTAGTATGTAAGTGAAATCAGTTAGTCGTGGAAGTGGATATTTGTCCGGTACAGTCACGCTATTGAGCATTCTATAATCTCCACATGGTCTCCATTCACCGTTCTTTTTCTTAACCATGTGCAAAGGACTAGCCCATGGGCTGTCCGAAGGGCGACAAATGCCAAGCTCCATCATAGTCTGAAATTCTTTCTTTGCTATATGATATTTATCAGGAGGTAATGGTCTTGCACGTGCTGATACCGGTGGTCCTTTAGTGATAATATGATGCTTAATCTTGTGTTTTGGAGTAGTGTGGAGGGAGGCTGGTTTCGTAATATCCTCGTATTCATTTAATAGTTGAGTAATGCGTGGATTCGTCTCAATGTTAATAGTGCGGATTGTTTGCTGCGTCGATTTGATCAGGGTTGCGGGCGTTGTCAGCTCAGTTACCCTATCTATGAGTTTTCGACCAGCTATATCGACTAATAGCTTATAATGCTCTAAAAAATCTGCTCCAATAATCGGTTGTGTTACATCGGCGATGACAAAGTTCCATACAAGGTTTCTTCGTAGCCCGAAGTTTAAAGAGAGTGTTTTTTCACCATATGTCTTAATTTTTGTACCATTGGCGGCATAAAGTATACATTGTTCATCTTGTATTAGTGACTGTCTCTGTGGCTTGCTAATAACTGAAATATTTGCTCCCGTGTCAATCAAAAATCTCATACCACTTTTTCGGTCGGTAATAGTGAGGCGGTTGGACGGGTGAATAGCACAGAGTTCCGCCGTTGTCCGTGCTTCAATTAGTTTCCCTGTTTCCTTGAGTTGAGATCCTGTTTCCAATCACAAGGTTGAACACACTTTTGTGCATATTTTTTAAATCTTCCATGGTAAAAACAAAAGTGCCTTCTTTCTCTTGAACTTGACTGTGGTAGGAAATGCCGACGATTGGAATAACTTTGAGTGCTGCGTCGATAGTTTTTTTTTTGACCTTGCTGAATTGCATTTAGTTCCAATTGCATTTCTGCTAACTGTGCTAGTATGCATGACATTGTATCGTCGCCAGATTTGTTTCCGTTTACAGCTGACACCTCTGTACGTGTTGAATTTATTAATATCTTGTCCGCGATCTGGCTCATCTTGTTCACATCTATGTCTTCTGTGACTGCTAGAACCGAAGTCACTGATGGTGGCAGAAGCCTCAACCATAGAAGTTTGATGGTTTCGTCGCTGATATTTCCGTTACTCAGGGTCCGCATCTTGCGCAGAAGATGTGATGGTTTCTGGTCGCCGAGATCCATTTCAGACAATAATTTTTGGAGCTGACGTTGGTCTGATTCCTCATAGCAACTGATTAGGCGTTCTTTGATAGCCTTGTACTTTTCTATTGGCGGTGGGCAAGTAATGAGGTCACTAACCTGTATTATTTCTTCTTTTGGCAGTTTTGCAATGACCGTATAGTACTTGTAATCGTCTCCTTGCTTCTGTGGTGCTACTATGGCTTCTAGTTGCTTAAACCATAATCTGGGTTGGTCCCTCCAAAATTCCGGAATACGGGATAAAATGGCGGTTCCGGCTGATATCTCCAAGGCTTCTTGTTGGCTGCTGCTTGATTTGCAGGGTGAATGAGTCATGTTGATTGTTCTTCGTCGGGTCACCAATTTGCCAGACTTCGTGGCAAGGTAAATAATGAGACTGTAGATGGTTAAGGTCTGTTTATTACTTTAATTGCTGGTGCTTATATACTAAGAAGATGCGTGAGATTTTCAGATTTAGCTATCCTAACAAACGTGCAACAATTAACATGTATGTCTTATCTCTATCGTATCTAAGTAATGTAGCGACGTGATAGTGCCGCTACAAGAGCCAAGCTTCGGTAGGAATGAGTCGGCTCGACCGGAGTGATACCACGGCCTCACAGAAAACCTTCGTGTTACAACCACAGCGTTGTGTTTCGCAGTGTGAGTGTGGTTACCGGAGGCCCAATCCCTACTCCTCCTCCATTCCTTCCCAAAAGGTCGGCAATGCACTCGTAACTCCTTTGGTGTTGTAAGTGTCCATGGGCGGCGCTGATTGCTTACCATCAGGTAATCCGTGGGCTCGTTAGCCGACCTATACCATAAAAAAAACATTTTCGAGGAGGCTCGACTACTTTCGAGCTACTCACGGACTCATAATCAAAATCGGAGTAACCAATTTTTTAAATCATACATAGATTTTGAGATTTTGTTTGTTATCTGTTAATGATTAGCGCAATGACTAAAATACTGTTACAGAACGTTCTACAAGTTCAATTCCTCCACGAAATAGTTGTTTATCAAATAATTAAAACATGGATATATTGTATCAATTTTCTACTACTAGTATCGTTCTTAATAAAAAATGGCTTAAGCAACTTATGTATAGTCATATTATTAATTTCAATATCAAAAAATCTCACCGTATTTTTGTGTCCATCATAGTTCAGTGGTTAATATTCCCGTTTGTCCACAGGTGCCGCACGGGTTTGACACTCACGTCCAAAGAGAGCATAATTTAGCGAACTACATGTTCTTCCTTATGCATCTCATTAATAAACCCGATACGGAATATACAGGTATAATAATTATTATAATATGCCTTTTATTTATCATAGAATTGGTGGGGTTCCCATTTATCTAAGTACAATATAAATTGTGTAGTCTTTTATTGGTGACGACAAGATCTAACAACACATGTAGGTTTCTTTTCTAAATTGAGTTTTAAGCAGAATTTCCTTTTGCACTATATTCCATATTTCGTGTAGAAAAATGAGGGATATTTGCAATTTTTCATACTGCGAAATATAATAAAAAAAAAATATTTCGGATAATTATTACAAACTCATCTTTTTCCATTTTTAAAACTTCCAAGTGGTTCAAAATCTTTTTTACCTAAATAAACATTTTTTTAAACGTTTTCCGATACTAGAATTTTCTCCTACGTCGTAGATGCGTTTACAAACATACAAATTAATAGGTACTATTATACCTAACACGTCTATTTTTTTAAAAACTAAACACATATTTCCTTATCCAGGTCAAGAAACGTACGTATGGAACATGTACACGCAACGATGCTGGGACTTCTTCCCTGTCGGTGACTGCTTCAGGAAACAGTATGAAGATCTGATGGGAGAATAAACTACAGACAAAATCTCGCTTCAACTTAGCAATTTCGAATTTATTGCTCAAAGTAACACCAAATAAAAAAAAAAAACAATTTATTTCAAACTTACGTAACACGTCTTTAAATACAAATAATATTGTAAATAATTCTGTTTTCATTTTCCTTCGTATGTATTTTTGAATTGAATATGGCGTGTTTTATTTATTGTATCTATGGTAAAGAATAATAACGGTTGTGGAATACAGATGAAATATTTTCAACTAAAATTGAAATCTACATAATATATTTATTACTTGAAAAAAAAATATGTCCTTAAAAGAAAAATAGCTTGAATAGAAAATAATTTCATGCGATAATTCTCGAAAATATTCTAAATTTAAATTGAAAAACAAATAATACTTACATAGTTTATGGACAAAAAAATTTAATACATTTTTCTATATCTTTTAAATAAGTCTAACATAAGGTGGCCTTTCCATGTAAACATTTCTATTTTTAACTATTTCTGTATAGTTTATGTATAAGATAAATAATTAATGAAATTGTTAAATAAAACTATTTAAATGTATTTTTTGTATATTTTTATTTAATTTCCCTTACATTTAAAGTTGTCAGTCTTAAAAACTGGAGACGAAATTAATAAACTTTGTTTGACAAAGTGAGCATAACTATAGTTCGTTCTATAATTAGAGACAACAATTTGACAATAGCAAATGTCAAACTACAAAATAATGTGGCCAGATTTTTTAACATAGTGATGAGCCCGAGTACGATGTTTTAAATAAAATACCGATACCGTTTATTTATAAATTACCCTGAGCAAAATAAACCAACGTTGCGGTGATGTTTGTTATAGTTTAGTCGAATTAATAATAATAATTTAAAGTCGGTCTTTCGGTCAATACCGGTCGCGGGACTTCACTATTTATGAAATGGAAAAAACTTGCAACACTCGAAATGTCAAATCATTGTCTCTAATTATGGAACGAACTATAGGTTAACTAAAGGTAAATAATCTTGGTATGTCTTTTAACATTAAAGAGGTCGTATAAAATATATACATAAAAAGATTATTAAAATTTAGTTTATTAGATAACATTAATTTACGGAATTGCCTGATTGTACAAAATTTTTACATATAATTTTTAGACAACTTTTAGATAAAAATACAATCGAATTGAGAACCTCCTCCTTTTTTGAAGTCGGTTAAAAAGACATGCCAAGATTGTTTACGTATAGTTTATTACCTAAACCGATAGACCATAGTTATTTAGTGTGCAAAGTTTATTTATTTCGCCTTTTTATTATATAACGCTTAAAATCTATATGTAACATAACATTGACCAAAATAATAGGAAAATAACTTTCTAGGCACGTATGTACCCAGCCAGCATAGCAGGTTAACCTAGCCCAAATTGTCAATTTTCGACTTTACATCAATAAAATGATGTTAACAATGAATAAAGACATTTCTCAGACATTAAAAATAGAAAGTAGTTGGTTGTCCTGAGTTCCTGGTGCGAGTTTGTTTTATGCGATTGATACGTTTATGACGTCCGACGCTCTGATTGGCCAGCGACAAGGCAATCGATCAAAAAGCGTTAACGTGAAGAAAATATGCACTAGGAAAATTACTGGCCACTGTATATAAGTATTTCGTTGCTATATCAGATAATTTTGAACTCTCTTATTTTAAACTGAACGACGTATGACATGTAGTGACATCTGTTGGTTTGAAACTTTGAATTATAAAAGGGCTAACGAGAACCAAAGTATTAAAAAATTGATACATAAAATATTTTGATAGTGTAACAGGACCTTTATTTACGCCATCTAGCGACATAAAAACGAAAACTCTCGTAATTTCATTTCTTTTAAAAAATAATATTACATAAGTAGAGTTTATCTCGGACAACCTTAACAATGTTAGCTTAAAATTCATATTTACAATTAAATAGTTTATGTACATAAGAAGTAAATTCCTGTATCACAAAAACCCAGGAATACGACGGAAAGTAGTATTTTATACACAGAGTAAAACCTAATTATATTGCTTTAAACAAAACCCACAGAGTAAGCAAAAATTTACTTAATTTTCACTTATGCCAAAACTCTTTGATGAGAAAATTATAAACCGATCTTAATCCAAAATAACTTGATCGATCTAGATCTTTAACTGAAATTAAGACCCAACCAATCTATGTAAGGCCTCTATCCATCTCCATTATTTTATGGAATCCCCTATTCCATAAAATAATGGAGATGGATAGAGGCAACCTAGTAGTCGGGTCACCTGATGGTAAGTGATCAGCGCCGCCCATGGACACCTGCGGCACCAGAGGAGTCACAGGCGCGTTGCCGGCCTGTCTCATCTTCAAACCTTTAACAACCCATAGTCACCTGGCAACGCTCTTGTAACTTGGGCGGTGGACAGCACCGATTGCTTACCATCAGGTAATCTCCTCGTTTGCCAACATAAACCATAAAAAAGTAAAACTGACGTCCTAAAATCAAAGTCAAGTCTTTTAGATAGAGATCGGTTAATATTAGTAATATCGGTCATAAGTCACATTCGTAATATTCTGCGCAATTTAAACACCGCACAACCACTTAGAGAGTTATGAAATAATTAAGTAGGTATAAATATGTATAATAAACAATACATAAGGAAAATATCTCATACTTCCTAATACATTATACAAAAAAATACTTCATAATTTTGGTATCGTTTTCGAATAGAATAGATATTAATAGGAGGCTACAGTTTTTTTCCCAACCCAATGCCACTAATTTAGCAAGAAATCAGTTTGACCAATCAATAAAGCTGTAAAAAATTAAACATCCAATGGTATTTACAAAAGCTATTTCCCAATTGGACGAAAATACGAGACATCTACACTAGCGACATCTAGGTTGTAAAAAACGGTAGCCCCTATTACGATGGGGCCTTTAGAAAGTTTGGGCTTTTACAAACAAACTATATAAAAACTATCGTGAGACATACTAAATTAACTAAAAATCCGCGGGTTACTCACGTGTAAATGTTGAGAAAAGCTCTACTAGTTTCGAACCACAGAGAGGTTCTTCCTCATGAGCAGCGTGCGCGGACGCGGCGACGTCGCGCAGCCAGAACGTACCGTGCGCCTCAACATCGTCACACGCGCCGCCGCCGGAGATGGCAGCAAACGCGCGTGGTATCCGGCAGATGGCGCGCTGGACTCGCCGCACCGCAACCATCAACAGCGATGCAGGCGCCAACGCTAACCAGTAGGCTGCGCGACGTCGCCGCGTCCGCGCACGCTGCTCATGAGGAAGAACCCCTCTGTGGTTCGAAACTAGTAGAGCTTTGCTCAACATTTACACGTGAGTAACCCGCGGATTTTTAGTTAAACTATATAAATTTAGAAAATATTTAAATATAGACAAAACAACGCATACTATTTGAAGTTATTAAATATCTTTAGAGTTCAAGTTTTTTTAAAACTCAAAAACCTGCTTAATGTATGTATTACCAACTTTATTATTATAGTTTGTATGTAACGTTAGCTTCAACATAATCAACTTGAAGTAAGTTTACTTCGTAAACATGTAAAACATACTAGGCCCATCTATCTTTTTAAAACATAATTTGTACAAGCCAGAACAACATCTTAGAAAATGGCAAATCACTGTACAATGCGAAAAAACTTTGCGCAAAATTTTTACACCATGTTGCGCAAAAAGATTAAGTTTGCGCAAATAGCGCTCATGTTTGTACGAACATTTTTATTATAACTTAGTTTACCGAGGGCTGTTTGTGCGCTAAATATAACGTAAATATGCTAGTCAAAGCACTTACTAGAAAGATGACATCAAACCATCGGTGGTAGAAGTTGAACTGCAGATCGCCCAGGACCTGGGTGATGATGATGCGGTATTCTGGAGGCATGTTCATTCTCATCAAGAGAACAGAGGAACAGAAGTACATTCCCATTATTTGTGCGAGAATTAGTACGATGATGTTTGACGATTTCGATGATGATATTTTGTAGAAGAACTGGAACAAAGAATACAAATGGAATTAGGGAAAAAAACCCATTTTCCATAAAATGTAAGGTGGATATTTATTTCAAGGATTATAATATGCATATTTTTGTAATAGTAACTATAATAAGATACATTAAATTTATTGAAAATGACGACTTACTCGCGTGTAGTAAGTGATATGACGTAGCGCAAAGCGGACGCTGCTCGTAAGAGTCCCGTTGTGACTTGAAACTAGTCGAGATTTCACGTGAGTAAATTGTTATTTTCAATAAACTTATCATTTCTCCATTAAAATTATTTTTATGAGGAACTGAGAAATGAGTGTTTTCATGTAGATATTTACTTTATTAAAACAATATTACGCTAGCGCCCTTGTCAATTTCCTTTAAATTTTTCCCTTATCACCTTCACAATAAAGTTAAGATTCATTATTTTTATCTTACCTTAGTCAATGTAAGTAGCAACCCTCGTATACTGGTCAGCACAATACATCCAACCAGTATAAAGGAGACATGTTGTGACCAGAAAGCGACATCTATGTTCCACCCGAGCCAGTGCACAACTATCTCTAGGCCGCGCGTTACTGGATCCTTTTTGCCTACACGGTCGAATACTATATTTATTGTTGACTGAAACAAAATTTGAGTATTTTAAAGATATGACAAAAGCTTAGTTAGCTTTGTTAGCTTTCTATTGGTGAGGCCTATGTCCAGCAATTTAAAAAAAAAGCCTGCCCATCATTAGGATTTAGGCCAAGGCCGCGGTGCCTTTTATCAACAAACCACGCTGGCGAAGTGACGGGTGGAAGCTAGTTAAAAATAAATAAGGACACTTACAATAAAAATCTTCCAAACACAATACAGGGAGAAGAAATATCCGAGGAAATTGAAGTATTTCCCCTGGAAGGTCTTGGACCATTCTATCTTTTCTCTCATAGTTCTCGCATCATGAGCTTCTAAGAACAGTTGGCGACTTAACTCCTCAAGCCCTGCTATCTCCTGGCGAAGTTGGTTTATATCTGGAATAAGGGTAGAATTTAAGAATAAAAATATTGACTCT